CGACGCGCGCGCGCCTCTATTTCCTAAGCCCCCGAACTAAGGCTAGTTCGTATAAGGGGAAGGAGGTAATTATAAGGGCCGTATAAGAGCCCTTATAATAACAGGATTAATAGAGGTAGCTAGATTAACTAACCTTAGAGAAGGGAGTATAATATAACCTAACTGCTTAGCGTAGGCTTAGCGTATGTATAACTCCTACGTATAGCGCATATTTAACCTATAAGAATTAGTCTTATCTCTAATCGAGTAATTACGGGTGTCTAATACATTACTATATCTTTACCCTTATAGCTTAGTGCGTCGGCTCGACCGTTATCCTTTCCTAGAGTATACCGGATTTCGAACTTATACTAACTAAGCAGCTCCGACTAGCGGGCCTACCTTCGGGTTAGCGACTTCGTCGTAGTAAAGTAAGTTAGATTCTTATAATTAGAAAGAATCGTAAGCTTAGGTACTCCTTCCGTATAAACTCTCTAGTATAGTAGTGCTATAATAATCGTAAGAAGCTCCTTATTATATATATCGTAATTCTCTTCTACGGGTGTTATCTTTCTAGAATAGTAGGCTACTAGGTGCCTACTTCTATCGTGCTCTTATATAAGGTACGCTTCTATTACTATATCGGAAGCATTAGTCTCGATAATTACCTCCTTCGTAATATCGAAGAGCTAAAATGTCGGTATAGATATATATAGGTCCTTTAGTATCTAGAAAGCCGTCTAATATTAGGTTATCTAGGTCTATTTATTTGTCTTTCTTCGTAAGCTCTATAAGTGGTTTCGCGATCTTAGAGTAGTCCTTAATAAATTTGCGGTTATAGTTAGCTAGTCTAAGGAATAATTGTATATCCTTAACGTTCTTAAGTAGTAGCTAGCCGTAGATTAACTCTATCTTCTTAGGATCGATGCGGATACCCTTTATACTAATAATAAATCTAAGGAATTTAACTTCTTTCTTATAGAACTCGCATTTCTTAGGTGCTGTCTTAAATCTAACGTCTATAAGTCGCTAGAAGACGTCTTAGACTTATTTAATGTAGTTGCCGAGTTCTCCTTTAGTATAGACGAGAATGTCGTCTATATAGGTAATAACATATACGTCGAATATAGTTAACAAAGCTAAGACACTACAAACTACCTCTATGGTATTCGTCCCTATATACAGTCCTTCGATTGGTGTTCCCAGCTAATGGCACACAATAGGTAGATCCACCAAGAGACGTGCTAGAAGCAACTCCACTTCAACCTTGGCCCCATGGCTGGATGGCTTGGCATCTAACCAGCCAGGGGGTTGAAGCATTTCCACTGCCAGCAGTTCCTCGTTCCCTACCACGTCGAGAGCATCTTTCGAGATTGCGTTGGTACTGTCCTTAAAGCTGAAGAAGACTGGGTGCCTGAACCGCGATATGGCTGAGGCTATAGCATTGACYAAGGAACCATTACCAACGATATCCTCCTCCACTTGCTGCATAGTACTGAATGTCCTGGAATGAGGCCCGTATAATGAATCGACGATTGATGATACCCATGTCGTTCTGAGGGGAAACACAGCCTGTGAGAAGCCATTTGTTCAAGATAGAGCATTAACAATGGTACTTTCATACTTGATGGTCGATGGAAAACCACACGCGTTTCCCTTTGATTTCTGAGTTTCAAAGCCTCTGAACCATCTGTGATCATCAACCAATCGTTGCGCAATACGAAGTTAGCCCTCCAATCAGCACCATGATTGAAGATCAGGCGGATTGTGATGTCGAGGTGGGAGCCTCAGGATGGAGATGATAATAGTAAGATGTAAGCGTGGATTGACAAAACCTTCGCAACCCAAGTGTGAGAAGAATTCGAGCCAAGTCTTCAACTTCCACTTCCAGAGTGAGTCTATTTGTAAAGCGGTCTCTGGGGACGACTGCTGATCCGAGAGGTGTGCAGGATCAAAGAGTCAGTACAGTCATCACTCATAGTACTAAATCGTTCGAACGATTGTCATAGGTATCACGTAGAGATCTACGTACAGTCTATTCTTGGCGCAGTGTTGTCGTGAAAGCTCATGTCGTCCAGACACATTTGGATGGCCGTCTCTGCTTTTACAACATGCGCTCCTGACTTCAAATACGAGTTCAAAGGTTGCTGGCTGCCTCCTGGTTCCTGGTTAAAGTCTCGTCTAGGTAGTCTGGCCGAACCTGCCCTCAAGTCTAGAAGCTACCTTCTGCATTCGTGGTCGTAACTCCTTGGAAATTTTCGACGCGTCAGTGCTCTTTCTCATAATGGGGAGGCTCTTTCTCATAATGGGGAGGCTCTTTCTCATGATGGGGAGATGCTTACGTCTGCGCCTCCTCTAAAGGACGTGGAGGTTTGTTGACTTCCTCTGATCCCATCTTCACACTCTTCATCCCAAAACCTCAACGCTGCCCATTCATACATTCTTTACTGGACGGCCTTCCCATGCCACTGTCATCAGGTCAGCTGTTCCGTATGTACAAGGTTTCGCTCAGACTGACACCTCACCCAGGTTTCGACACGCATTGACGCCATCTTCGTCAATCCTCCCATTGCACCAAGCGGACCTGGCTCCTTTCATACAGCCATCAGACCACTCGAATCTCGACTCATTCCCACACTTGACCGGCCTCAGGKTTTTCGCAGCAGCCCGCAGACACCAGTTTCCCGGCATCTACGACCAAGCCGATCTTTCGTCTTCATCACTGGCCGATCAAAGCAAGTGAGTTAATTTCATGAGGCGGATTTTTTTTTTACACTTTCCGGTTTTCTGAGCGGTTGGRGTCTCCATGAGGGTGATCCCGAGAGACGACCACAACGCGACGATGATAAAACCCTTCGGCCGATCCCTCTCACTCAGCGCAATGCGTCTACGGATGCAGCGGCTGACACAGGTCCAATTTTATTTTTTTGTAGGAATCCCATCGAGCCTCAGCAACATTGTCCATCCAAGGATGCCAGCCTCCGCGAGCGCTTGACCTGCTCTCAGGTGGATGCTCATCATCGGCCTTCCTTTGTGAGTATGATTCTGGTCATCACACTTGGTTCTTTCTGCATTACTAGTCTCGTCGCAGGACACAAGCCATCAGGGCAAACCCATGCTCACTGGCGACTGATGCCAAGCAACGCCGCATCACCGGTGTTCGCTGCATTGTCATGTCACAAGTGGAGGGTATGTCGATGATGGATGGTTCTAGGCGGGAGATACATGTATCGCACTTTCTGGTTTTCTGAGTTGCTTGAATTCAACCTGTTGTGCATGTCAGCTTTTGCACTATTTCAGTCGGGTTTTTCGGAAGGCCCGGAAGAGTAGCAGCTTGTAAGCAGTACCTAAGGACGTGTCCGAGTAGCTGGTCTTTTTGTGGAGGCATGACTTTTTGTTACACACACTTCATGGTTTTCTGATTCCCTCTGTGCACTTCAGAAGGAGAGACGCAAGGATATGTGTGATTTTAAAGGTCAAGATTCGCCAAGACATAGAACTAGGTACCTTTCATCCATGGTACGCCTCGAGGACATTTTTTGGCACGGGGGAGAATTTTACGTAAAAGATCTACCCTTCTCTGGAATACTACAGCTGTTATTTCGGCAATTATGGTCGACGGATAAGATCAGGCTCGATGCCAAATTCGTCTCGTAGCTACGGACTTCTTCATCTTTAGACGGTGCTTTACGATTGACACCATGTCTTAGTCAGCGATTATGGGAGGCGTCAATACGCCTTTCGAAGACCCCCAGAGCCTTTAGTCCAAGAAGACGTGTTATTCCATGGACAAAAACATACAACCATCTTAATTTACTCCTTGCTCTCCAGACTCGGATATCGATGGACTCTGTTGCGGTCTACAATTACTGTCTTTTCAACGGCGTCTGCCAGGACTAGAATTGCTACGGCAATCGCATACAAGTTGGAGCGTATACGGACAGAGAATGAAGAAGAGCGAACTAAGTCGGTCACCGTGGTGACAAAGGCGGTAAGCAACACCCCCGTGTCTCCAGTCTCAATTTATCAAACATAGACGTCCTCTGGCAGTCATTAACAGGGGCATCGCGATCGCTCTCGCAGAGGTCGGTAGCCCCTCTGAAGTAAATTTCTGCTGCACTTGCTGTATGTCCAACAGTGGAAGTTTCAAGTCATTTAACCTAACGAATGGGTACGTGTACTTCCCAAAAGCTAGAGGAGCCATTCAGCAAACTCAAACATATCGACTACGTCAGGTCAATGCGATTTCGACAAGTCGAATGTCAATAGTCGGGATCGCTGCGGGCTTAGCGCTGGGTGTACCGCTTCTCAGCGCTGCTCTTGCGCTTTGTCGGCAGGGGCGAGCACTAAGAGCGACAAGAGAACAGCTGGCAGGTCAGATTACAGTAGACGCTGTAATAGGAGATCAACGCCAGTGTGTACAGTACTCAGCTCTACTATTCACAGAGATCGTCTGTAAGCTGGGCGATTCCGAAACGTCGATGGAAAGGAGCGTGGCAGAGATGCCACACGAGTATCTTTTGCTGCATCTGAGCATCTCGGGGGGTCATCTGTGATGCCTCCGCACATCTTCGGATTAGAAAGGGTGCACCGAAGCAAGTTTGAATCGAAGCCCGCACAGGACGGAGTGGAAGGCGGCAGAACGTGAGAAATTGTCGATTCTTTACACAGTCTCAGTAGACATCCAGCAAGAGATCCCGTTCGGAAAGCAGAATACGATAGATGTTCATAAATAAATCAGTATGTGTTGACCCTTTCGCAGAATTTGTACATCTCATCAATGTTCCTGTCTCCTTTTCCCCCTTTCCCCCGTTTTCCCAATGACCATTTCCATCCAATAATCGAACAAAGACAACATCAATTAGTGTATCCGGGGTAGAGATTGATGATAGACTGCCTAGAACAGCACATATGCGTCAGTACTAGATCGTTGTCCATGTGATGAAAACATCTTACATTGCACATTCACTCTCAAAGTGTCTCCCGTTGCAACCGAGACCTAGCCTGACCTGACTCGCACCCTAAGTCGTCCAGTCTGGCTTGCACGACGAGCGGAATTGGCCGTTCCAAGCGGAGACGCAGCTCCATTTGCCAGCGCCACCACAGGCCGCTCCGTCGGAGCCTCGCTGGCGCGAAGAGCAGCGGGCTTGGCAGTCCTCGCCGACCTTTGTTCCCACACCTCCAGTGGCTCCTGATCCGCCGTAAGTTGTGTCGACACAGCAGTGGCTTCCATCGTCGAATAGGCATTGGCAGTATCCGCCACAGTCCAAGCCCGCGAAGACACCGCTGGCCATGGAGAGAGCTGCGACGACGAAGAACAACTTCATGGTTGCTGAGTTTGATGTATTTGTTGAAGTCGAAAGGGTATTTGTGTGTGTGACAGTGATGTCGAAAGGAAGATGTTGATCAGAGTTGATGGTTGTGGTGTTGAGTGGCAGTTCTGTTTGGGCGACTGCATCGGCGATATTTATCTCTCGTTGCACATACCATCTCTTCGTGGCTACGTCCAACACTTCGGCCTTTCGTGACCCCAAGAATGGCTATCTGTGGATACTGTCATTTCCCGTATTGTTGGTATTGGAACTAGCTGGAGCTATCGGTGTCAGGTGGGCATGTGACTGCACCGTAGGATGGTCGGACATTGCGTCGGGCACGGTTGTCCGTGAGGTACACATTGACGATGTGGTTGTTGTATCGGTTCAGCTGGACCACGTGGTCGAGAAAGATTGTCGACAATGTCATAGCGTTCAGTAGCCGTGCCGGATAACCATGTGGGGAACATTCTAGCGTCGGGTAAATAATGATCCATTCCCGGTCCTTCTCGTTGAAGCCATCAAGGTCGACGAGTAAGACTTTTGAAGCCATCTGCGATAAGATCATCTCCCAGAAAAGCGGGGATTTGTTCCCTCCTAGACCTAATGAGGGAATCCACAGGTAGCTGTGCAGGGCAACAAGCAATGCTCGCCTAAATCTTCTAGATCAATAAATTGTGACACTAGCTTCTGCGCGACTCCATATGCTAAAAGTCATTTGACCTCACTCGGTACATAAATGGTTCATCTAAGACACGTCTTCGGGCGACAGATTAGAAAAGTCACCGGAAATAATGGCATGAAGGGCTTGAACTCTTCAGAGAAGCAGCATATAACAAATCTAGGACTTTTCCTTTAGCACATCGTCATACAAATTCATTCGACTTATCGCACATCCAACTCGCTTCTCCGACTAACTCAACTCGCTTCTCCGACCCACTTCTCCAACCCCAATCTCATCTAGCATCATGAAGGTCACCGCCCTTTTCATGTCTCTGATCTTCGCATACGCCACAGCAGACGATATCTGCTGTGTTCCAAACTTTGATCCCAGCCAAGGAAACTGCGAAATTGGTATTCCCGCCTGCGTAAGATCAGAACCCCACCGGCTCTTTACTCTCCACTAACGAATTCCCTAGTGCGACGGATTCATCCGTAAACACCCACGCTGTGGAGCAGAGACCACACTAGGCGAATGGTTCTCCTTCTCCCGCGATCAGACTGGCTTGCTTCCGGGTGGTGGAAATCCCAGTCAATGTTCACCTGGCGGTAGACAGGGTGTTTGGTACTGTGTGCGTAACTAGTTGAAGGGAAGGAAAGTGGCACGATGGAGACCAAGAAGGTGAACAAGGCCAGTCAAAGGGAGGACAGTCGAACGGAGAGCAACTTCAGGTCTGTGGATAACTGTGGTGGAAGTAACGTCAACGCTGCCAAGGATGGCGAGGGCGAAAGTGAAGAGGATCACGTTGTCGGAGGTGGTGTGTCAAGACTGGAAGGCAGTCAGTCTTTTGTTTCGAAGTATACGGAATATGAATCGACATTTCCAACCGTTCGCTTTGGAAAGATGGATCGCTATAATGGCAAATAAAATGAGGATCGGATAAGAATCACCAATAAACCACCACGTCGAATATATATGGTTCCAGTCGACTTGCCCCCAACGACTACCGTTCGAATACGAAAGATTCTACGTTCGGACACCGCTTCATATGAGAAACTCCTGAGGGCGTACTTAGTCTCATGATCTCGGAACTTCTACAAGATACCGAAGGCCCTCGTTTGTATCGTATTGCGCGGAACTGATGGTCAGGAGGACTTGAGTCAGGCTTTGGTTTGGTTTGGGCCGATTTGTTCAGTTTTATGGCCACACATGATATCGTCTTTATGGTCAATGGAATTGGGCAGGTCCGGCAGTTCGTACTGGAACAAGGCATTATCCGTATTGAATAGAAACGAAGCCGCGGAGTTGGTTTGTGATCCATTCGATTACGGACTGTGACATATTTTGGACCATGAGGGAGGTTGTGCCTGACAACAAGGGTAGATGAGGCTTTTCGTGCTTGATGAAGCGTGGAACTACCATCTATAATAGCATAAGATCGAAGGCCCATGAGCGAAGGATCCCGTCTCATAGGAACTGCAATCTCATTGGACGAGTATGCGCCTCTTCCCATGCCGGGAAATGGTCCGCATACCGCACAACTCCGGTGGAGCGGATCAAGGTGCGAATTACTTGTATGTTTACAAAGTGAATGGACGGATACACAGAAGCAGAATGTCACATGCTAAAACCTTCCATGACTAGCCTGATTACAAATCCATAAGTGAGTAAATGTTGTTGACATCTCCACAGAAACATATGTGCAGCATTCGCTCTTACGTACCTCAYCTCTTCATACATGTAGACATCATACATAACACATGTTTCCCACAACGATCCCGCTAGCCAATGACCAAGTTTGGTGAAGGTTGTGCATTGTCTTAAACAGGCTTGATTGAGCCCCGGCCAGTTCCCCGAGCCCCGGCCGGGGGGATCGGTCCTTATCGACCACATTGTACTTTGTTGTACATATCAAATGTACAAAAATGTGTCGGAGATCCGGTCTACGAAGGAATATCCCTCTCTCTGAGCTCCGCAAGACACCCAAACCGCACCTACCTACTTTTTACGCACCTACCTACTTTTTACGCACCTACCTACTTTTTACGCACCTACCTACTTTACACGCACCTACCCACTTTGTACGGAGCGCCTGTTCGGAGGTAGTCTCTGATAATATAAAGCCGCGGTGACCATCCCAACGAGGAGAGAAAGCGAACAACCTACAGCCTCGTCAAAACCTTTCAACGATGAGAATTTGCGTTCTTTAATCCTCCCTTGAGGGATCGGGTCTTGCCTGGTTAGAGGACTCCGATGCGGATGTCCCTGCTCGACCAGATCTGTTTACGAACCAGCACACCTTTGAATACCGCTTCATTCGTGTAGCCACTGCCAAGGAAGAGATCGATGCCGCAGCAGCTGAAGGTTTCGACTTCTATTTCAACTTCCTCTGGGGAACGCCCGAAGATCCTGTAGCGGGAGCCCGAGCAAGCTCATATTTTGAAAGTTTGAACCTGCCGTCCTGTGGAATCCGCAGCACGGCACTGTTCATGACGAAGAATCAGTTCTATCGTAACGCTAAGATCAGGGGGTCTCCGTCGATTCCTGGCGCCCAGGATTTCCCTCTATTCGTCAAACCCGCCTATGGCTGCGCAAGTCAACTGATCGACGAGCAGTCCATCTGCTACAACCAAGAAGAATTGGATAATACACTTGGCCGAATCAGCAAAGCATTGCATGAAAGTCGCATTCGACATGCCGAGGACCAAGGGATTGAAGACCAGGAGAAGTATGCCGAAGCTTGCACTCTCCAGGGCCGGGATGCCGAGGATGTCGTGGTGCAGGAGTTCATACCCGGTGTTGACGTGACCTGCACTGTCATACAAATGGGTCAAGGCTGTTTGGCTCTAGCTCCTTTTTTGTACAGGACGAAGAAGACAGAAATGAAGGAGCACTTCTTGACCGCCGACCTCAAACTGGACCACCAGACCACGATTGAAGTCTTGAAGAAGAGCGACGACCCAGTACTCTTCGAGCGTATGCAGAGGGTGGCAATCGACGGCTTCATGGCCAGCGGATGTCGAGAGAGCAATATGGGATGCGATGTCGACWTTCGCGTTCGACCGGACGGAGCTACATTCGCCATCGAGGTCAATCCACAGCCCGCGGCTTTCATGCATCAAGGACCGTTCCCGGATCTGCCCATCAGTCTTAGCTTGCCTGGAAGACATGCAGCTGTCGTCAACATCTTCATCGCGAATCACCTGCTCGAAAGTGGAGAGCCCCAGCGAGTGTCGAGCAAGGTGGCTAAAACGTACGACATGTTCTCTACCACTTATGATGATCTCACGAGCGTTTCCAAAATCACACCCAACGTTATGAAAGTCGTCGAAAGGCATGGCTTCGAAGGTGTTGTTTTCGATCTCGGATGCGGAACCGGTGTCTTTGGCAAAGTTCTATCGGAGGCCGCCAAATCTCGCTCCTCTTTCATCCTCGGTTTCGACATATCTCCAGGAATGCTAGAGTATTGCACAAAGGCAAACGGTTATGACGAAGTCCATTGCTAAGCCATGGAGTCGGCTTTGGTCCACTACCGTCGATACACAGACACAGTCGACCACATTGTCTCCTTTACCGCCATTTGCTTCCTCTCGCCAGAGGTTTTCGCATTCGCCATGGTGCTTTGCTTTGCTCTGACGAATAAATCCATCACCATCACCATCGATGAGATTCCTGATTCATTCAATGAGGGGCTTGTCGAGAAAGGGGTTTCCCATATGCGTATGATCAATCACATCAAGTCCATGGAGGCGTTTGGTGAACCTTTCGGCTGGCGGCTGAAGAGGTACGAAAGTGAATTTTCTTGGACGTCGCCGAAGACGGGCGTCGATATTTACAGCACGTGTTTTCGATTCGATAGAATCCCCGGCGTGTCTCGGGATTTGATGTATCACCAGGAGAAGGGAGAAGTATCCTTCTGAGACTTCTGAGATGAGGGAAAGCTGGGACTAACAGTGAGCAGAGATCACAGAATAGATAGAAGGCGGGATTAGAGGAAGGAAACCTATACAGCTAGACTGCGTCGTCGTAGCAAACACTGAGTATACCTACAGCAATGGACACCATATGACTGTGCTTAGTTCAATACGCCGTCACCGCGGTTGTGTCTTTCCTGACGAAGGAGCTCGTTCGAATCGTTCCAAGGCAACTCCTGACATCGTCCACAACATCTTCAAATCGTATCACACCCGTGTGACATCCACAGCATTTTGGAGATGGATCCCGCTCAAGATCCTTGAGAGAGACCTTCACCACGGTCCACATCCCTCATCGCATATGCTTCACTCCCTTGATTCTCGACCACTAGCGGTAGTCGGGCTTTCTTACGAGGACGTCGAGGAGTCGGTCAATTACAGTAGCCGGGTCTGATCTCATCGAGGGAATTCAAGGAAGAATTGGACGTGATTGCCGCAAGGATACCCTGCCGACCACCCCTTTAGTAGGGTTAGGGTTCTTCTTGGCTGCGTGGGGCATCCATGCTGTACCCCTAATGCGGGGACGGAAACTCTGACGTACCTATTTTTCGACCCCTTCTTCCTCTTCGTAGAGGTACATCACACACAACGGTGTACACTTATCACGCTCGGTAAGCTTGAGCGCAAAAGTCCTGCAAGTCCTTGGGGGTATCGCTGCAGCGCTGTCTCCTCTTGGCCTCAACTTTCCCTCACCATCTGATGCAGTCCTAGACTCCCCACCATTCGCACGAGGCGCGGTCAAAGCGCAAATGACCATGTCACACGTCTACATCCTGACTCAGACAGAATATAAGCACTACGAAGATTACGAGAGGGAAGAGAACAAAGACGTAGTAGTTCTAGAAGTGTACACGACTGCCAAAGCAGCCAACGAGGCGGCCAAAGATTGGATCGAGGAATATTTCGGTGATGGGGATAATGAAGTCGAGCAGGATGGGGATGGCTGCGATACATGGACTTGCAGACTAGAAGAAAGGGACGATCAGAGTCATGTTATCATCTCTGTTGTTATGAAGGCGTTGTATGGGGAGCCAGAAGACAGCGRAGTCGACGGTGAAGAGGAAGAAGGAGAGAGCGATAATGAGGAGCCTATCGGGCAAGCCAGTAGTGGGCCAAGCGAAGGTCAAGAACCACCGACCAAGAGAGCGCGTCAGGGATAGTCGGCTGTCATGAACGTCTTGTCAATGTGACGAGAAGTGTTCATGGTACAGCAGGTCTGTCGATTTGCGTACCCGGGAACGGAGCTCTTGGAATATGCCATTGTATAATTTCACCATCGAGCTTCCAACCTGGCTTGACAAGCCCAGCCAGCGAAGTGGACGGACGAGTCTTCCTTGGGCTCGAAACCTTGCAACATGCACCACACTCAGCGTACCGCCGAATAACGAGCACGGCGGAAACGATTGAAACGAGCGATTCAACACTCGAGCGGCCAATCTGGCATCTGCTATCGACGTTGTAACGTTCCCACAGCCGCTAGAACTGTAGGCGATCCGAAATGYCATGTATTGCGGAGACTGTGCTTTCGTGGGATGATATTCTACTCACTCCATCAAACGCCAGCATTATCGATCATGGTGGAGTTTTCAGCGCCATTCTGGTCTGGCAAGATTGTATAAGTAATCTACATGGCGGCGATTTCGCCATCCTCCTCGCCCTGCTTATTAAAATCAGCATAAAACTCCAAGAATTCCTCAACAGTATCATACAGAGCAGTCTCAAACTCAGGATCCCATAAACCGTACTTCCACCTCCACCCATCGAAATCATCGACATCATCTAGCTTTCGACAATATGCCGCAAACCCACCATTTCCAAGCCCAACCGCAAGCGCAACTACATGATCATCCCATTCCCCTCGAATATCGCCGAGATGGCCTTGGCTCATTTCTTCCTCCGTCCTAGGCACCGTTACGAACCCCGACTCTCTCGGTTCCTCCCCCTCAGTTTCCTCGCCATTGATATCGGTGAGGAATTTCATCTGGCGTAGCTCGCTTCCGCCCAAGTATCGATATTCGGGAAGTCCATTACCGCAGGTTCCGCGAACTATGGTCATTAAGTACTTCAACTCGGCAGGTAGACCTTGGGGATGGATTTTCGTCCGCTCTGCTGATCGGATCTGTTCCTCAGTCTTTTCGATCCACGCCTCCCGGGCCTTAATGTCAATTTCTCCTTCTCCGTGAACTATTCCGTCTAACCAACAAGTCCTGACGAGATTCTCCCGTCGATCCTCACTTAGAATATCCCGAATGGACGTAACTCTAGGATCTGAGGGATTTTCTAATCGAATCCCGTATTCAGCCGCGAGTTCTTCCATTCTTCGTCCTAGGAGTTCTTCGGGACTAGTAGTAGGTCTGATTTCGCGGGTTTCGAGATCTGAGATGGCGCTTTCTAAACTTGCTATGTTGATTTCGAGGACTCGATTTCGGTATTTTCGAAGTGCATTTTCAATGCTGGTCTTCCTTTCTAGGCTCAATTCAATGCCATCTCCACCACGGATAGGTAGACCGAAGTTGTGGGACGCTTCTGCGTTCGTTGCAGACATTTCGTCTGTATTTCGCGGAACTGTGAGGACGGAGGTACCGGAGTCAAAAGCTGTCCCCAGACAAGAAAATCTTGATGTTGAGGGCAAAAGGAGGACTCTAGAAGAATGCAGAGAAGAGGATTCACCTCGAGCAAAACATGACTGTGATGGCTGGGAGGAACGAACGTCGGATGTAGCGGGACGAGCCTGTCAAGACAAAACCACCGAAGTAAGCTGTCTAGCTATTCCTTCGAATGCTTCTATGCATCTATGGTCGAAAGTTGCAGGATAAGGGGACCTGGGCTTTATATTCGCAGTGTCGTCTTATGTCGCAGGATTGGCAGCGTCTCCAATTGGTCAGCTTGCGGGGAGCTTGGTGAGCTTGGTGAGCTTGAGGTGACTCACGAGTTCAGTGACACCTATGAAAAAGTGTATATAGTCGAAGTGAATGATTGAGAGTTTGAAAAAATTAATGACAGGAGTAAGAGCTCTATACTACACATCGCCCTTCTCAACACATCTTCATTCCTATTGTCACACATCAGCTCAATCCTCCTACATCATCACCATGGAACCCACCGTGGAGGAAATACTCAAACACACGGAATTCGACCCATCGATAGTCCAACGAGTCGCCAACCGCAAAGTCAAAGTCCCAATAGCCATCGTCCCTCCCAACCCATCCTGGCCAGCGCACTTCGCACACATCAAGTCCATCATCACCACTGCTCTACCTCCTTCAACCGCCTTATGTATCTCCCACGTTGGCTCAACTTCAGTCCCCAATCTTCCAGCCAAAGCAGTCATCGACATCGACCTGACAATTTCCAACCCCGTCGCTGAAGAAAACTATGTGCCAGCTCTGGAGCGTGCAGGCTTCCAGTTTCTATTCCGTGAACCGGAATGGTGTCAACATCGCTTCTTCGTTATGAATGAGCCGTATCATTGCAATCTACATGTTTTCCGCCCTGGRGCTGCTGAGCTTGTGAGGCACTTGATCATGAGGGATTGGCTGATTAGTTGTGAGGCGGATAGAGAATTGTATGCGAGTGTTAAGATGGGAGCTGCTGAGATTAGTGCGAGGCTGGGTGAGACGCAAGTGGAGTATAACTCGAGGAAGCAGCAAGTTATTCGGCAGATTCTGGAGAGGGCTTTTCGTGCAAAGGGGTATTTGGCAACCAAGATTGAGGGTTGACTTCCAAGCATTAAGAAGTAGTATACAGAGGCACTAGTTAGCATCGTGATCGACCATACCGGGCAATGATCGACCATGTAAGCAGTCCCGTGTAAGAACTGAGGGATTGTGGGAAGAGGATGCCACGCTTGCACAGCGGCATGGTACTTTCCCATGCCGTACGCTCCCCAGCCACATCTATTTATGGAGATTCCAACAACGTTCCAAGCTTTTTCGTAGCTCGAGGACTCATATATTCCATTTCCCGTAGCTTGGTGCTCTACTCAATCAGTTCAATTCCGCGTTCGCATCATGCCTGACCTCCTATGGTGCCCGTCGCACACTCCATTGATTGAAAACATGCATACTGGAGAATCCATCCTAAACGATGTCAGCATCTATAACGACGCTGTTTACTACATCAAAACAGTTGATCCGCTCATGGAGAACTGTGTTCGCAGTCCTTGCCGCTTGTGGGTTACGAATGGGCTGCATTGTGCGTGGCCCAGCGTGTTTGAGCATTTGAAGTGCTTCGCGGAGATACATCGTCTTCGAAGAGCCTGTTGCAGAGTACACCATCTCTACTCATCATATACGTCTCCACCTATATTCTTGTAAGGAGCGACATGATACCCTTTCGGTCTGAGGGGATGGGACTATCCGAATGAGGAGATTAAGGAATACAGCGCAGCCAGCAAAACGGCGTCTAATACCGTATACTAGCCGTACTAGCGAAGGATCGGCCGGTAGTAAAGGACGCAAAAAGATCGTAGCCATCGAAGGAGATAGCGGTTTCGGGATTCCAGTAAGGGAGGTCGAAACGATGGCTAGATTCCAAATGGAGGTCTCCATATTCGTGATGAATAACTCTGGCCTTTACAGAGAAGACACAGACACGAGTGAGGCGTGGCAGGAGCGCCAGAGAAACACAGTAGCAGATACCACTTCGGGCAGCAAAGGGCTCACTGCGTGGTCATTGAGCTATGAGACCAAGTACGAGAAGATTGCTGAGATGGCGGGTGGTATTGGAATCGCCGTACAGACCGCGGAGGAATTGAAGAAGACTTCGGAGACCGGTTTCCGAGCGAGTGTCCCTGTGATGGTAAACGTGATTGACGACCCGCAAGCTGATCTGCTCATGGTAAGCAAGTATCTTCTCGCTTTCCAAGAGGTAATACTGATATTCTTGAGGACTTGTCCTGGTTGGAAATGGCGCCGCCATAGAAGGAAGCCAAGCTTTGACTGGTTGTCGGAATATGCATGTATCTGCGCTCATGTCAATAGAAATGATAGAACCCGATTTCTTCATGGCATAGAGAGTGAGTGTGTACATGCTCGTAATAATGTACAGTGGTCGTTTCCATTTTGATGTGTTTATCACGGGACGACCTCGGCAGACGACCAATCACGGCCGATCCCGTAATTTCCTATCTCGACAGCCTAGCTACCGACCCCTTGGATGCCTGGTCGAACGACTTCACCACGCGATAGAAACCCACGGCAATCCTGATACTCAAGCTGGGCGGAACCTTCCAAGCCGTTGAGGAAAGCCACATCATGATTCCCCATTCCCATCCCACGCCGGCCTCAAAACCAACCCGAGCAGTGCAAGGTATTCTCCGTACAGGGATGGGATGCCCCGGACCTGCTCATCTCTCCCTGCAGGAGTATGATCGTCGCATGGGCAGCTGCCGCCACTGATGCAGCTGGCCATGTCCATGCTCTCTCTCGCTCCCGTCTGCTTCGAGATGCCCGCTTTAGATCTTGCGCTCTCCGGACATCCCACGTAACTTACTTTGTTTTGCCAAAAGCTCAGCCAGCACTGTAGGGTCATCTCATCGGCTACTACAGTCAGTGATCTCGGGGCCCTGGTGACTATCCTATCCTAAGAGGAGCGGTGCACAGTGCTCTCAAGTATCGCACGTACTTTGTCGCTGTCATTGTCAAAGCTCGGACAGCTTTGTGCCACTTGTTGGCCCTTATTGTTCACGGTTGAAAATGTCACATTTGGCTCGTTCCTTTAGACTGACGAGAGAGAGGCAATAGGGCAGATGTTGTTGACAAGAAGACCTCTGATATTGGAGAGTTAAACAACCTCTACATGTTCCGATTCTGCCGGTGCTTGCTTGGCGTTCAGCATAGTGCATGTGATCAGCGAGCAGTGGAAAGACGGCATCATGATGAGAACTTCCAAGTTGTTCGCCGTCTCGATCTGGAAAGTCTGGTCGCTCACCGCTCCAAGAATACCCCCACTTTGATAAGGTACAATCCCAAATTTCCCATCCGTTTCATCAAACCTCTTGGAGCCGGACAAGCACGATTTGTTGTCCACCTCTCGTCCTATGGATTTTCTTGGTAGCGAGCGCTTACGGGCCGTTCCGCGGCGAGCCATGCCGATGGATCGTCCGTCAGGTACCGAAGTCTGAGCCCATCATTCCGTCAACGATCAGCGCGAATCCGTCCGCGTGTGCACCGTTGAAACTCACCATCGTAAGGCTGACCTGGCAGCACACGTCTAGTAGTCGGTTCGAGATGATCGCTCTGAGATTGATGCTGAATGACCTGCTGGAGGCTGGCGGGAAACCAGATAATGGACCAGGATGTCCATCATGGAGATGCATATGGAGATGATGGCCAGACAGGATTTGAGATCAATGTCCCATTTTCCCGTGCGTGCTTCTTCTGGAAGGATAGGAGCTGGAGAAGCAAGCGCGACGCCAACGAACAGGGCGATGAACTGAAGTGCCATTTTGGAGAACATTGTATGTCTATCGTGACGGTGTTGGTATGTTGAAGGTGCAGTTTGCAGGATGAGTAGACCGTGTGATCTTATGTAGGCGCGGTAGCGTCTGTGACGGCGAGGCAGATTTGCAGCTGCGGCGCAGGCAATCCGGCAACTAGCAGCGTGGCGCGGGTGGTCCAGCTCGTGGACAAGGAACAGAATCAGTGAATCGACAAAAATGTCCATATGATTTTATGTGATAGGCACATTTGTGCAGTTACGTGCTTGACGACGGGATCTGCATCCGTCGAAGTTTTGGGTGGGCTGGTCGGTGTGGCCCGTCGAAGATTGGTATCAGGAAAATGGTATCAGAAAATGACTGTCATGTGAAGATGCGTGCCTGTCGTCCGAGTGTCGTATTTCCAGAAGCGACAAGATGCAAGGGACCCCAGCGTCCCGTCAGGGTGGAGAACGGTCAGGGTTGGGTTGGGGCGGGCGGGCCTGGAAAGTCGGCCAACGTGTGACGTTCACTCCGTTCAAGACGATCACTCCAGGTCCGTTGAACGGAGGGAACGTCAGGGCACAGCGTCTTCACGCAGCCGGCCGCGCACGGGCCACGGTACACGCTCCAGACAGGGGATGCCTGTTCCAACCAGATCTCCGAAGCAAATCTCCATCAATTCCCTGACCGACGCGCGATACATTTGACAGGGAGGGACTGTAGGTACCGTATGTGCCGAGAGGGAAATGGTTCCGAGCGGAGACCTGATATTCAGATGCACGAAGAGTCAAGACGCCGTATGCTGTACCAATGCTTGAGCTGGCGAGGAGACTGAAGGCCATGCATACACAAGGTACTAGGTTGATTCTCTGTGCCTCAACTTTTGACCCAGAGGTTGCCCGTTGCGTTTGCGGGTCTTGACGGCGCCAGGAGATTTATTCGGCATGCCCCATGCCATGCCATGCCATCGCACCACTCGTGTCCCTCGCAGACAAGACGGCATGCAGAAACAGCCGTTAAGACGAACGTCGGCGAGGACTCGCTGGCCGGGGAACAGCAGGGGAGTCGCACGTCAAGGAGTCAAGTTGGCCCGTGGGTTCGAACTGGCGCGGGACTCCCGTCTGATCCGACAAACAGTCAAACGCACCAAACCTCGCATCCTTGTCACCCGATCGACGCTAGGTAGGTAGGTGGTCCAGCTCGTGGACAGGGAGCAGAACGACAAAAATGTCCATATGATTTTTGKGATGGCATTTCGGCGGCCCATACKGCGTGTCACGTCTCGAGCTCTGGGTGACGCTATAAGGAAGCCTTCTCTCCCTCCAACACCAAATACTCTGCATCTTATCATGCTAGCCTGCCGCCAGACCAAGCCGTGAGCGTGGACAGCACCCACCCAGGCAGTGCCGGTCATGGTCGACTCTCCATTATTCCATCATCAGTCATTCGCTCCATCACACTCGTGCCGGCCGCGTTGTAGCTTACCCTCTGCTGCTGCTGCCCTTCCATCCACCAATGCCTCTTCACCAATCTCTCACGCAAATGCACGCAACCACCACTCCGACCGAGTCTCTTCTTCAACACCACCGCAGAGCTGCCATTGCCGGAATTTTGCCGGCAGTCATCCACGTGGTAACGACGTTGACAAACACCAAGCTCCACCACCGGAACAGGCACATCGATCCCAGTACGACGACATTAATACCTGTGTTGCTCCTTCCCTCGCGAACAAGCCGAACTTCCTTCCATCGGAACCACAGTACYCCCGTTCCATTGACGCCAGCCAGGCTTATGTAATCTTCAACCCCAGTTGCGAGAGCGATACCAGCAACGACGCACACACCCTTGACTCTCCTTACATCAACGACACTAATGACTTCCATGATGCCAATCCTACCCAGCACCTGGTCACAGCATCGCATGGCAGCGGCGAAACGACTCCTGGGACTGCAGGTGGGGATGCGAGCCGGAGCCAACACCGCATGATCGCAGATGCGGGGTATGCCTCTCAACACAGTCGCAATAGTAGCGCCTGGTCTCCGGGCCCGACTGCAGGCAACACTGCGAATCGCAAACTTCAACAGCGAACCGCCGGAGAAGAAGCTGTACCACACCATCGCCATCATCTGGTCGGACACCAGACCGAGAACAGATCCGAATCGAAACGCAGCCCAGCCAGGGCAGACTGGAGAGATGGTCAACAGCCAGGAGACAAGTCGACACCACCACTCCGGGACGTGTCGCATGCGCGTCTCCAAACACAGACACCAAGACACGAATCCAGCAGAAAAGCAGTGGAAAGAGGTTTACTGGAGCTGAAGAAAGCCGAGAAAGCTCTACTGAAGCTGTTGTGCTTCTGTCCAGTCTGTTTTGAAAGGAAGGGAACACTCGAAAATCTCCGCCGGCACCTTGAAACTTGCATGCAAGACAAACGAGAACAGATCACCATCTGGACGTGTTCGGTCTGCCGGAGATGTGATTACTTCGACGATTGGGAAGCATTCCTCGCCCATATCCAGAACGCCATCACAATGGGGAATCCCATCTATGATGCCACTGGCCAACTCTCGACTGCCAGGGAATGGCTCACCAACTACAACAATCGAGGAAATGCCATTACCCGACAGCTTCGAGGTCTGCTGGAACACCACTCCTTCGAGCCGTTTTGGGTCAGAGTCACCTTTGGATGGCATGTCTCTCTTTCATGGCAGTGTATCCCCACGGTCTTGGAGTCGAAGCTCAAGCTACAAAGAGTTGGCGGTCTCGCCGAGACTGAATTTCTCGAAAACAACGGCAAACTCCATTGCGTTGGTTGCACCAACCTGGTCCAGTGTGGCGCCTGCAACACCAAGCAGACGATCATAGAGAGTGCGATGGAGGAATTATTGATCAGCCTGCAGAACCCTCCGACGCGGCAACCAGACAGCTGGCCAGACGCAGACTACGCCGATGATGGAGCGATGCAGTCCAACGGGCGCGACGCTCCTCCAAATAGGGAGCAGCACTATGCGGATCCCCCGAACCCGCCCAGCCATCACCGGCAATTATCTTTTTCACTGCTGCAGCAATACAACCGATAAATGATGCGTATTGGTACTGAACCGAGTATCTCACCACCTCCTCCACGGTTTCCCACCGCGAACTTGACCCACCAACAGCAGAGCTCCAAGCGTCTCTTCGCCCTCTCAGCTCTCGCAGTCTCGACCACGTCAAGATTGAGCGACATGCACGAAGCATAGCTTCAATTCTTCAGTCTTTTACAAGGGTGGACTTCCTGATGATCTCATGCTATGGCTACCCTGGCGATGTTGGCGGATCGCCCCGCCCAAAAGCATGCATTCTCTTGGCGTTCTTGTTTGTTTTTTAATAGCGCAGTAGCAACGCTGGACGTTGCGGAATAATGGCAAATGTGCATATGTACATGTGATGGAATCTAATGAAATGTTTACGATGCGCTTGCTCGACTACCTTACCATCTTCTCTCTGCCTCACCGTCCCAGGAGCGGAAATGTTTCATCGGAACTGCCTTCCTGTGCTGCCTGGAAAGCCGTCTCTTTCGACTCATCGACGAGATCGTCTCGTGTCGACGGATAGATCTGACACTTCTCAAAGCGTTCCACTACCTTATATTCCTTCTAGCAGGATTTCTACGATACTAACAAAGAGCCATGATACCTCCCCTGCTCTCATGATAAATCTCCTCCATTTCACAGCTACTTGCTCGACCTTTTCCCACCTCGACACTCACGCTCGGATAGGATGAGATGCTTCCCGCGGCTCGGTTTCGATCCTTGTCGGCGGTATAAGACCGACACCGAACGATTGGATACTCTGGGTGATAGACATGAGTGCATACAGTGGGGATGCAAATGTAGGTACCATGCAGCGAGCTGCTTACAGTACCAGGTCTCGAGAAAATTTGGTGGCAGCGACTGCGATTGCAGTAAAACCAATCAAACCCTCGATCAAGTCAAGTCATTGATGCTACTTACGTTTGAGTGTGTTGCACAATAATAATACAAGTACGAAAATCGGACAGAAAGCTTCGAACGCGAAGCACACGACTACCTACATATTTCATTCGTATTTCGAAAGAGATGTTCGAGGATGTAGCTATTGCGCCTTCGATCCGCCACTACCTTACTCGTCATGAGCGAAATGAGACGAGGTTTAAGACATGCAGGCGTTGAGAATCGATTTGAGCTTCTGGAGGGAGGGAGCTACAAGAAGCTACCGAATGGGACAATCATGAGGTTGAAGCGGCTCCGAAAAGCAGGCAGGATTCGGAAGAAGAAGAAGAAGACGACGACATGTTCGCGTCTTTCTGCTTCCTCATGGCCTGTCACCGAATACGCAAGAGAGCGATATCAACTGGGAAGCAGTATCGTGTTGAGAAGATTGGATGACTGAATTGCTTACCTAGGTATCTACCTCGAGTGAATGACAACCCCTATATATATTCATCCACTAGCTCAATACCTTATTTAGAAAGTTCCACTTTACAAATCAAGTGAATGAAATCCTCGTCGAAGTGCATGTTCTCAAATCTTCAACATATCGCAACAAGGAGGTATCTTTGGTGATCGCAGAATATCGCGCTGCTTGCGACGTACCGGCGAGCGTCACAGCTTCGTTCTATATGCTCAAGCATCACGCCATTCTTTGTTGGCCTGCTACATGTACATATTGAGCGAATGGTAGTTATATAAGACCCGGATTATGCAACAAGTAGGAGTGCTACATGGGAGTAAGGTAATTGCACTTGTACAACGCCCTGAAGCCTCAAGTGACGACTTGGACGGATATGGAGATAGTCATCGGTATGTATGGCGAAACAACCATGTATCTGTTCAAGAGCATTGCCCCAACGCAACCGAGGGAGCATATTCAAGCGCCATGAAATCACCATGAGGAGATCAAATGTCTAGTTCCGAGACTGTTCTCGGCGTGCCTGGAGGGGACCACCAGTATTGCTAGAAGTGAACCAGCCTTTGCTGGACGTTATGTGCCAATGCTACAGCGTCAAGGCACGGCAAGGGAGAGTCAGCTTTCGTTCTTCGGGATATCGAACATATACTGAGATCCAGTCAGAAGCCAAGACTCGTGCTTCGCGAGCATTAAAGAGGCACAAAAGGATCGACCCAGTACGAATGCTTGTCTAGCACAATTGTACTTCGCCTCCGTCTCTTTCGATCGAAGTTTTCTTGGGTTGGCTTCTATTACCTCATTAATTGGCTTAGCTACCTTAGTTAGACTAACAGAGAGCTCACACAGAGTACATAGGGTAGGAACATAGATTAAGTCTCACCTTGCACRTGTACACGGAAGGAATGACGGTACATGGAAGAAATCACGGAACTACGGAAAGAAAGAAGCGGCTGAATGGGAGGTAGCGACACTCAAGAGCTGCCAAAGCAACGCAATGCAGCAACAGTGTCACAGTCACTGTAGCATTTCTACCTCACGGAGACTCGGCGAGTGAACATGAAAAAAGCTTGAAACGGTCTGGATAGAAACTTGAGCACGTTGGTTCGATTTCTAATAAGACCGTTATGTTGGGAGCCTGATTGACAACTTGCATCCATTGCAGAATCAAGATCTAGTCAAAGAGAACTGTACATTCACATCCCCAGAAACAACCGCTACGCACTGCTAGCCACTCGGAGAATGTCCAACCTGTTCTCATTAGCCACCAAGGCTTGTAGACGCCACGACAAGGCTTGCCATACCTAAAGTAAAAGTCATACTAGTAGCATGTACCGACAACGCTGCAAAAGTTACAGCAGGTACGTCCATCCTTGCAGTCGACTACCAATTGTTAGTAGAGCCCGTGAGTAAGGACACAATCGTAAGCTACGTAYTGTGGCTGCAAAGTGTGAAGCGGCTAAAGATGTTGGAGAATCCGATCGCCACGCCGTCTGCGACGGCTTCTTGAGGGGCGGCGTGGGCGCCGAGTGCGAGGCACAAGGCGGCGCTGATGATACCATGGGCGAACTTCATGATGGGGAAGTGTTCGAAAAGGATTCGTTGGAGCGTTGGATATTCGTTGGAGCGGTGGATATTCGTTGGAGCGGTAGATACTCGTTGGACGAGGTCGGCTTCGAGAGAGGCGGGAGGAAGTTGTTATATAGCTATTCCCTCTCACCGCGTCGGTGTAGCGCTACATGCTTCATCGTTGTCGTCGTCCTGGTTGCTGTCACATCATACTCTTACGATTGCGGGCTATGTCAGAAGACACTCATGGTTATACCCAGACAATCTTCGTGTACAGGAGTATGGCCCGCATACAGGACCCACGCTAAGAAGACAGGGAGATTTTTCATCCAATATGCGTACTCCATTCTTTCGACAATTGACGCGGGATTGGATCAGACTTCCCGCTCAGATTCCCGTATGCGCGTCTAGGCCTGTAGGCAATCTTCGTGTATAGAGCGGGAACCAGGGATCGGGGGAATTGACTAAGGATGTAGAGGTCGGTGCACCAAGGGGCACTCAACCAGCAATCAGTGCCAACCACTCGAGATAGATGGTCTACCAGTAATCACCTCGTAGGATACGGGGCTTCCGCGGCTAACGTACCTGCACGAGCATGACCCCATGTTATACTTTGAACGAGGCCGTGCGCGGGCATGTTCATCTTCTTCGTACGGTCGTATATAACAGCCGTCCAAAGTGAATCTCCAATCCTATCCTTTTGCAGGTTGTACGGTGAGTCCGCGGAACGTGAATCCGAGTTGCGGCAGCGAGCGGACACTTACGATTGCGGCCAATCGACCAGTTCTCCGACGAGCCCTATTGCGAAGAGAGCCCAAAAACGGTGCGAAAACCCCATGCCTAAGAGCGCCGCTTGCAAGGGCTCTAATTTCGTCGCTGAGTTTCCAGAGGGACTTTGTTTATTAACTGCTTCTTAATCTACGTGTATTGTCGATAGCGTTACTGTTTTGTGAGTTTTGAGGCCCTGTTATACAACGACCCGCCCTTGGTTCGAGTGGCTAGTATTTTGTCCGAGAGCGTATCAATACGCCGCAAAAGGGAACCAGTCTTGTGAGCGTGCATACAAGGCCGCGGTTAGTTGAGTTGTTCGAAAAAACTGCAGATTTACTCACGTACGAAAAAACACCTCCACCCCATACTAGCGAGACTGGCTATGTACGGAAAGCCGCCTTTTAGCGTAAGAACGTCCGTGCCCTAACCATCCCAAGTGTAGGTGACTGCTACTAGACTACAGGGTGGTTGCTGGTAGATTGTCCCGTGCACCAAGCTCGTATACTTCGGCTTCTGGGGTGAACTCGTATGCGCTTGTAAAGAATCAGGCAGTGCAGAAGGAAGGTGTTTAGGCACTAGACCAAGGTGTTAGTAGCTCTAGACACTTGCTTGCGCCCGCATTTTGGAGCTGTGGAGTGTGCGGTTGGCAGAAGTTGCGGAGTGCGGTTGCCAAGTGTTAGAAGCTACCGCAGCCAAGCCTAAGCTACGTACAGTTTTTCAGGTTGAGATGAGCAGCGCGGCACCCCTGTCCAATCCTGGTCTCTCAATCAAATCTCATGAAAGTTGTCATCAATCCAGAATCAAAACGGCGACCAGGGTGCTGCGCGCTACTTAACTCAACTTGAAGGACTGTAATAGATGCGTCTGTTTAACTCTATGCAAACAGGGATGGTGGGCGGATGAAACCCGGCTGTAGGCAGCGTGAAAGGGCGTGTTGATTGATGAAGAGGCGAGAGCTGGTAACTCGCAGGGATTTACCCTCTTACAGTACGCACTGACCCATTTCCTAGGTACATACCGTGAGGTACTGTAGGCACCTGGGTAAGGTACATGTACCCCGCCTGTTTCGGCATTTGCTAACCCACATCACATCACTTTAGCCGCTGCATCGGCCTTTGAACAAACATGCATATGCCTTCAGCATGACGGTATAGGTAGCTCTTTCTTACATCCTTGCTTTCCTCAGACATTGCCTCCTACTCGGCGAGCCCTCAAGCAAACGCAGAACAMCAGCTGAAATCATGGCACCACTCAACGTGTGCATGGTAGGGACCGGCGAGTACACAACTGGATATGTAGGCGGTTCAGCTTCCGGCTCAGACAAGAAGGTCGGCGTCGTTGGCCTGACACTGTTCGACCTGAGAAGACGCGGCAAAGTGGGAAGTCTCTCAATGGTAGGAACCTCTGGGAACAAATTCCCTGGAATTCGCGCACATCTGCAGAAGAACATCACCGAAGCATGTAAGTAAAGTAGCAACCTCCCAAAACCTCTCACTCCACAGGAAACAAGCTAACCCAACTCCATCAACACAGACAACGGCCTAGACACCAGCTTCGAATCCTATCCCGGAAACGAAGAACGCGATCCAGAAGCCTACAAAAAAGCAATCGATGCCCTCAGTCCCGGAGATGCAATCACAATCTTCACCCCCGACCCCACACACTATCCCATCGCCCTCTAWGCCATCCAACGCAAAATCCACGTCATGATCACCAAACCCGCCGTCAAACTCCTCTCTGAACATCAACATCTCCTCTCCGAAGCCCGCAAAAATAATGTCTTCGTCTACATTGAGCATCACAAGCGCTTCGATCCCGCATACGCAGATGCTCGGAATCGCGCCGTGAAGGGAAGTCTTGGGGAGTTTAATTACTTTTACTCGTACATGTCTCAACCGAAATCCCAATTGCAGACTTTCTCCGCTTGGTATGTTGTGATATCCAATATATATGGCATTCCAATAAATCTGACGGAAGCAGGGCCGGCAAGGACAGTGACATATCCTACTACCTCAACTCTCACCACATAGATGTCTGCGAGAGCATGGTGCCGACTTATCGTCCGGTTCGCGTCATGGCTTCCGCTTCCACGGGTACAGCTACAGATCTCGGATGTGTGGCTGAGACGGAAGACACCATCACTCTCCTCGTGGACTGGGTGAAGAAGGACGGCAGCGGGAGAAGAGCCACAGGAGTGTATACCGCGAGTTGGACAGCTCCTCAGAAAGCAGGCGTCCATTCCAACCAGTATTTCCACTACATGGGCAGCAAAGGCGAGATTCGAGTCAACCAGGCGAAGCGCGGGTATGAGGTTACGGAGGATGAAGACGGATTGACGTATGGGAATCTTCCAACTTGAGCCGATGTTTCCGAAGAAACGCTAACTTTTTTCGCTCCTCCAGACACTACAACCCCTTCTACATGAAGTATGCTCCCGACGAAGAAGGCAACTTTGCAGGCCAAGGCGGCTATGGATACGTCAGCTTCGAAAAATTTGTAGACGGTTGCCAAGCATTAAAGGAGGGGAGAGTCTCGCTCGATGACCTTGACAACAGAGGCCTGCCAACATTGAAGAACACAATTGCAACAGGCGCAATTCTCGAAGCTGGACGCGTGAGTTTGGATCAGAAGCGACCTGTTGAGATTGTTGAGAAGGAGGGGGTTTGGAGTTTGCAGTAGGCTTCACACATGGATGTGATCCGATAATATAAATGATTGACAAACAACCCGCGATGCTGTGGTATCTAGCAGTGTCTTCAACAAAAAGGTAAGACCATTGCACGAAAGAGAGAAACTGCACAAGGCAATGAGACCAATTCCTCCTTTTTCATTGTCGAAGTTCTAGGGAAGAAATGGAAGGCTCGAAATGTTTGTTGAATTTGTGAATCTCGAATCAGCTTTTGACAGCTTCTGCGATCTCGGAAGTTGAGGAAGGCTTCTCGCCTTTGACGGCTTCCGAGTTGTCGGCGGCGAGGGAAGACTTCTCGTTTTTGACAGCGTCTGCGGTATTGGAAGCGGAAGTCTTCTCTGCTGTAACGGCTTCTGCGGTGTTGGGAGTGGAGGAAGTATTCTCGCTTTTGACGGCTTCTGCGGGTCTAGCAGCCGATGAGGGCTTCTCGCTTTTGACAGTGTCTGCGCTGTTGGAAGCGGAGGAAAGCTTCTCGGTCTTGACAGCTTCTACGGTGTTGGAAGCGGAAGAAGGCGTCTCGCTTTTGACATCTTCAGCGGTATTCGGAGCTAGGGGTGACTTCTCGCTTTTGCCGGCTTTTGCGGTGTTCGGAGCGGAGGAGGGCTTCTCATTCTTGACGGTGTCTGCGGTATCTGCGGCATTCGAAGCTGAGGATGGCTTCTCGCTTTTGCCAGCTTCTGCGGTGTTTGAAGCGGAAGAGGGCTTCTCGCCTTTGACGGCTTCTGCGGTCTCGGAAGCTGGGGAGGGTTTCTCAGCAGCCGGAGAAGGTTTCCCTGGTGTTGGCTGCTTTTCTTTCGTGTGGCCGTTCGTTTGAGGCGGCTAGGAGAGCTGAGGTCAGACACAATCTTCATACATAATCTCCAAGAGGTGATGGCAGGTAGATCGCAGGGAGAGCCCTGGAAGCACTTCATCGCACCTTATCAATGGGAGAGGAAACTTACGGATGTTTTCTTTTCGACCGCTGGTTCGGGAGCAGGAGCAGCCTTCGTCTCAAGGACCTTCGCTTCTGACTCGGGCTCGGGCTCGAGCTGTGGCTCTGACTTGGACTCTGGCTTAGCAATTTCCTGCTTGGATGTTTCCTCAGTCTGCTCTGCTGCCGGAGACTGCAACAAACGTGTCAGTATAATCTCCAAGTGGGTGTAACTTGTTAGCCATCCAGACACGTCTCCGCTTATAACGTCTACTGCCGTCGCGGAGAGATGGAGGAAAACAGGCCATGGGAGACAGGTGAAGATGAACACACCTCTTCCTGAACAATCGAAGGTTCCTCAATAGCAGTAGTGTCCCCAGAGGGCTCCACCACAGCATCCTTCGAAGCGGTCTTTACTCCTTTTGGGTGGCCGTTCGGCTTGGTACGTTGTGGGAGTTGTTTTGGGGCTGCTGGCTCCGCCTTCTGGGTTTTGTTAGATGATGCGGCGGTTGGTCGTGTCATGCGCTCCAAGAAACTCGAATCGACAGGGCCTGAACGTTTTGTTGCAGAGTTCTGTGAGCCACGTGAATCGGGACGACCCAGTGATTGGCGTGGTGCAGGTTTTGATGAAGCGGCAGCAGTCTTGGGCTTTGTCGTAGGTTTTGGGATGGCAGGAGCAGCAGTAGCCTAAGTGCAGGAGCGTTAGTGACAATTCGTCTTTCTACCAGAACTTTGATTTTGATACGTCCAGACCCTCGCTCTCGGCAGAGTGGGCTTTCGCGGGGAAAAGCGCCGCGGTAAAGCAACGTCAGAAAATCATGAGGGCGTACTTACAGGCTCGTATTTGGCGCGAGAAGCTGCTGTAGGCGCGGTCAATCGTGAGACGTCCGCAGTTTTGGTAACCTCTCTGGGTTTGGGTTTGGGAGCAGCCTTGCCTGGAAGTAAAGAGCAGAAGGTTAGCTATGTTCTCGGTTTTATGGGCGTGAAGAGACCCCCGCGTGATCAATATCCTTCAATCCCTGCGTGGGATGTATGTGTTTTGCTGTACTTACTAGAAGCGCTCGCTTTCTCAGCTGCTGCTGCCCGAGCTACTGATGCCGCGGTCGGTGCAGTAAGAGAGGCACGGGGTGGCTTTTTCGCTGCTGGAGCCTACAAAAAAAGTAACAGAGTCAGCGGTGTCTCGCTCAAAACACTCCAGCTACTCTCTCCGGCCTAGGCGGCCCACATGACAGAGGTCTCTCCATTGAACAGTCTCTTCCACTCCATTCTTGAGATGCCTTTTCGCCTTCACTGTACTTACAGAAGTAGGTTGTGAGGCCCCAGTGGAAGATGGAGACACAGGTGTCTTGGATTGGCTGGCGGGCGATTTGAGTGAGTTCGAGGTGGACTTGCTCGTGTCCTTGGTTGTGATTCCTGGCGGTTTGCCATTGGTATTGGCGGTAGAACGGGTAACGGCAGGTGATGTCTTTGCAGTCTTCTTCGCCTGTGACTTGCGCAGATCCTCCGCGCCTGCCAGTGCTTTCCCTCCACTCACAGCCTCTTCACTGGCGGGATCCGCGGGTTTCATCTTTGCAGGCTCCTCCTCTGCGCCCGTGACCGGCTTGTCGGGGTTGCTAGCGGGCTTGTCCGTCTTGCTTGTGCGCAGCGGGTTCTCCACCTCTACCAACGGCGTGGGTGCCGCTGATTCAATGGCGGATTCCGGGATGGTCTCTCCCACTGAGGAATCTTCATTTCGCCGTGCCTGCTCGGAGAGGATGGTCTCGCGTAGGGCTCCCGCAGCCACGCCGTCTTTATTGTCGCTGAAGCTGGCTCGGCGGAGACCTTTGCTACTCTCTCGGTGATGCTCCGAGGCTGTGTTCTGGCTGACATTCCCAGCACTTCCCTCGGCGGCGCTGGACATGTTGAGGCGGGCCTCGACAGCAACGAAGCTGGATCGGATTCGCGAACGCGGAGGCAGTGGTKAGGGCGATTTCTCGTCCTCCTGTCTGCTCAGTAGGCCAGGGGATCTCCCGCGTGCGTCGGGGGAGTTTTCGGATGCTTTGTTTTCGAAGATGGATCGGAGGTTGCGGACGGCGGAGGATGATCTCTCGGGGGACATTTCTTTGAAGAGCATCACAGATCAGCGAACCATCTCTTGAGGGAGCGTCATTGCATGTTGGTGATGAGTTCGGACAAAGTGCAATCGCACCGCCACGTCGTTTGATGCGTTTGATGAGAGCCAGGATAAACGTGGAGCGGTTTAGATCGTCTCTGACCTCTGGCACCGAGGACAGGGGGGACGCTCGAGCTAGCTGTCCATGGGTATACGCACAGCGGGCAGTGCGATATCACGGACAGAGGGCGGGGCGGAGGGGATGGGTACTCACACAGCTGTCTGATTTTCTGCATTGCGCCGGGTTCTGTCGTTTGTCGAAGCAGACTCGTGGGTCTTGAATCGTGCGCGATGATGCAAGGCAAGGTTCGCATGGAACATCAGTATCTCAGGGGCTTGCGGATCAATTTAGCTCGACAGCTAGAGACACTGTACCTTACTCTGTTTGCCGTAGTTACCTCTGTATAAGATGAACACATGCTCAAGTTTAATTCGTCTGTTGGGCATCGCTCGTCACATAACCTTGCAATTCCCTCGCTCAACCAGGGGAGTGACCGCTATGCCAATGGAAGCACTGCCGGCATATTCAGGACCGAGAGACGCGTCGAGCGCGTGTAGTGTCCACMAAATCGGCCGAAAACGTTGACCAGCAGAACGTGTACACCACGAGGCTGACGCGACTTTGACTGTCGTTTTCATTTTCATTGATATACTAATGTCGGCCGCATGCTTCGAAGCCCTTCCCCCTGCCATTCCAACCTGACAGCCTGTTGGCAACATTACTGACGTACCGCATCTCACTCGCTGGACTTTCAATAGATTTGCGGTCCTGATGATACCTCCACATCGCAGTATAAGGTGAATAACTCCTCTCCAAGCGATCTGCCAATCCGGGTCGACCTGAAGCTCCTTTGACACCCTCGCGCAACATCCTCAAAATCGATTCCTTCGGCCTCTGATCATCAAAGCTCCGCCCTCCTCGAATGATGCCACAGTTTTGATCTTCCTCGCACTCACCACCGGCTTTGCCTTTTGTCTCCTGCATGACAACCGCAAGGACCAGCCGTGGATCGACTTCGCTCTCCCTCGCAACCTGGAGGATCCCTTCTTYGACGTAATGTTGAATATAGGTGTCGCCTCCATTACTGGATAGCACTTGCTCTCGATTCAGGTCCCATAGGTGGTTCCACGATAGCCACTCGTTAGGACTAGGGTAGCTGCTGATGTAGCACTGGTAGCCATCACGCGGCATCGGTAGCTTTGTGCCACCGGGTAGACGGATTTGTGCCCAGTTCACATCGCTTGAAGACTGCAAGTCAGAACGAATATCTTGCAGGACCGGTGAAAAGTGGGCTGCGGAGCTTGCGGCCAATATTGAAAGGATCAGGACCTCGGAAGGGAGCATCATAGTATCTCGTGAGATCTGTTGATGCTACGGGAAATGATGATTAGTGATGAGCGCCTGTCTGCCGAGAAGTTCCCACGTGTTCGCTCATTGGGATTTAGACATGATGGAGAGATGGGAAAGAAGAAGAGAGACGCCAAGTAAGTAAGTGAGCCTGTCCAATGGCGTGATTGAGCTGCGGCCTCTCGCTCGGCGAAGGATGAAGGAACATTCAATCATCAGAGATTTGAAGAACATCTCCTGCCCGATCGCTAGGCGCTTCACCGGCTGTGACCTCAGTGCAACCTCTTGAGTTTTGCATGCGGCATTTTGAACACGAAGGAGAGGCGCAGCTTGCGGGAGGATCGTATTCGATCACGCGCCGGCGGCATATGCAAAGCATGTTTCTGCACCATGTCGGAACAGCGCGTGTGTTTCACACAACGTGCGGTATGTATCTCACCTCTCCTCGAGGATACCAGACATTTGCAGGTTGTGTGACGGTGAAGAAGAAAGTACTAACGGCATGTGCTTAAGCAGACTTCCAAGGTGGTCGGCAGATGAGACATTCTGTGGCGATCATGGCGTCACCCCACAAGCGGCCTCTTTCTCCATTTGGGTCACGAGCGAGGCGCCGTGGGAACCAGTTCGCCGCCAGCAGTGGAGTCACCAGTCTTCCCGCGGCGCGTACCTGATATGTAACCTCGTAGCCCTGCTGACATAGACTGCATTCTTTCGATGACATTCTTCCTGCGCAGTGCGTAAGTCGAGACCTTCTTTCTCTCATCCTTCATCAGCCTCAGCACAACCTTTCCTCACGCACTCCCAACCTCATCGTCAACATCCGACTTGGAAGGCAACAGATAGAGAAACTACCCACATCAAACATCATGGCAGCCGCCGAGTACTACTCAGGTGGTCAAACTCCACCTTCGCGACCCCAGCTCAATACCTATGCCACTCCCCCATACCCGATGTCCGATGCACCACCTCCATATTCCGTACTTGCAGAATCAAGGCCACACTCTCAGCCTCCTCCTGCAAGACATACCTCCGACATATATCGACCATATCCTCCGAGCAACCCTCAATACATCCCCGAAAAGCAATCGAGACCGCCACCTCAGAGCTCGCAATACGGAGGATCGTACAACCCTCCAAAACAATCATTTGGAGGATCATACCATCAACAACAGTCTGGCTACCTTCAGCCTCCCGGTCCGTCCGCGTATAACAATCAAGGATATACATCGAATCCAAATTATAGCGTACAGCAACCAGCAAAACATGCACACTTTCGGGATGATCGAAGCCGCGATAGAAGTCGGAGTCGGAGTCGTGGCGACAGAGATTTGGACCGGGAGCGAGACCGGAATCGACGTCACAGAAATCACAGGCCAGATTCTCACCATCGATCAGACTCGTACAAACAGGATGCTGGCAAGAAGAAGTCGAGCAGTGCAAACACATTCATAGGAGCAGGAGGTGGTGCTCTTATCGGAGATGCGATCTTCCCTGGGCTCGGCACTATTGGTGGAGCCATTTTGGGTGGACTTGGAGGTCACAAAGTCAGGTATGTTGAGTTCTGAAAGACAGGAAGAGATCGCATTTGCTAACATTTTCCGTTGCAGCAAGGACAAGGAAAAGGAAAGTCGAGGATATGGCAGCTCCAATCGATCACGAGGAAGATCATACTCGAACGATGCGGATTACTACTATGCGGATGACCATCGGAGGGGAAGAAAGTATTGAAGCACAGCTGTGCTGGCGAGTGCTACGATTAACGAGACCATTTAACGATGTAATCTGAGAGATGTATAAGAAATCAAGATCCAACACGAACAAACATGAGTACGATTACAACACACTCTCAAAGTCAACTGTATTGGCATTCATCTTGTGACCACGGTTTGCCTGTTAGCGTAGGCATGGCTGTCATGGCTCATCATCATTCCTTGTTGGCAGCTTCGTTGTAAAAGACGGACAGTCTCGTATTGAAGCACATGTTTACGCTATTGGTTGTCATCCATGAAGCCGCTGCAAGTCATCGTTCTCGCACCATGCACGCATGCGGGGCAATCATTGGATCGCATCCCACTTGTGCCAAATCATCCCCATCTCTGGAACCGACACGAAGCCTTTGAGCAATCTTTCCCAGCTGACCTTCCTTCATCCGTCACCTCCGAGCAGAAAGTCTGCAAAGTGTGTATAAATTACAACCCTCCAACAGTCGCAGTCGCATTCATCAACCTCGGACGCCACTAAGCGAAACGCCACTTCCAAACGCGCGAGACAAAGACCACGACGATCCATTCCTCGCGATTACCAACCCCTACACCACCGACAACCCCGCCGACACGCCGACCTCACTCCCGCGATTCCATCTGAGACAAAGAAATCGCAAACCCCTCCCTTCGCGTTTCCCTCCACTCCCGGGAGTCATCCCACTTCGCCACGCACCTTTAAACACGCCGTGATCCATCGCGATCACAGCGAGGTGTAGTTGTCGGAGTCACCGGGAGACAGAGAGTCCTCGGTGTCAACCGCTGCAGCTCATGAGCAGCCATCTGTGGAAAGCCTTCTATGAAGACGATGTCGACACCTTTCGGCAGCTGTTGGAGACCGCGGCCAACAATGGTCGGCCTCACGCATCAAGAGCTGGCGGAGGAGGAGGGCCGGCGCATCATATTGGAAGCTTTGGGGGAGGAGTCTCAGGTAGTCCAGGCACTTTTGGAAGCTCCCCATCGATGAGGAATCGCAGGCCGAATAACCATGCGGGATTCGTTGTATCGAAAGCTGAGATGAATTCGAGGGATGCTCTGGGCATGACCCTTTTACACCATGTTGCTTCGTCTACGTCGGAGAATGCTGTGGGGTTTGCGACTGCTTTGATCGAGCATCCATATACGGATCTCTATGTTCAGGATTTGGAGAACTCGTGGACTGCGCTGCATCGCGCATTCTACTTTGGCAATATCACTATTGCTAGGGTTATTCTGGAGCGGGACGCAGTGCGGGCAACTGGCTCTGTGAACCAGCTTGTGAAAGGTATGTATTTGCAATTTCACTATGCTATGCTGTCAAGTATTTCCTCTTGCGACGCTTTCTCTCAAGGCGGTCTTATGCATTGCTACTTGTTCGCTTCTGGAGTCGGAAGCTGACTTCTTCCAGTCAAGGACAAGGAGGGCCTTGGCCCACTCGATCTTTACGCTGCGACGATCAAAGACCGGACGCTCAGACCGGATGCTGGTGGTCGATCTAGATCTGGATCGATCGGAAGCGATGATGATCGTGCTGTTGGGGACAGTGGCGACCTCGAACAGCCAGCCTCCCGTATTCGTTTCCTAGAGCTCAACAGTGATCAAGTGTACTCTTTTGGAAGCAACAACAACAATAACCTGGGCTTGGGTGATCAGGATGATCGGCAGTTCCCCGAGCGTGTGAACATTCGACGACCCGAACATCTCATCAAGCGATTCTACGAAGAACATCTAGAGCGAGAGCAAGGGAAGTGGTCCGCCCACGATTTATCCTACCCGACCAAAACCACAGATGTATCGTCTCTGTGGGTTCAAGACATCCCCTGGATCGTTCGCTCTCGGCCCATCATAATCCAAGATGTACACATGTCGAAACTGCACTCTGCAGTTCTAACCACCGATCCGGAGTCGAACCTGTACATGTGCGGGCACGGAAAGGGTGGTCGGTTAGGAACAGGAGATGAACGCACCCGCTTCCACTACAGTTGTGTGGAAGGCGGATCTCTTGCAGGGAAGCGTGTAGCGAGCGTTGCTCTGGGTCAGAATCATTCGCTTGCCTTGACAGACCATGGAGAGGTCCATTCTTGGGGCAACAATGGTTACGGTCAGTTGGGATACGGCCTTCCAAAGATGAATACCGATGAGGATCCTATCAGTATGGTACCGCGCCAGATCTTTGGACCACTCAAGCGCGAGACTGTAATAGGCATTGCTGCTTCGCGGGTTCATTCCGTTGCGCACACATCTACTGGCTTATATGTCATGGGAAAGAATGACGGTCAGCTTGGAATCGTCGACTCCGATGCGCGATCCTTAGACATTCAGGTCACGCCGCGGAGAGTTGCAGCGTCCTTGTTCGCTGCGCCGATCGCAGCAGTGACCGCTATTGAACGGGCTACGGTGGCTCTCCTGGAGAATCACGACGTGTGGATATTTGCAAACTACGGCTATGCCAGAGTGCAGTTCCCTCTTGAGGGATTCAGCAACTACTTCTTGAAGCAGAGCTTCCTCGTCACGACTTACGACACTGCTCCGAACAAGATCAGCAAAATCACAGCACAAGGAGACAGTATTTGTGCCTTGTCGACTCGTGGTGAAATCTACACGCTTTCCATCAGCCAACGGCCTGAGAATCAGTCAAGTGCTTCCACTACCAATCCAGCGAAGATCAGAAGTGCGATAACAACGCCTCAGGTCATCTGGTCTCCTAAGAAGAGTAACATGGCCGCTCGAGATGTTGGTCTCGACATTGATGGCAGCATTATTTTGACAACGGAAGAAGGCAGCGTCTGGAAACGTACGAAGCGTGCAAAGATCAACGACGCTTCTGCTGGATCCGCTGCAGAGTACAAGCCAAAAGACTACAAATTCTCCCGTATCCCTGGTCTTACTCGGGTGCTAGCTGTTAGATCTTCAGGTCATGGCGCTTATGCAGCCGTCAGACAGGATTGCGATGTCATGAAGACACAAATTGTGGTAGAGGACCCGACAATGTGGAAAGACATGTTTCCCCTACTGTCTCTCGGGCGCCTGCTTAGCGGTCGCGCTGAAGAAGACGAGGACGACTCACGACCTCGATTCTGGCAGAGTTCGCAGAAGCCAAGCGAGCTCGCAAGATTGAAGAAGGCCATTCTCGGAAATGCAGACATTGATGCTGAACTCGCAAGGTTGTTTGACAACAATTATGCTGCATCAGGAGATAAGCACGATGCTTTCTTGGCCACGACAACTTGCGACATCAGGATTCCTGTGCATCGCTTCGTCTTAGCTGGCAGAAGTCGTGTGCTTCGGCGCGGTCTGCGCGATCTGTGTCCGACTAGTACCTTTACGATTCCGGATCTGGCACAATCGGAGCTCGATGGAGAGCGGCGCCTGGTTGTGACATTCACAGGGATCGATATCCTTACGATCCTCGACTTGGTAAGTCTTATTGTCTACATCTCGCAAAAATGCTTCCTTTGTCAGCCGTTCGGGCATTACTGACCCACTCATAGGCGTTGTACTTCTACACTGACTCCATCGTCGACTTCTGGAATTTCACACGCAGCGCCCCTAAAGTCGCATACAGCTATCGTCAGGTCCGCACAGAGCTTATGAAGATTGCTTCCAAGTTGGAGTTGGCCAAGCTGGAACCAGCCGTACGCCAGATGGTTGAGCCACGACCTTCTCTCAACGTGGACTTGCACGTTGCTTTCGACGATCCAGCTTTCTTCTATGACGGCGATATCATTGCACAGCTGGAAGATGACCAGATCAAGATGCACAGTGCCTTGGTATGTGCACGCTGTCCGTTCTTCGAAGGCATGTTCTTGGGTCGCGCAGGAGGTCGATGGCTTGCTGGCCGGGACACTGCGGAGAACATTGTTGTCGATCTCAAGCACATCAGCTCGAAGACATTCAAGCTTGTACTTCGCCACCTGTACTGCGACACTGGTGCTGAGCTATTCGACGATGTGGTCAGTGTCGTTGATGTTGATGACTTCTTGGAGACTGTCATTGATGTATTGGCCGCTGCAAACGAGCTCATGCTCGATCGTCTCTCCCAGATCTGCCAATCAATTGCTGGACGATTTGTGAACGCTCGCAACGTCTGCAGCTTACTGAACGCGATATCGCCAAGTTCGGTGGCCGAGTTCAAAGATGCGGGACTGGAATACCTCTGCCTCAATCTGGAAGCTATGCTACAAGGTCACTTTCTGAACGAGTTGGACGAAGACCTGCTGGAAGAGCTTGACGAAGTCGTGCGTGCCAACCAGCTGGCTTGTATGCCATTTGCGAAAAGCGGTCGTGCGGAGATGCTACTGCATGAGCGTCACCCAGAGCTCGCTTCTGTGATCGACCGCAACAGACAAGCCAAGATCGACTCGGTCGTATTGCGGACGAAGTTCAGCGACATGGCCATCGTCGCACCAGGTTCGCTAGGAGATGACTTTTCTACGTCACCGATGCAGCAGAAATCACGCCGTCGTTCGTCGAACATTGTGAAAACTGATGCGGACAGACAGTTGCTGCGGGCCAAGGCATCTACAAAAGACATGATGTTCGACATGGACGAGGAGCTAGACCCCAATGCTTCACCACGAGAGTCACCAAGCATCAGACCGATGACGAGCCCTCGAGGTCAGGATCCTCTGTCTTCGACACCGATTGAAGATACATGGTACAGCTCGCGCGGGAAGGTTCTGACCTCCCCAAGACTGGCTGCTCAGTCGTCGACTCCCAGTGCTACMCCGAGGACTCCACGATCTCCTGAGATTGCCGGAAAGACTCCAAATTCTGGCAAGCCATGGACACTTACGCCACTGGCAGCACGCTCGTCCGGACTCAGGGACATCATGGCGCAGACTGCCTCCGGCCGAGAATCATCTCTTACTCAAGGCCTGGCCGCAGCCAACAGCTCGCTTTCGGACATCCCAGCACCGTTCAGCCTTCCCGCACCCAAGCTCTCACAAATGTCACAGAAAGATCGAAAGCGCATGCAGCATCTCCAACAATCCGCCAGCACGAGTCCCAAGGCAACTGTAGCACAATCAGCATCGCCTTCATTCTCATGGCAGACCGTCTCAGCGCAGAAGAAACCTGGGCTTAAAGATGTCCTTGAAAGCGAGGTATCCGCCGCCGCTGCAGCAGCCAAAACCAGATCAGCAAGCACCCCGCATCTTACAATGAGGCAGACAGTCTCAAACCCAAAGTCCCCGGCACCACCTCCAGCGAAGACAATGACTGGTCCGGGCTCACGCACCGTCTCCGAGAGCAAACCAGCAACATCTTCGGGCATTTCTCAATTCTCCAATAGCAAGCCAATCCCACATTCGATCCGCCATCAACCTCCTCCAGAACAGGTATTGGGATTGAGCATGTCCGAGATTGTGGCTCATCAGCTGGCAGAGAAAGACCTCATCAAGGAAGCCGCTGCGAAGAGGGATCTACAAGAAATTCAAGCTGAGCAGGAGTTTCAAATGTGGTGGGAGGCCGAGAGCGCGAGGGTGCAAGAAGCCGAGCAGAGAGCTGCGGCCGGTCCTGCAAAGGCGGCGAAGAAACCCAGACCCAGAGGTGGTCGAGGGAGAGGTGGCAAAGGGCGAGGTGGAGGCAAAGCTGTCGCAGGTGGCAGTGCTGAGACAGCTCAATGATAGAGATGAAATGCCAACTGCAAACTTGGTCACTTCTTGTACCAGTTATGTACCTTGTCCTTCTAGGGAATGATGTAAACTTCAAACAGGCCGCTCGATCTCAAACATCGTTCTCAGGTCGTCTTCATGCTCTCTGTCCTCCTCATGCTCTCTATCCTCCTCACGCTCCTCGCGRCACATTCCATCCAAAACAGTGCTTCGCAGGGAAAAGTGTATATCGAGCAAGGCCCACAGCCCCAGGGTGCGCAGAGCACCTCGCTTCAACAAGTGATCTTCAGCGACCAATAGGTCGCATGCCAAAACTTGGCCATTGTTGCAATGATCTATCGAAAGGATGTTCGCTGGCCTCGCAGATCTCGCCAGGAGACGGCAATGTGCCGTGTTGGAAGTAACTCCGAATGTGATTCTCGGTGCAATTACTGGTTGTGGTCTTGAGGCCATGTCCAGTGGAGTTCTGAGTCAATACCACGGCGCCCTTGAATCCCTTGGCCATCTTGATGGCGTTCCTCAAAGGAGTGGTCGGGTCAGCAGTGTTTCCGACAAACCTGTAAAGCGTGAATTCAGCGGTCAGTCCGTGGCCAAAATGTAACGATGCGACTTACAGGATAGGATGGCTGGTGTTGCCTTCCCACGGGCCAGTGAAACGATATCGTGGACGGATGCTGTAGCCCGTGCAAATGTTGATGTTGTTTATGAGCGTTCGCCCAAAGTAAGACGATTGGTCCTCGAGATGCTTGAGATGTTCCTCAAAGTCAGCCTCGCTCACTCCGCTTCGATCATTGCCGTCGGTGCATGTAATTCCCATTGCCGGTACGTTATTCGCGTGGACGAGACCATCGGCTGATGTCCACGTGGTACTGACACCCTCTGACTTGCTCGGTAAGAGCTGACATAAGTCGTTTCCCTTCTCCTTACAAGTCAACGCATTTTCAACAACGGCCAGAAAGCTAGCGAGCGATGGAAATTCGTCGATCGAGTTGTGACTATTCTGCCATCAGTATGCCCTTGAGTACTGCTCGCTCCACCAACTTACAGCGCGTCGTATATCGTTGCATCAATCTCGTCAAGTTTCTCGCGCGTAACCATACCTGGAAGCAGCATATATCTGTCAGCACATCAACCATGTCGATGGTTCTCAACAGAACTCACGTTTAGCGCTGGACAAAATATTCTGCACCCTGGCTTTGACGCCCTCTGCAGTGCTTGTGCCGGTTCGGTTCGCGAGGGCGCACCCGACTGAATTTTCCTGGTTCTTGAGGCCCACTCGCGCGCAATCTGAATAGAACTGGTCCATGGCCTTCTCGGTGTCGTCAAGCCGATGGTAGTCCAGACCTTCGATGTAATCATCCGCGTCCACGACCCCATCTGCAATCATTCGTTCCGTCTTGTTTGGATACATTGTGGCAAAGGTTGCCCCCAGAAAGGTTCCATAGGAGACGCCCCAGAACTGCAGCTTTTCCAGACCGGGGCGATACTTCCAGGATTCCCCGGGGGCCTTTTCGATACCGTGTTTACCATCTTTGGCCAACAGCTGTAAGCCTTGCTGCTCACGCCACCGCCCGTGAGCCTCCACCAACGCCATCACATCCTGAGCCACGCAATGTGAAGTCATATAGCTGAAGCGGAGATCAGTAATGTTAGCTTGTGTTTCGAGTATTGGAGAGCCAGCCGACAAAGTTTGAAACACGCAATGTACCAGCCATGACGTACCTCTTGATATCTGCCTGGCCATCGGACGGAGGCAAAGAGCACTTTTCGCCCTGCTCCTTTGCATCTTGCCACAAGTTCTGAAGGGTGTCTTTGGACTCATTGAACTTTGGGTCGTAATCCGGGCAATTCATCTGGGGTCTGCTGTGTCCAACTCCTCTTGGGTCAAAGGAGATGATGTCAAAATATAATCCGAGATCGTTGTCCTGCGTATCTGCAATCCTGCTCATTTCCTCGCCGGTTGGAGTCGACGAGATGTATCTGATACCAGATTCTCCTGGGCCACCGGGGTTGTACAGAATTGCGCCGCCGTACCTTGGCGAGGTGACGTTGGTATTGTTTGCGGCAGGCTGTCTGATCACAGCAAGACTGATGTTGTCCTTGACCGACTGATTCAAGTGGTCCATGGGCAGCTCCAATCTGGCACACTGGAATCCACCGTAGCAAGCCGTGTAATTCAAATCCGGTCCAGGAACAAGATCGTCCCAGTCGAACGTCGCCGCTACTTCCTTGTTACTCTCATTGAAGACAGGATCCAGTAAGCCGTCCAATCCAGTCTCCTCGGCAGCGCTCAGCGGCAAGTTCGCAACGCAAAGAACCGTCAAGACGACGAGTGCCAGCCGTCCGAATCCGTGGTACCGATTGRCTCTGTTGAGACCGGTGCCATGTTGATGCATATCCATATCGGATGATGAGCCTCAGTGAGACTGTTTTGATGCTGGGGATGTTGATGTTTGGGGATGGAAATGGGTATGTTCGCTGATTGATCTGTGATGGAAATGTAAGATCTGATGGTTGTGTTGTTGAGAGGAGGATGGTGGAGGATCACTTGCTGGAGGTAAGAAGGTTCTGTGGGATGGGTGAGGAAGGTGGTGCTTGGATGTTGCTGGGTAAGTACGAACATCTTGAGGAAGTGACGATATGATGTACCTGGATATTGGAGATATAGCAGCGACGCAAGAGCGATCTCGTTCAAGAAGCCATGGCTGCCCGGTTGCGGGCGTGCAGGTGGCTGTAGCCAAAAGTAACCCTTCATGTTTTTAATCCCTGCCTGGCAGTCACCAACCGGTTGACAAGGAAAAGACACGTATCTGCGGCATCGCAATGTCTGAATGGATTTTCCCTGTATCAATACGCTTCGCTCGCTTGTACATTGCCAATGTGCATCATTCGATCCGGTTCCGATTCATCGCCACGTTAAAAAATGTTGTCCCACCATCACTCATTCACATTTCCAATCCCAAAATGAGTGATGTCGAGCGAGGAAGGCCCTTCAATCATGCCAAAAAGGACAAAAATTGGCGTCCATCAATCCGTCCAGTCCCAAACAGTTTTGAGAAATCGTACCATATCGACCCGTTTGGTCTTCATCTCAACCATCCAAGGGTGTTTCGTAATATGCCAGGGAGTGGCTCGTCGGAGGGCATCTTTCTCAAGACTGTTCCCATTTCGTCAGTACATATATGTAGCAACAACGTCAATCCAGACATCAAGACTCACCAGCAATCAATGAAATACTTGAAATTATCGCTCCACGTCAGGTCGCTTTCGGGCTCGTCCTTGAGCTTGGGTATCGGTTGTCGAACAATGTATGTGAGGAGATCAATGAGGCCAGCTCGAGGTTGCATATCCGTGCCGTCGGCCGGGAAAGGGAAGCGATGCTGTGCGACCTCCAATAATGTGACACCCAGACTMCAAACGTCACTGGTAATTGTATAGCTCTGTCCAGTAATCCGCTCGGGCGCCATGTAATAGCTGGTTCCAATGAATGTATTTGCGTCACCTTTGGTACCGAACTCGCCGCTCACACCAAAGTCACAAAGCTTCACTTCTCCCTTTCGCGTCAGAAGAATATTGGACGGTTTAATGTCTCGATGGATGATCCGGTGACCGTGGAGATATGTCAGTCCATTTAGCACACCCTCTGCGACCTTTCCAAGCACCTTTTCGCCCGTTCTGCCACCGAGTTTCTTCACTTCACGGTAGACGCTGTCCAATGAGCCGCCCTCGCAAAATTCCATACTAATCCCAATCGTGCCAGCGGTATCGTCCATGAAAGCGCCATAATATTGGCAAATATGTGCGGACGCACACGACTTGTTGAACGAAAGCTCACGCACAATCTGTTTCTTGACATCCGGATTGGGATCTGTAGTGATGATCTAGCAGTGTGATTAGCATGCACCGTGTGAGTGGATACAACAGCAGAACTCACTTTCAAAGCGAATACTGTCTTGCCGCCCTTCAGCACGCATCTTGTTACTGCTCCACCGGCTCCTTCACCGAGACTCCCCAGCTCCACTATGCGGCCCTCCTTCTTTGCTGCCTTCCATCCCGAATCATCAAGATCTTCGACATCCAACGGTCGGCCCTTTTCCAAACTCAACTTCTCCAGATCCGGCAGTCCGCCCTGCATGCTGTCTCCCCGCTCCATGCCTATTGAGTGTGCCGAGCTGGAGCTATACATGGAACCTGTAGCAGAGCCGGGGTCCTTGTCGCTGCGCAACATCTCAACAAAGTTCAAAGCAGAGTAAGAGGATGTCGTGGAGACTGACCCATTCTGAGTTGTATTCCCAAAGCTATTCGTTCTACTGTGTGCAGAGTCTCCACTGCTACCCGTGCCTGCAGATAGTCCTGGTGCGGAGATTTGTAGAGGCGGCCCTCTCCGTCTGGCCTGACCCTCTTGTGGGGTGTGAGAAGTGCCCATGGGCGTTGCCAGACTCAGTTTCGGCGGTGCTTGTCGTGTGGGGATCGTGAGTGGAGGYATGTTCGAGTTGTCTGACATTGGCGGCGCAGCCGCACTGTTGACGGGCCGCTGGCTCGGTGATGACGGGATTGCCAGGCCGAGTCGCGGGACTCTACTGCCAGATTGTTGTCGTCCCGCTCCGGGAATGGGCGGGCGCAGCAGCGGCGCCGGGGAGGACATGACGACGCGATCTGCTTCGGCGGCGGCGAGGGAGGAGGAGCTGGGGTCGGCCACGGTGGGCAGAACGGTGCAGCGGCTGTCAAGAGGGCGCCGTGCTCCTCTTTGACAGCCAGCTGGCGCGTGGGAGGGAAAGTGGAGACCTGGAAGGCGGCACAGCCAGAGGTGGAGCTATTCGCTACCTACCCAAAGGTGTGGTGTGGTATTGATGGGGCCGGTGGGGTGCAGACCGGCAGGCAGATGCGGATACGATGACAATGAGCTTGTCCTGTTGGCAGCCAAGGATGAGACCGAGGATTATGGATAGATGGATGGATGCTGCTGACGGGAAGACGTGGTGTTTGCTACCCAGGCGATGGATAAGTTACGGTGGACGGCGTGGTTTCAAGGCCTGCCAATGACCTGTGCGGTGGGTTTGGGATGAAGTGGAGTGAAACGAGACGAAGCGGACGATGGATGTCAAAAGACGCGAAGGAGTCATCTACGGAGTACAACAACAACAACGACGACGACGACGACGACAACAACTCCGACCAAACACCACGCGGATTCAGGAGACACGCACTCTTCAAAGATTGGGTCTGCGGCTGCGTAGGGCTGTTGTGCATGTGCATGTGCGAGGTGCATCTCCCCGACGTCGACGGTACCGTCATGCCGCCCACGGGACGAATGTTGTCGTTGCGCTTACGAGGCTAGATTTGTTGCTCATCATTTGCAAGCGCCCAGTCAAAGTCCAGGGCTGCCGAATGGGCGTGCGCCGTTCAACGTGGACGGCATCCGCTGCGTGCCGTTTCGTCTCACATCTGCCACATGCTACGGGACATGCATCTCAAACATGGAAACCTGGCGCTGGCGCTGGCGCCACTCGATGGGCGTCCCGTCGCCCACCCGCCGCGAYGCTGTCTCGCAACTCGCGCCCATCCGACCAGGGTCATAGGGCTGGCCCGATGCCCCGCCTCAAGGCTCCAGCTCGTGGTGGAGCTGAGCTGTCATCGTCCCAACTTCCAAGGAACAAGACTGACGATATAGAATAATATACTTCCTCTTCGAAACATCAAAGGCAAGAACTTGGATTCATCTTCCTCGTGCTCGCTCCAACACTCAACACGGTGATCTTTGCTTGAAGATTCTCAGACTCCACACGATCGGTAATCGCCAGACTCTCCAGCAGCCTGTTATCCGTCGGTATCAGTCCTCCTCCAAGGATACTCCATCAAAAAGAGAGCAACATGCCGATCATTCCAGGTGACAACGATCAGGGTACACGGATCAAATAGAAGCTCCAAATGCACGAGCACTGACGTCAGCCAGCTATCAAAGCCAGCCTGCAGCAAGGCAAAGAGGCCGCCGATGCGAAGAAGCAGGATGGCAACGTCGCTTCAATCAACGATCACAAGGCCAACTTGGGTCCCCAGATGGCTGAGAACTTGGGAGAGCCTGCCAGCAAGGAAGAGCTCAAGAAGCGTGCTGAAGAGTTGAACAAGTAAACCAAGCACTGCAGTGCTTACAAACACGCATGTCCCAGCCATTCGTACACAGACAGCAAGAACATCACCAACAGAGAGAACATTCACGAGCGACTGCCTCATGTAAATCAATCAAAGTTTCATTCATTCACTACAGAAAGAGCTCACAAATTAGCCGCCCACTGCCAATACCAGTCACTCAAGCGAAGGATTTCCGCTTCCTCGCATTTTTGGTCTCGTTCAGAGCTCTTCTCTCGGCTGTGCGGGCACCTCTGGCGGCCTCACCTCGATCGATGACTACCACGCCTCCTCTAGGATCGTCTGGCTTAGCAGCCTCATACTCTCTCCGGAAGCGCGTCTGTTGCTCTTCTTCTTCCTCATCGTCATCCGAAGGGGTCGATCGTCGAGCACGCTTAGCTTTAGGCGGGCCATCAGGTGCTTTTCCGTCATCGCCTTCCTTACGCTGTAGTTCCGCGACCTCCTCATCAAGCTGCTCTTGACCTGCAACCATCTCCGCAAGCGCCTTTTGAAGCAGCGAAGAAACCTCCTGGAGGGCCTCCGCCCGTTTACCACCGGCAGTAGGACTCTTGCTAGCCTCCGCACGCGCCTTTTGAAGCAGCGAAGAAACCTCCTGGAGGGCCCCCGCCCGTTTACCACCGGCAGTAGGACTTTTGTTAGCCTCCGCCAGCTTCTGTTGGAGTTCTCTGTTTTCCGCTCTGCTCGTTAGGAGGTCGTTGTAGGTCTCTCCGAATCTGTCATTGGCTCGTTTCAGTTGTTCCGCGACCGCATCGGAATCGTCTTTGGATTTCTTGACGATTGATTCTAAGAGATCATTCCTCGCACGGAGCGTTTTAACTTCGCCATCCAAGTCATCGATTTCATACAGCAGTTCATTCTTTTCAGTCTCGAGTTCCTGCAGGTCTTTTGCACTGTCGCCGGGTCCCGCAGTTGAGCGACCTCCACTCTCCTTCCGGGACCTGGCATTAGCCTCAGCCGTCATGACATCTCCTTCTTGATTGTCAACGTCGCCGTTGTCGTCTCCGGTACCGTTGATATGAGCCTTGGCCTTACGAACGACGGCTTCAAGGTATGTGTTTCTCGCTTTAAGTTCGTGTTGGTCACCAATTCTAGCTTCCATATCCCGGAAGTTACGGAGGAGGTCATAGAGTGCATCGAGTCGATTTGCCTTGGCTTCGAACCCAGCATCACGACCGTTCCCCAGCGCCTCCGCGTTTTGCTGCTGCTCCCCTGAACCGGAGTATATTTCTTCCAGCTCTGCTCGCAACCCGGCGACTTGGCTCTGGAGTCGCGCTTCATTCTCGACCAGTTCCTGGATCATATCATTATCCATGTTCCGGGTAGTCTCAGCTTGGCCAAGGGAGCCACTTCCACGTTCTTCCGTTCCATCAACTTGAGCTTGAGCTTGAGTTGTAACATCTTCAAGCTGCTGCTGCAAAACCGCTACACGATCCTCCAGTTCCAGACGCTGCTCCTCGGCCTRATTCATCTCAATCTGCGCCACTTGCAACGCCGCAGAATTCTCCTGCTTTTGCAATTCCAATGCTGTCGTAGCTTGATTAAAGGCTTCCATGAGACGTTGGTGTCTAGCATCGGAAGCTCTGGACTCCTCGCTTGGTGACTTTCCAAGATTACTATCATATACGTAGTCATCATCCAAATCCATATCAAGGCCACCTTCTGGGATTTCCTCCTCGTCCACTCCACGCGAAACAGACTTGGACCTGGATCGAGAAGGTGATTGAGTGGTGCGTGTTCCTCCTCTCGGAGTACCTGAAGCTGTAGGTCCCGTTGTAGCAGCATTGGTACTTGGTCGCCTCGCATTCGATTCACGACGGATGTTGTCCCCATACCCTGACAGTTGTTTGAAAGGACCAGGATATGAGTCCTTGATGGCAGGAGTAGTGGCATTGCCTCTCGGACCATGGCGTGTAGGAGGGCGAGCACCACCGCCTGCTTTTTGAGGACGGATGCCGCGGACGTCAATTATTGGCTCTTCTTCAGGAACATCATCGGCTTTGTCGACTCTTGTAGGACGTCTGGGCTGGACTTTGGAAGATCTGTCTTTGGTAGCGGGAGTACTGCCTTTTGGAAGTGAATTCTCGCGAGGTCCACGAGTGGGTTCTTTACTGGGAGAGAAAAAGCCGTCTCGAATCCCGCGAGATTTTGAGGATGGAATGTATAGACGCGAAGGATCGTCCAGATCGATAGGGTCAGTGGCATTGTCGCCCACTGTGGGAAGTTGCATCGAGCGAACTTGTACGAGATTCGATGCCTGTGTAGTCGGATTAGAGGAATTCTCAACTCTGGCCGGGTGAATCAGTTCTGCTGGAGTTATGGGGTAAGAACTCATCGGCAGTGTCGCATTCAACTCGTGCTGCAACTGGGCACTTGCCATGGCGTTGTATCGATCATTACGAATCGTGTATGCAGAACTGGGAGGCGGCAGCGCAGGACTGACAAAAGCACTATATTCGGAAGTCGGATAGGGACTATCTGGGCCTATAGCGAATCCTGAGGCCCGTGAAGCAGTCGAGGTAGGTTCTTTTGAGAGTTTTCTTGGAGCCGGGCCGGTCTTCATGTTGCGGAGTCTCATGTTGATGGGCGGCTTTCTGGGTGCGCCGCGACGGGTGGTGGGTGATTTTGCCATGTTGGAAAGGGATGATTCTTTCTCTTCTTGATAATGAAACCAGACAGAATTACCAGTATTTGGTTGACAGACGAGGGAGCATCGTTATGTCTTGCACTTGGAGTCTCAAAGGAAAACAAATCTCTTTGTCACAACTTACCGGATGCGGAAGCACGGCGAATGCCAGTAAGATAATTCCTCTCTTTTTCCTTTGTGAGAAGGGGACGTGAAGCTGGGTTTCGGATGTTTGCAACTAGGATGTGCGTTGCAGAATGTTCGAATGATCGAATGATGTTCGTCTGTAGCCCATGGCTCGCCCCTGTTGCGATATGATGGTCTGAATGTCTGCTGGCCCTTCGAAGGCATGGGACGTACTAGCACCTCGAGAGCCTGCGAATATATCCTGTCCCTGTTGGTAAATCTGCCTGCTCCTCGATCGATCGTTAATGAAGGGTGAGCATAGAGTTGACGATATGTGATCGTTCTTAGGGTCAGGGTTGGGGTAAGCATAGCTCCCATTTCACCATGCAACGTCTTTCGCGCAGGTGATTCGCGAGCGAAATGGATTATACCTCGCCATTTTTTAATTTGGATGCCATAAGGAGGCCGTCATTTCCTCACACAGCGCCGTATTTGGGCATAAGATGTGATGTGCTCAAAAACGAAGAGCAGCAGCCACACGCCCAACGCATCATTTCACATTCCTGAAGCCGTCAACGGTAGATCTAGGGTTCCTGCATACCATTTCAAGGCATACAGCGTCTTCGCACAACTGGACTACACCCATATAAATGGTATGGGATTTGGATATGCCCGGGAGACAGTTATGGTGCTCAAAACTGACGGGAAGCGAGGAGRTCCGGTCGCTGTCCTCTGACGAGCTGTGATTCCGATACGGCAGCACGCAAGATCTGACCCGGCATCGAGCTTTCCGGGAGATTTCGCGAAGCCCGGCAGTGCTGGCGGTTTGATGAACGGATCTTTCCAAGTCAGTGTAGTCTCCTGACTCCTGACGCATCGTAGTAGAATGACTAGTGAACAGATCAATGTTCTTCCCATGGCACAGTTGTATTGGCTAGGAACACGCCAAGCCATAGCTCTAGACGTTATGTTCTACTCCGATGCGTCAAGACGCTGCGAACACTGAAAGTCCGGGTTGTAGCAGATCAGTCAGCCTGAGACTTGCTACAGGTGAATGCAACCTGTTGTTGGGAGCTACTCAATCAGGAACTATCTTCGAGGTGATCGGGTCTGTATTATTATTTTCATCATGTTAGCAAGCATACATTGGCCCTGCTTCTGCTTGACGCTTGGCATGCCATGCCCGGTCGTACGTCCAGAAATCCAGCCAAGACCTTGTGACGGTGGTGACCTCGTACGTATGTGCGAGTGTCTCGGCGCGGCGTCCCCAAGTAGCACAAGCACGCCATATCCCTCCGCAAAGCGATATGCCGAGAATCTCCTATACATTGACAATCTCCGCCAGCCTGCATTGATTGCAAAGCGCGGCGTTCATCCGTAGGAGCCGATGTCCACGCAACTGGGCTTGGTCATGCTGACAGCCTGGGGCCGCCGTTCCGCTCTCACATTCCTGCTCGTGACGCTAACCGCTGGACAATTCCACTCCGCGGGAGCTTCGCAGGTGGTAAAAGCCAAGGTGGCTCAGAAGAGTGCACATGTGCAAGGCAACCATAACGCCCACGTGCTGGGCTTTGCACTCAATCTGTCGTTACTACGCTGCGCCGAGACTTGCCCATAGGAAATTGGGGCAAGGATGTGCTGGGCTGACGCGCGTTTCGTCTATTCCAAGCGATCTCGTGCCCAGCCTCAACTTGGCAAGGTCCAAGGCCAAGAGCACAGAGATGGGGTACGAAGCAGGCGAGACCGCCAAGTGCGCTGGTTCCGAGGGATGGTGCAAGGTGGCGTATCGGCTAGGGCAGACTGTTGTGCCATATTTTCTTGGCTCGCAGGGTCCGTGCTGACGTCGAGCCTTGCTTTTGAGGGCTTTGTCTGCTTCGTTTGCCGTCCGAGGGCAGCCTGAGAGCGTTTGAGAGGTTCAAGTTTGTCTTCAAATTCCGTCAAATTACAAGCAGGAAGGAACGAGCGGTTTGGGGAAAGAGCGAAGTTGATGAGCGCGAATGAATGTCATGAGAAGCGGGAACGCCCGGTCGTCAGAAGCGATCTGCTTGTTCAATTATTGTGCCCACGTTCACTCTCCCACTCTCCTGTGTGGGCATTAAAGGAAAGACTCTCCTTCGCATACGGAGGATAGCGCACTCGATACGTCTCGTTCTCCGCTTGCAGGTGGGCGGCGCTGCAATGTTATCTCCTCACCGCGATGATCCAAGTGGAAGGTCAACGAGGCCAAGCCGCTATAAACGACGCCAAGCAGCATGGAGCGGAACAGCGAGTAGCAGTGCCTTTTCCCTTTCCTGCCCGGCCCTTGCGACATAAGAGTGTTTCCCCCGCTCTAACAGCTCTGCCAAGTTTTTGGCTCTTTTGCTCTTGTCGCCTACCCCCATTGTCCTCTCACACCTCTACTGCTGAGGACCTTTTGGACGTTTTTGATTAAGAATATCTGTACCGACAGACGGATTCCGTACCTCCTGCGTCAAATTTTACATCGAACCTTCCAATTCGGCAACTCCGGTTGTCTCGCGCGCTTTTTGTTGACGGCTTACGCTTGATCTACCATCACTACGAACAATCCGCCAAGACAGCCCTTTCAATCCGCTGCCAAGCACCCATCTTCTTCTTCGAATGGAGGGAGTTCAGACAGTCGCACAGGCCGTGCAGGCAGCGACGCAACAAGCAGCTCAGGCCGCCGCGTCGCCGCCCGTTCAGGCACCTCAGACGACGTCCACCTCGACCATCGACAACCTGACCTGCCAGTGGCAAGGCTGCGGCGAACGATGCGAGAACCCCGAAGCGCTTTATGTGAGTAACGACGCCCGCGCATATATCCTTCAAATGGTACCGTTCTGACAGTATTGCTGCAGGACCACGTGTGCGAACGCCATGTTGGGCGTAAGAGCACCAACAACCTCAACCTCACATGCCAATGGGGTGCATGTCGCACAACCACCGTCAAGCGCGATCACATCACCTCCCACATTCGCGTCCACGTCCCGCTCAAGCCGCATAAGTGTGACTTCTGCGGCAAGGCTTTCAAGCGGCCTCAGGATCTCAAGAAGCATGTCAAGACACACGCGGACGACAGCGTATTGATGAACTCGCCACATCAAGGACAGAATGGTCGCGCTTCGAGCATTGGACAACAGAACGGCAAGCGTAAGCCTCTTCAATTTACGGCCAAAGTATGCACCTCGCTAATACAATCAACCAGCCTCCTACTATGGCGGTGCACAAGATAATGGCATGAACAACCCATATCCATACCAAGCTGGCATGGTCAATGGTGCCAATGGAGGCTTTCACCCGCAGCCTGCGGGCAACGGCCAGTACGCTGGCTACGGATCGGTCAGCTACCCGAACAACTCCGCAATGGCAGACATACAAAGCATGGACACCCGTCGACGCGCCATCGAGGCGCTTAATGACTTTCTTGGCGACATCAAGCGACGCGCCATCGACCCCAGCAGCTATTACGACGTTGGTCACAGACTCCAAGGCAACGCCCTCCCTCTTCCCGTCCAGTCCGGCGCCGGCTACAATACCGGATACAACAACAGCGGCTACACTGGAGGGGGAGGAGGCAATTTCRCTGCTGCCTCGCTGCTCGAATCCTTCAACCACGGAGGCAGCATGGGAGGCGGAGGTGGAGGCCAAGGCGGCGTTGCCACCCAAGGTTACTCGCTCCCCCTCCCCAACGCGCGTACCAAGAACGACCTTCAGGACATCGACCGCTTCCTCGAGCAGCTCCAGGCCACCGTCTACGAAACCAGCAAGGGCTACGAGAGTGGCAGCCACGCAGCTGCTGCAGGCATTCAGCAGCCCGGGTTGCACACCCATTTCGCCGGCGAGTTCGGAATAGGCCACGGCGGTCAGTACCGTTCAAGTCACAGCCCACCCAATTTCCAGAACCACCTCAGCAGCGGTGGTATGGGCATTGGCGCCTTGAGCACTGGCTCGAGCATGCACAACGCCACATCCTCTGCCTCTGCGCTTGACACCCCAGCGCTCACCCCATCTTCCGTATCGTCGTATACAAGCGCAGGCCACTCACCCATGAGCAGCCACAGCAGGGCCAGTTTTGGTAGCGGCAGTGGACACAACATGTACCCCAGTCTGCCTGCTGTTACGGGCATGTCTGACATTGGCTCCAACTACCCAACCACCACTTCTGCGCCGGCTTCTGGTCTTACTTCGGGCTTCGACTTGGAGGGTCGCCGCTACAGTGGCGGCCGACTCCAGCGACAGGCACCTCAGCAAGACACCGAGATGGCTGAAGCAGAAGATGACGGCAGCCGTACGCCGAAGCAGTCCGATGCTCAGCGTCCCAAGAGCAAGGGTAACAGTAGTATTGACCCAGCTCTTCGTGGCGAAGACGGTGGCTCCGATTCTGCGTCTACCCCAGCCGCGACGTCTGAAGTTGACGACAAGCGGCAAGAAGAATGGGTTGAGAACATCCGCTTGATCGAGGCTCTCCGGAAATGGGTTGGTGAGCGACTCAAGGTTGGTGATTACGACAGTCAAGATGTCGAAGGCGAAGGTCAGGCCCATGAGGGGGCCAGCGCAAATGTCGACATGGACACCGACATGAGGGCCAACGAGACTGCCAAGATGGTTGCCGAGAAGCTCCGCGGTGCCCTCAACGAGGCAAACAAGCAAGAGGCTGCTGCCGCCGCTGCTTCTGCAGGTGGCGAAGTCCAGTACCCAAGCTTATCGTCTGCTTGAGTGGTGTCGACTTTCGAATCATGACTTGATGGGGCGTTTATGGTGTTTTGAAAAGCGAGCGAGGAGCTCTGCGATGGTGGGATGATGACGGCCTTCATCATGTTTTGTTACAGTGCAGCCGTGTGCGCAAAGGTGTTTGTTCAGTGATGCTTGTGCCGGACTAGAATTCTTCAGATGACATTGATTACATTTTCAACTCCTTCCCATGGCATATTCCAAGTGAGATCGATGTACCACTTTCTCAACGAGACTTGGCTCTTGATGCCATGTCTGCAGCGAGATCCTTGATAGATTGGAAGCTTTGGCAAGCTTCATCAACCCGACCCTGTCCCTTCGGGCCGCTCATTAATATGACCCGACGCTGTCGTGACAACATCGAATCTGCCATGCTGACATTTGATCAAGTTTTCGTTCCACTTCTGTCTTCTGGGCCTCTCCCATGACCTATTAGCCTCTCTTTTATCTTTCATTTATCTCCCGGGACGTCCAGCTTCAGTGATCAATCTCATCCCACTTCTGGAACACCTCTGAGAACACAGCAGCGAGATCAAAACTCCCCGAAACAGCTCGAAGTTCATGCCATTGGAGATACTGCCTAGCTAGAAGCTCCCCGGACACTTATCGGAAACTCGCTCATATCCCCTCAGCCTGACGTCTTTCACCTTGATGGTCCACCCCGCTTATTCTCACAATGCAACTCTCCAACTTCACATTCACTCTAGGCATACTGTCAGATTGGATGAATACCGCACAGTCACGACTTGAGTCTATTCAGCACAGGTGAGTAACCTACCTGCTAGTGTGTCGTGGCACGTGGTCTGAGAACCATGCATTGGCTGACATCTACCTGCGTGGCTGTAGTTTAGCTGCTTCTACTTCTTCCAACCAAAACACCACCGCCATGGCTTTCTCTCTTCCTCAGCTCGGCTACAGCTATGATGCTCTCGAGCCATACTTTGACAAGGAGACGATGGAGATCCATCACTCCAAACATCACCAGACCTATGTCAACAACCTCAACAACCTCTTGAAGGACCACGAGCTGTCGTCGTTGTCTGTGGATGACATTGTCACCAAACTAGACCAAGTCCCAGCTGAGAAGAAGACTGGCGTTCGCAACAACTCCGGAGGACACTCCAACCACTCTTTCTWCTGGAAGAACTTGAAGACCGGCACCAAGCTGGACGGCGAATTGGAAGAAGCCATTAAGAAGGACTTTGGCTCGATTGATGAATTCAAGGCTGCTTTCGAGAAGGCTGCCACCACTGTCTTTGGTTCCGGTTGGGCTTGGCTTGTTGACCAGTCTGGCACTCTCAAGATCGTCACTACTGCCAACCAGGACAGCCCGTTGATGGGTGAGAGCGTTGCGGGCGCCAAGGGATTCCCGATCATTGCCCTTGATGTGTGGGAGCATGCGTAAGTCAGACCTTAGCATGGTGGTCATTGGACTTTTCATGAAGCCTTTGATTGCTGATTTCCAACACGAAACGCTGACCTTTTTTTTCTTGGTAGATACTACCTCAAGTACCAGAACAAGCGCCCMGATTACATCAAGGCATTCTGGTCGGTCGTCAACTGGGACTTTGCGAAGCAGCGCTTCGCAGAGAGATCAGGAAAATAGTCTGGACCTTAGGATGTAAGAGCAGTGTGATCTCTTCGGATGGCGGCCAGTGATTGATTGGAGCTTGTCTAGAAGCAGATAGCATCCATGATGATATGCAATCACGCTCGTTTCCCAAAGAGCTTGTTGCCAATAGCGGAGACCTTTTTGACGTCTCTGTAGGTGAGACTGATTCGTGACGTGCGTTGGTTCTTGCCTTGTTGCTGTTCAAAGGTCGATGCATCTYCCAACAATTCCCAGTTGGCGACATTGTTGGCGTTCAGATTGTGATCTTCTGTCACATCTGCAATGCCATGGAGGGTATTGATGTAAGCAGACTCCGTTGTAACAAGTAGAGAGTTGGGCTCCTGCAATATACGCCAATGTCGAGGCTTCCTGTTCGGATCGCCAGCATCGCACTCGGTTTCCTTTTCAGTGACATCCAGGACGACAGACCCGCCCAAACTGACGGTTGCTACTGCTGGAAAGTACGCCGCACCGTCTGAAGAACAGTTAGCGTTGACATCTGGTCTGTTGACTCCCACTTACCTTCATGCGGCATGATCCCTTGACCGGGCAGATATTCGTTGACGAGACAGTGGTTGATTCCATGAGGAGCCGATGCAAACATGCCAAGTTTCTCGATCCGAGCCACCACTGGCTTGGAGAGCCAGTCAGGTAGTGGAGATGCCAGCAGAGTATTCGATGCCGTCAGTCTTGAGGGAATGGCTTGCAGACGACGGTTAGTTAATGTGACCCATCTGTTTCGTGGAATCTATACCAGGTCAGTTTACTTTGATGAATGCTGGGTTGAATAACTTCGACCTTGTCCTGAATGGCTGTCGCCTCCTCATCAGATATGAATTTGGGAATGTAGAACATCGAGGGCGGAACGCCAGGAATCCTCGCCGAGTCCATCATGCGCGAATGATGTTTTGACAAGGGTGATGGCAATGTATTGTTACACGAGCGCTGGATTGGGAAGAAAAGTCGAGGTTACTAATCGCCAGTCGGCTTTCGAAGCGCGTAACACYTCCTTCCCATCTCCTACAAACACCTTCCACCACGTTCAAATCATGGCACCAAAAGGCAAGGGAGCCGATAAAGGCAAAGCCAAGGATGCTGGAGGTGCTGGTAAAGTGAAGGCCGCACAAACCATCAACGTTAGAACACTGTTCCAACCCTCGAGACTTCCACGTCTGACATGGGAGGTAGGTTCGACACATTCTCTGCGAAAAGCACGCAAAGAAAGAATTGGCAGTGGCAAAACTCAATGAAGGGGTCGCGTTTGATGCTGTAGCGAGAGAGTTCAGTGAAGACAAGGCTCGCACAGGTAAGAGYAAGACTCGGCTACCGTTATGAGCGACCGGCCCTTTAACACATGCGAGGCGTATGAACTGACAGAGTGTAGGCGGAGCTCTCGGTTGGAAGACCAGAGGAGATGTTCTCCCAGAGTTTGCGGAGGCGGCCTTTGAGCTGGCGCAGTCGACCACTGCGAAGCCAGTCTGGGGAGAGTGCAAGACTTCTGAGGGGTATCATGTCATGATGGTAGAAGGCAGGAAATAGCCCCGAAGATGCTGGCTCATCTCATGCTCTTTACAAAAGGGCATGATGATGCTGGCTCAACACCCGTTATTCTCCAGACGCGAACAGCCGGTGAAAGCTCCAACATCGTCACGACCGCATCTCATCCATATACAGGGAGACTAGCAGCTCTTGCACCGAATACAGCTCCACTCGACATGAACACAGTCGAGCAGAGCAACAGATCAACTTTCAATCGTCCGTCTGATCGCTGAGACTCGCTTTCCAAGCATTTCTTCCTCCATCAGACGTTTCCAACACATGTCAAACATGGTAGCACCGACCTCTAGGCTCTTCCCCCCGAGCAGGTAACCATGTTTCGTCTCATTGCCGGCGCCATCGATTCGACCTTGACAGTTCGGCAGCGGATGATGAACCTACATTCCCTGCACCGAAGCTTAACAAGCTCCCCGGTACCTGTACCCTGCTTTTTACATTGCCCACAGCACGTGCAGGAAAGCGATACCCACCTGTGCAGCCATCGCTTTGCAGGCGAATTGTTGTGTGTGATCAGAAAGCAGAGCGAAGTCGTTAGGCCGACTGTACGCGCCAGAATAGCGCGCGGCAAAAGTCGCAAAGACGGAGATCGAGGCGGATTCGGTGACACCTCTTGAAGCTGTGTCTGTAACTTCTGGCCGGGAGTGTGCTTGGAACACCGAACCGTCTGTGCTACCTCGCCAGGCACAATGGGATCCAAGTCAGTCCCAGATACCCAATGCTAATATAATCAATCTTACCACCCTCGCCGCGCCGCCGTCGTCGTCCAAAATTAATCCGCCCGGCGATGATGCAACCCGCGAGACATAAGTAGACTGACATGGCGCTGGCCGCCGACCGATGCCTTCATCTTCCTCTCAGCCTCGCTCTCCGCCGCAGACAGCGACACCCTCTTCCATCGCCGACAATCGCCTGGGCCTCTCGGCGCAAGATGTCGCGACTCTGCGCCAACACCAACAGCTCGCTCATGCCCAGTCACGAAGTCCCGCCGGCTCGCAAGCCAGCAGTCAGGGCAGGCTACTACTAGATCCGGGAAGCCTCCAGCTATTGTCGAGACACTTTGATCGTGTCATGCAAGCCATTTCTCAGCGACTGGAACAGGTGTGTTGATATGGGTGGGTCATCTTGGGGGAAAGGTAGTGGCTGACTGACAGGTTTGCCCAGCTGAATCAAGCGACCGAGATAGCGACCCAAGCGCAATACGATCGATCGGGAAATGCCATACAAATGGCGGACAACGAGATTGCTCGCTTTCGAGCCATCTTGCAAAATATTGACGAACTCGAATTGGAGTTTGATAAGATTAAGAGGATACGTGAGATTGTACGCAGCTTTCGAGCACGTGTAGAGCAGCTCGAACGTCGCATGGGCTAGTCAAAGATGTGATATGAGCAGGTGTTTGGCGTAAGATTTAGATTCGGAAGCCTCACGGCGACACATGGTAACCTAGCATTGGAGGGAGGAATCTGTTGGACGGAGGCGACTTTGTAACTTCGGTAATTAATTATGTTCACATGGCAACCTCTCCTTTCTGTCTGCTTTAAGATGGTTCTCTCCCAATTGACATCACAATCACGACCCGCGACCTCCACCACCCCGACCCCGTCCTCGTCCCCGATAGCCTCCACCTCCGCCTCCGCCTCCTCCACCACGCGGTCTGCCGCCGCCCCGACGATTGACCGAGAAGTCGATCTTGACGAGCGGCTTCTCCACCCAGTCAACACCCTGCAACCCAATCCTCTGCTTTTCCTCGGCAGGAATCTTCCATCCCTGGAAGACTCCCTGCAGTCCTTCCGGATTGGCATTGTTCTCTCCTCCAATGTTCACTTTCCGAAGCTCGGGCACCCATGTTCGTACATATGCGCCATTCTGGTCGTAGTCATACGCCTGTTTGACGGGATTGAACACTCTTGCGTCTCCTCTGGGATCATTGCCCACACCGGATACATATTGCCTGAATGAGAAGGTGATTAGCCGGTGACGTTCAACGGAAGAGCTACAAGTCTTACCAGTTACCCCAATTGCTTGAAACGTCATGGTCCACTAGGTTCATCTCATACCACTCTGCACCTACTCTCCAATCGATCCAGAGACGCTTGGCTAGGTACGATGCCACATTCTGGCGGGCACGATTCGAAGTCCAACCGGTAAGCCAAAGCTCCCGCTGGGAGGCATCGATCAGACCAGTGCCGGTATGTCCTGTGAGGAAACGTTCGAGAGCAATCCGAGTATCGTTGTCGTTCACCCCGTTCTTGTTCTTCTTGTTGGTAGATGTCGTATATGGCGAGCTCTTCCAACTATTCTTTGCATTCTGATCTTGTCGATAGCCATCAAGCATGAAGAGACGGGACCCGAACTTCTTCGTGCAAAGCCGCATGTAATCTCTCCAGAGAAGTTCAAATCGGACAGAAGAGGTACCCTGCTGACGTTAGCAATGCTTAGCGTAGCTAAAGCGGAAGTGTGAGTACCTTGTTTTCGCCCTTGCCATACCCTTCAGCTTTGCTGCCCAGATCTCCGACACCGTCCTCGAAATCCACCAGCTTCCAATGGACTTGTCGAGCACTAAGACAGCCCAGAGATAACCATGCCGAAAGCTTTGTACTGAAGTCAAGCCCAAGAAGCCCGTTGCGAGTGTCCTTGTAAGATGTCATGGACCCTGAATCGATCAAATGCGAGACTCGATCATGGCCAGCCTTGGATCCTCCCTTGAACGGGTGAGCAGACTTTGCACCTTCAGGGAGGGTGGGGAGGTTGGCAAGCTTCTCTCCACTGTCCAAAGGCTTGTGAAGCGCTGAGACGAGATTTTCTAGAGAATCGGGTATCGAGAAAGGACCTGCTTGCTCGGGGACGAAACCTGGAAGAGGTGGCAAGGTCTTTGGTGATGGGAGCTCCTTTCGCGGTGCTGAGCGCAATGGTTCAACCTGCTTCCGATAAGTGGTGAACACATCGGAAAGCTCCTTGAAGTTCTTGAATGGCAGATCCCGGTCATCCACGAAGTACTTCTCGTCATCCCATAACTTGAACTCGATGTTCTCTCCTTTCGCCAACTTCCTTACATCCTCCTCCTCTACCTTCTCTTCCCATCCTWCCTCACTTGTCATCCATACGCCATGAACTTCAGCCTCTTTGTTCTCACGATATCCCTGAAGTATCGATTGAACCACATCCTTGACATTTCCAGCTCGAATGACAATTCCTGAAGAGAGCTTCTCGAGATCGGTCTTCACATCCCACAAGCTCTCCGCGGTGAACTTTGCCCGCAGCTTTCCACATCGCCAGAACCCAGCTACCGAACTTCTTGCTTCCGGGTAGGGAGACTTCTGGTTCGATCCCGTTGGAATAAGACCCGAGACCTCGATTTGATTCGCCGAAAGGATATAGACCGGAAGAAGGTGTGTGAACGGCTTCTGTGATTGAGAGTTCAACTTTGATACTTGGTGTAGGATTGGGTTGTCAGCAACTCTAAGGTCCCGCCGTAGAAGGTATACTAGGATCCGTTGCATCGTGTATATTTTGGTGGAAGGGAAGTATGGTTTAATCCCACAGGATGCGACGTATCTGCTCTCTGCAACGTGATGTGTACTCTTTATACTTTTTCACCTCCCAGGACAAGGCAACAGTACCACTTGGCACTCCCAACCCGATGCCTCCTATTCCAAAAATTGATCCCGAGCGGCTTCACAGGTTTAGATCGTCAAGCTGAAAGTGGGTCGAGATTGGCTATGGATCGCTGAACCTCCAACGGATAAGGGACCACAGCCAGCGGGTAGGATGCAGCGTTGCAGAGGCCGAGCGGCGGGTGCAGAATGGTCCAGAAACGCTGATCCATGTTTATAAGGGCAGGAATCAGACGAGTGAGGGTCATAGGCAAGAAGCTTGCTCAAGGACACTTGACCCAAACGAGGGCCCGCTTCAAGACGGTACCATACGCCACAACCATGGCACCGCGATCGGTACCTGCAGATAGGTCGCCAGAAAACCCGATCCATCACAAGAAGCTTCGCTCGGTGGTGCAACATGGACGGGAAGGTGATCGGAGCAGGGCTGTCGGTGCAACCAAGGACATGGTGGCTTCCAGCTTTGCGGTTGCATCAACGCCTTTTCTGCTCTGCCTTTCGAATCCATCCAAGGGCAATTCTACTCTCCCACCCAAGTCTGCTCCTTTCTCGATCTTGCGGCCATATCGCCAAGTCTTCAGATCGCATGCTTGTTTATTTTGATACCTTATCCGCAGCATTCTTCATGACGACGACACGACATCAGATCGTCATTGACGACCTCTCACAATTTTTTTCCAGATCGGCCACGCTAGCCACCGGCAAGGTTCAAGGGTTCACGATCGGAGCTTCCATCCGAATTCGCCTTTCCCGTCCAGATCTCGTGGACAAAGCAAAGCCCTGATCAGACCTCTGCTCTTCCACTCGAACAAAGTCCAGAAAAGCCCAGAATGTCGATCCTTTCAGACCCTCATTCGGCAAAACAGACGGCAAATACATTCAGCCGCCAATACATGCCATACTAGTAGTACTGTACATGGAATTCCGGCAAAACAGGACAGATACAGTTTGCTTGAGAGATCCGTTCAGCGTCGGGTGCCTGACTCTTGAACCTGGAATCCGATTCACGAAACTCTCCATTGCATCGAACACAGATCTGATATCGCACGGATTACCGGACGCGGAAAATACATCACATGGTCTGCCAATTGCCTCTGAATCTTGGTACATACCTCCCACCCCGCCATGGGGAATTGCGTGGCGCGGCCTGCTATCATCTGCTCGAAAAGAATGGATGAAAGCCGGCGAATCGAATCGCGGTCCTTCGATTGACTTGCAAGTGAATTAGGACATTGTGGTTGGCGTATTGTGTTTTTCTCCCGTCTCTCAAATCCTCATGCAAAGTGCCCGATGAAGGAGAAAGGTAAATCGATATGCATACAATCATTTCCATTATCATCAAATTGCTATACTACAACTTCACCGAAAGACTTTCCTAACTGTTAACAACATATCTTCCATATTTTCAATCCTTCAAAGATCACTCTTAGGGACAAAAGGCTGCAATCTAACCTTCAACTCCTCAACATCAATCTCCCCTCCAGAGAACATGTCCTCCTTGCCGCCGCCAACCTGCTTAGGTGGAATMAGCACGCTGCTGACAACATGCAGCACACCGTCCTGAGCAACGCCATCCTGGACGCTGACRCTCGAGAAACCGTTAATCTTGATAGAAATGAATCCTCCATAACGGGCGATATCCACTGACAAGTTCCTGTCTTCAAGGAGGGTAGGAAGGTCGACGTGGAAGTAGCCTCCAGCAGTCTCAGACACATCATCCTTCTTGCCAGAGTCGGCCTTGTAGTAAGCGTCTGAGTATAGCGTGTTGTCTGGCACGACGTGGTACTCAAGGAGAGCCTTCAAGTATTTCTCTCCGTACTTAGAGAACAAGAAAGCATTGGCGCGAGCCCCCAGCTTCTGGAAGGCAAAGTTGGATGGAGCGAAGAATGTGCCTCCGTTGTGGTGAGTCGTGTTGAGCTTCTCCAAGAGACCAGTCTTGCCAAGTCCAAGCTCAAGAGTGGAGAACTCGGAAGGGAACAGATCGATAAGAGTGAGAACCTTTGGTGGTGGGATGATGATGCTGTCGACTCCATGAATGACACCATTCGTTCCCATGATGTTTACCGCGATGATGCGGGAGTAGAAGTTTACGGTCAGGCCACGGAGGGTGAACTTGAATGCTACACGCTGAGGCTCTGGCTTGGAGGAGAGATGCTTGCCCTTGAGCAGGGTGGGGGCTGTGTGGGTGTAGAGAACGTCCTTGGCGGTGTAGACGTCTGGCAGGACATGGTAGGACAGGATAGCGTGAAGCTGCTCCTTGCTTGGCTTGGGGTGGTGCTTGGGGATCTTCTCGAAAGCACTGTCGATTGGAGCGAAGATGGTGTAGTTGGCCGTGGTGCTGTTCAAGGCTTCGACAAGGTYAGGGTAGTCAGAGACGAGCTTAGCCAGAGTCCTGGTGTAGTTGCTGGTAGCAATAAGCTGGTAGACGGTCTGGTTGGGCTCGTGGTGGTGGTGATCATCGAGAGTGTCGACGACGTTTTCATGGAACCAAGACTGCATATCATTTGCTGTCTCGCGGACCGCGGAGTCTGCCTTGTTGAGACCGGACTCTGCACGACTGAACGCCTCGTCCATGAGATCCTTTGAGCTCTTAGTCACATCAACCCAAATATCCTGGGCGTTGTCCTTGAGATTCTTCGTGCTCTTGCTGACATCGGACCAGACATCCTCAGTGGTGTCCTTGGCACGCTGGAAGTACTGCTCGAAGCTGCTGAGCAGATCGTCCTTGGTGGACTCAACGCCACTTAGGACATCATCCTTAGTAGACTCGAACTTCTCGGCGACCTCGATCTTGCTGGCCTCGACCTCATCGACGAGGTTCTCGATGGCAGATTCAACCTCGCTGATGACATCGTCCTTGGTGGCAACGACCTCGTCGAACCATTTCGAGGCCTTTTCCTGGTGGTGGTGATCCTCAATCTTCAACTCGCGGAGAACTTGCTCATCCGGGAGCACGAAAGCCGTGCTCAGTGCCGCAAGGGGCAGAATGGTAGAAAACTTCATGATTGATGATTACACAAAAGAACTGAATAGTGTAATGAAGAGGAATAGAAGGAGAACATCGACATCTTACAGGCAGAGACCCCTCCTCGAGGCGAAACACGCAATGGCTTGTCAGCGCTGGTCGATCGATGACGACAACGCCTTTGTGCCGTTCGATCGGCTTCGAATTCCTCCGACTTGCGCATGCGAATGAGTTGTGCACATGGCGTGATGAAACAAAGCTCCCCTGCTATTCAAACCACAGGYGTTCAACATTCAACATGGGGTGGTTSACAAGGCAAGCAAGAGAAGCATTGAAAGATAGATGGTTTCTGGTTATTCATTTCGACGGGCGCGCCACCATGTGGGCCCACTGTTCACGTTGTGCCCTGTTCACACATCCACATTCACTTCGTAATTGTATGACGTCAATCGACGAGAAATACACGCTGGATGCAGGATATCACACTGTCGTCCTCATCAGAACCGATCAAACAAACACCAATCAAAACTTCCTGCCGCGCGTATCAATACGATCAAGACATGAGTTTCTCCACAGCCCACTCAACCCTCAATCCCCTCAAATCTCCATAATGCTGCCCCACACCCAAAAACACCACCGGAATCCCTGTCGCATGTACCATACTCACAAGTGTTCCCACCATATCCCCCACAGTATCACATTTACTTATAATGAATCCATCCATTCCCCTTCCTTCATTCCTCATAACCCCCTTGGCATCCACAAACTCCTTCGCGAAGTTCCTCGCTTGAGCTACGGAATCCGTCCCCACAAGGGCTTCACCAACCATGAAGATTTTATCTGGATTGGCGAGTTGTCCGAACTTTGTCAGGGATGACATGAGGCGTGTGTCGTTGTGACGGCGGCMGGCTGTATCAATCAAGACCACGTCGAAAAGCATTTCGGAGCCGTTCCTTGAGGAAGCGTACGTTACGGCGTCCCGGGCGACTGTTGCTGCGTCTTTCCCATAGCCCTTTTCGAAGAGTTCGACGTGCCCGACGTTCTCTCTCTTGGCGAGCTCTGTGAGATTTCGGACGTGCACGCGAAGTTGTTCCACGGCTCCAGAACGAAATGTGTCCGCCGCTACTACCAGGACTCGGAATTTGTTTTGGAGTAGGAAGTAGGCGATTTTACTGAGATTGGTACTCTTTCCCACGCCGTTGACTCCGACAATGCTGATCACGTATGGCCGGGGAGTGGATGACGAAATGGTGGTTGTGATATTTCTCAGGAGATCGAGAGAGGAAGTTGGAGTGAGAATCCGTGTCAGAGCACGGGACATGCTCTCGCGGATGGTCTTGTCGATTGAGGTGAAAGATGCGGTGGTTTGATTTAGGAGATCGGTTTCCACGCTGGTGCAGAGACGCTCGGCTGCTTCCCGGGCGATGTTCTTCTCAAGAAGGTGGTTCTGCATTTGCAAAAGGGCTGGGGCGAGGTCCTGTTTCGTTAGTTTCTTGCCGCCAACCACGTTCCGGAACAGGCCAGAGATCTTGCTCGTTGCTGTCCCTATAARACTGGAATCGACCTCTTTTGATGTTGCCGACGTCGATGCCGATGCTGATTTCTGCTTGTTTTGTGCGAGAATGGAATCGACTTCATCTTCGAGATCTTTCAATACGAACTGGCCTTTGCCGGTTCGTCGTCCCATATCGTCTGCTCGTACCGCCTCAACCTCAGCACTGACACCCATTTCCAACTTCTCATCCGCCGGAGTGGCAGCAGCACTGTAGTCCAATACCTCCTCCTCTCCTTCCAGCGCCTGACCATCAGCATCCCAACGTCTCTTCTGCTTGGACAAATCCTTCTTCTTCTTAGGAGCCTCATCCCCACTAGATGCCGGCGCGGGGCTGAACTGTGCGTTTCCCGCCTTCCTGCCCCTTCTTGACATTTTCCCTCCTGGCCCGGTCTTTCCCGTCAACAAATGTGAAGCAGCGTGCATAGCGGGAGTAGTCGGGCGTGATGTCTCGGGAGTGGCCAGAGGCGTTGTGTCCGCTCCGGTGCTATCATCGCCCAATAGTTCAACGTTCCTCTTCTGTGGCTTCAAAAACTGTGGAACGGGTGGAGGGGGAGGCGCATCGTCGCTATTGACCGATGCGGAGCTGCTCGGCGGGGTGAGCTCGACCTGACTTTCGGWATCGTGTTCGCTGGCGGCAGTCGTCTGTCGCGTGCTACCCGTGTCGAGTTTGCGCACAAGAGCATCAAACGTGGGGTCGAAGTCACGCGTGTCGATGCTGGCCAGATTGCTGCTGCTGGTGGAAAGAGCGGGGCCATATTGCTTGACGAAGAGAGCCTTGACGGCCGTGAGGAGGTTGTCGACCCATGAGAGATGAAGGAGGGATTGATAGACGGCCACGAAGATCAATCCGACATCTTTTGCGGTTGTAAAGCGCAGCGTGTACTTGTCGCTCTTGTATGCCGCCCCGCTTTCCTTCTGTCGCTCTTCAATAAAGACATCGTTGATGAGGTTGTTGATCAGAGTGCTGGAGACAGGAGCGTAGTGCTTGCGCCACAGCACAATCCCGGATGTTGTGACAATCTCAAAGGCGTCCAGCATGTTGGCGGCAAGCGAGTTTGTCAGAACATGGTATTGTCGAGATGATGGCGGGCTGGAAGCTGTGAGGTCAGAATGTTGGACCCTCAAATTCCGACGATTGACATGTGTTCCCAAATTCACGGATCTCGCCAGAAACACGTCCAACTAGAACCACCAGGCAACTATCAGCAACCATCAAACTCCTCCTTGAAGCAATCACCGTCCAAATCAATCAATTCGAGCCCCGAAATCAAAATGCAGCGGCCGGCATACTCGGTTCCGCCCGCACACTCTCCTCCGCTCCACCACCCGGTCCCACAACACGTCTCGACCGTTCCACACCTTCGTTCTCCCCCGCCGCCCGTAGGCTCCGCTCAGAGCCGGCAAGGCGCAGCATATGGCTATGGACAAGATCCCTCGCAGGCGGCTTCAGCCAGCAACAACTACATGCAACCTGCGTTTACAGGTTTCATGAATGATCCAACCGCCCAGCTAGGCTTCCAAATGGGCAAGAGTGCCGTGGATGCTGGACAGCAGTATGCTGAGCAGACTGTAAGATTCCATACCTCAGTGACATCCTCCGAACTCCTTTGAGCGGTCTGACACGGAAGATATAGTTCAACCGCTTTGTTAGTATCTCCGCCTTAAAACACTACTTCAACGTCTCCAACCGCTACGTCCTTTCAAAACTCACAATCGTCCTCTTCCCCTGGCGTCACCGGCCCTGGTCCCGTCAACAGGCTCGCTCAAACGATGGCCAAGGCTCAATGGAGTTCCTCCCTCCAAGAGAAGATGTGAACTCCCCCGATATGTACATCCCGCTCATGGCTTTTGTCACATATATCCTCCTCTCAACCCTCATAGCAGGATTGAACGGAAAGTTCAAGCCCGAACTTCTAGGGATAACATTCAGCAACGCGAGCGTCATCATTGTGCTGGAATTGTTGCTCCTGTGGTTGGGAAGATACTTTCTGAACATCAGCAGTGAGAGCCAAATTTATGACCTGATCGCTTACAGCGGGTACAAATTCGTTGGCGTCATTGTTACGATCGCAGTGGCTGCGATTGTCAATCGTGGACAGGGAACGGGTGGTTGGGTGGGCTGGACTGTTTTCGCTTATACGTTCATGGCGAATGCTTTCTTTTTGGTGGGTTGCCCTCATCTCCTCAACTTTGCCCGATTGCTGACTGGAATGCTGCAGCTCCGCTCACTGAAATATGTCCTCCTGCCCTCAGACGACGGTCCAGGAAACTCGGGCATGCAACCCATTGCACGCTCGCAACGAAGCAGACGCACGCAATTCTTATTCGTGTACAGCTACGTTGTGCAGTTTGCATTCATGTGGTGGCTGAGTGCTTTGGATGTCGGTGGGGCCAAGGCTTGAAGCGTGACGAGGTGACACGGATGGGCGGAGAGGAGTAAAAGGAATAGTGATGTGATTAGCGTTCAAGCGGGACTGGCTGGTTGGTTGCATAACTTGGGAGGATCATGGGGTGTGGCGAGTCCAGGACGAGGAGAATAGAAGATGGTTGACGGTTTGTAACGCCGTGAGATCTCTGCCTCTCTTGCTCTCCTTCCCCTCTTTTGACAAGACATGCAGAGCTTGCAACTCACGTTGTTGATACAGAGTCTCCACGTTCAACTACGACAGCTGGTAATGGGGCTCTGATGAAAACGTGGAGTACAAGGCAAGCTAATCCGTTTCTTACCTGTCTCTGAAAGACGAAAGCCTCGCTCTGACTCTATTCTCTGTGCTGCTTCATGGCGTTGACCAACATCGTCAAGCATTTACTGTAACAATGATAATCACGAAGGGGAAGAATTTAACGAGTTAGGTAGGTATGTGGCTATGTGGGAATGACCACTTGTGCAAGCGGCCGTCGTTGCGATTCACTCGCCTTTGGCTATTATTCTTGCCTGGCGATACACTGCGTCGGCCAGTCATCACTCATCAAGCACAAAAGATGTGCAGTGAAGCAGAGTAATAATGTACTTCCGTGTTCCGAGTTCCTTCCCAGCAAGATACCTCAACATAATCTGTTCGTTAGGTTTGCCTGCTTCGTACATCTAACAACTCACCCGAGACCCGCACAGCCTGATCTTCCCCGAGGAACTCCCCTGCGAATCCCAGCGCGAATCAGGGGAAACAGCCCCGATGTTCAACACCCAGTTCTCACTAATTGACATCGCCAAGAGCCGGGTTTCTGTACMTCAAAGGAGAACTCACCGGTCAGCCTATCCTTCAACTAGAAGGATTCAAACCCACGAGGAGTGAATCTCGCTTGCCTAGCGAGCTACGGCTCCAAAGCGCCTGAAAAGTGCATGAAAAGCGCCTCAGCAGGAAAAGCGGCTGTCGAGCATGRGGTACTCAAAGCCACGCGCGATCTCGGGGTGATGCGTACGAACTAAGAAGCCGCTGGGGTGGAAAATGTGGCGTCGGTTCTTTAATTTTAGGCTTAAATCACCACGAGGGAGACAGGAAACGTCGATAGAACAAAGTTTCGGTCTCAGTAAGCAATGCTCGTTCCCGTGTGGTATGTCAAGCGAGAGACGCCATTCGCTGAAGCGAAAGAAGTTGCGCATAATTGGCTTCTCGGAATGCAAGAATCTCTCAACTTTTCCAGTGCGTTCATCGTGGGAAGAGGAAAACCTTGTTAGCGAAGTGGGTTGCGTACTGCGTATTTCGTATACGCGGTACGGTACGGTACGACTCTCTTTTGCGAGAAGCGCGTGGAGGAATGTGAGATTCGAGCAACGGCTGGAAGCCTGCGTTTCAGAGTCGTACACTCTTGTATTGCATGCCTCTCACCGCTCACACGGCAGCTTTCGGAAAGCCGCATCTGCATAGCATGCGTCGGGTTTCGGTGCCATGGTAACCTTATTACCTCATTGCTGTCGCGTGGTACTGCGTGGACTTGATGGGTGGAGGTGTAACGCATTGAAACTTGGATGGAGAGTCTTTGTGATCGAAGAAAGCATGAACCGGTGTCTGTTGTTGACGTTGTGCTTCGGATTCCAGCATTCGATGCTGGAGCTTACTTGGCTGATCACGGCCACGCAATGGTCAAGACATGTGCTGCTATTCTTGATAGTGCTTGATGGAGAGGAGCAGTTCGCCTCTCGGAACGCCGCGCGAAAAGGAGATGATCGACGCAAGGTCTTGAAGGTGTGCTTGCGCACGGCAGGAGATCGGGCGGCGAGTCGCGATGCTCGAGGCGCCATCTGTCTGCGGTCAGAGTCCGTCAGACGCATCAACGCATGGCAAGTGGATTGTTCTCGGACGCTGTCAGCGACAAATGATGATGCGGTGATGCGTGGATCGACATGACATTCCGTACATCATTCGATCTGATCGGAGTCACCGCGATGAATGATCAGAGACTTGTCAGTTGTCAGGAGTGGGTGGTGTGTCGGTGTGTATTGTGGTCAAGTGTGCGTCTGCCCTGATTTCCGTCACGAAACCTTGATAGCAGTATTCAAATGTCAAGATGGGCGTCCACTAGAATTCCAGTGCCAGTGCCAGTGCCAACGCCAACGCCAGCAGCACATCGATCTCGWTTCATTTGAAGAAGTACCATCCTGCCTCTCAATGCTGACGGGATGCTTTTGATTCCAATAGGTTCAGCCATGCTAGGGTCAACATCTGTTACACTGTGGAAAATAAGGGCATCTTGGAGGAATCTCGGTTGGCGGTGGCGAGTTTATGGTCGTGCTGCTGACTGTGAGCATTGTGAAGGATTTCGGCAGCTCCAGGCTGGCAGAGGCAGAAGCACAAGAGGGATTCGCGTTAATAATACCCTCCGCTTTGATTGCACTCGCATCCTCGTAGCTTACGTGCGCCTGCTTAGCCGATGCGGACGGACAAAGTGAGGAATTCATCTCTGCCCATAATGCTCGAGTCTCAGCTAGAAAGCACAGGCAGTGGAGCGGAACAAGGCCCGATTGATCCCTGGTCACGAACTCCGGGAGCTCCGCAGCACCCTGTCGCTGTTGTGCTGTGTCGTACCGTGCTGTACTTGTCGGCACGCCAGTTTCCCTAGTCCGACACGCCAATGCCACGCTCGGAGTCGTCTCGCTTCCGCCAGGCTGCGGGACGGGCCAAGGTTGTGACTGGTGAGATTGGGAGTGCGTTGTTGGGGTTGACGCTGCAAGCAAATCACCGCGCTGGAGATAACGCGCAACTGCCGCGGAAAGTAGTGGGAGAGGGTGGGAAAGGGAGGAGCAGGCAAAGGCAGGCAGACAGGCCGGCAGCACCATTAATTGCTTTGTTGTCGAAAATTCAAGGTAGCTTTGTGGTCATCGCTGCCGTTTTATTATTCCATTACCTGCCAAACTGTTGAAAGATTGAAGCTAGCCCGTCGGAGAGGTAGCTTCCACAATTCAATCAGCGGCCCAGTGCAAGCGCCTGCCCTGATTTGGAGAATTGGACTACTGTCAACTGCGCTCTCTTTCGCCCGCGTCCAGAAGTCCTCTTGTCCGCTCAGCACGCCGCGACAGAGGCAGCCACATTGTCCGGTATTGTTCGCATACCATCACGCTCGTTTGAAGCACCATCCCATCAACGACGCAGCGGGCCCGCGACGATTTCCAACCTTCGACGTCAATTTTCCTTTACACACCGGCCACGGTTTTTGCGACGCTCACAATCCACCCAACCAACCCAGCCCGTGGACGTGACGCGGCCGGAAAATCCACCACCGACGACTGCCCCTCGACGTGACCTTTGACTGTATCGACGTGCGCTCTATCTCGTCAGCGGACCTCCGCCCACTTCGCCCACACCGCAMGCCCAATCCACCGGCGTGCACTTTGGCGCGCCCGTCAACCCGCACACACGATGCCCCCCGCAACACCGCGACTGCGCGTTCTGTCCGGTGCGTTGTCCCGTCCGCCATCATCTAGCATCTGTCACATCAACTCTGCGCTGCTTCGTCTGCTTGATATACCGAGGCGGCAGGCGTGGCAGTTGCAGGGATGATGCGCCCGATACACACTCGCCTACAAAACACACATCACAACACAACAATGACATTTCAGCTGACACTTCGCAGTTGGCGGCAATGCAGTCTCCGCCTTTCTTTCCTGGCGCCTGTCTGCCACGCAGGCTTGCGATGTGACGCTCGTATGGAAGAATGGCTTCGAGCAGGTCCACCAATACGGCATATCCTTTCGGTGTGTCCCCAACTCTGCAGTACTTGCTTCTCTCTTTTCTTTACTGACCCTCTACCAGATCAGATAAGTTTGGGAATGAACGATTCAAGCCGAGACAAGGTACACTACTACATTCGCTCACAACCCTGCCGCACACTTGCCATGCATACTGACCAAACCGTGCGACAGTCGTACGATCGCCTGAAGAAGCGGCCGGCGCCTCACGCGCCTCCTTTGACTACGTCGTGCTTTGTGTCAAAGCACTCCCCGATGTCTACGACCTCGCCTCCGTCATCGAGTCGGYAGTGGCACCACAGCACACTTGCATCCTCGTCAACACCACCCACACCATCGGCATCGAGTCGTATCTCGAGCAACGCTTCCCCACTAACGTCGTGCTTTCCCTGGTATCGGGAGTGGAGATTACACAGCTGGGTGCTAGCGAATTCGAACACAAGGGATCCACAGAACTTTGGGTTGGCGCTGCAAACAAGAATCCATCCATACCAGTATCCATACAGCAGGACATGGCCGAAGCGCTCTCCATGACTTTGAGATCTGGACAGGTGGATTGTAATGTCTCCACCAACATTCGACAGCATCAATATGAGCGGATGATTGGGTATGTTGATGCATCTTTGATTTTCCCCCATGGAATCACGCTGACACTTCACAGACCCATTGCATTTCATCCTTCAAGTGTTCTTTTCGAGACGCCGATTCACGCCGAGCTGCTGGAGAAAACAGGTGTACGAACACTCATTACAGCAGTCATCGACGAACTGGTCAGCGTTGCAAAAGCACAAGGATGCGAGTTCCCCTCGGGGTTCCGGGAACAGGTCATGGAAAAGATGATCACAGCCTCCGAGTCCAACAGCATCATGTACCAAGACTTCCTCGCCAGAAGACCCCTCGAGGTGGAGACTTATCTGGGATCTCCCATCAAGCTTGCGCAGGAAGTTGGACTGCAGGTCCCACGCATTGAAACTCTTTACGCCCTGCTCCACAACCTCAACACTGTCAACCAGACCCGGCCTCAGATTGCGGCGCCCGCTTCGCCCACATCGACGATCCACCCCACTCCTAGAATGTCATCAGCTCCACCGCCAAACGGTGTTCATGTCAATGGTCGCGGACCTCCACCGATGAACGGACACATGAACGGGTACGGCCCGCCCATGCGTGGTGGCATGCGACCTGGCGGCCGTGTGCCTTCTACTGGTGGTATGCCACCCCCATCCGGAATGCGTAGGGGTCCGCCTTCAATGACTGGCTTCCCACCTTCAGGTCCCGGTAGAATGAGTGGAAATGGCTACGGTCCTGGCCCTGGGTCGAGAGGAAACCAACAAATGTCAAGGCGAGGCTCTTTCGAAGGCAACGATCTGGAAGAATTCAGCCACCTCATGCTGTACGATAACATTCCAGAAGGAGAAAACGGCGGATTCGAGGGCATGCCACCCGGCCCGGCTGGTGAACTCACTCTCAGGGAAAGAGAATTGGCTTTGCGCCAAAAGGAGCTGGCCATGCGCGAGCGTGAATTTCACATGCGCCGCGGAGCACCGAGAATGCCACCACCGCCGGTGAGAGAAAGCAACTATGACGATGACGACGAAGAGGGAGAGGAGTTCTTCGATCCAATGGCAGCTGGAGCCGTGCCAGGCGGCGTCGCCGACAACATCGACATGATGAGCGTTACCTCCCGGCGCACTAGAAAGGCGCCCAGTGCGAGTCAGTTGCGTACCAATCCAGAGTTGATGGGAGGTGCTCCATCAGGAGGGATGCGTCACAGCCGCGGTCCTCCGATGAGGCGTCCGGGACAGAAGAACCGTACAAGTTCGGCTATGATGGCTGACATGCCTTCGTTGCGAGAGGAGCTGATGAACAACCCACTCATGGGCTACTCCTCCGATCGATATGGCAACGTTGACAGAATGAACATGAGCCACGAATCGAGAACAAACTCATTAACCGCAGAGCGTTTGAACGAGTTGGGTGGGCCTCCGCATGGCTATCCACCTCAGAATGGCTATCCCACGAACAGACGTGGCAGCCAATCCCCAGGCAACCCACTCGGGCCACCTAATGGGAGGCCCATGCAGCGACCATCACCTCCAAACGGGTTCGGTCCGCCAGGTCGCAATGGTCGTCCAAGCCCTCCGACAGTGAGACAGCCAGTACCTCGACATCCGCCAGGCCATGGCAACGCGGTTGCGCCGCAGCAAATCGAACAGCAAACCGGGGTGAGCAACCTCTACCCACCAAAGAGCGGTCCTCCCAATCAAGTACGCAGTCTGACAGGTTCCGCGAGTGCCAGCGCGGGGAGTGGTGATAGTAATAGATCCGCACCCGTTGATTCAGAGCCTTCGGCACWCAGCTCCAGCAGCAGTTTACGTCCCAGAGCGCCAATCGGAGTACGCTAAACTTGCAAGCAATCCAGGTCTGGCCATTCCTACGCGCCGGTGTGTTCATCCAACTGGACTCGAACGCACCAAGCCATAACATTCTCAGCACACCATCTTCCGAGAAACACAAATTGACGAGTTCGCACAGCCAACTGGCGGAACTTGTTCATCTCACCTCCACTTGCGGACCGACCTCACCGCGAGCACGACGAATGGACGGCACACTCCTTCATGACGGCCTGACGTGACATAGACGGCAAATCTTCTTGCGATCAAGCAACTCTTGTTTTCGCCATAAGGCACATCGTACATACACGGCATTTGGGGAAAAGGAGGCTTCAAGAGGGAGCTTCCATTAATATCTGCATCATGGCGTCTGGGTTAGCGGTCTCTGGGAGCACTGACCCGGTTGAAAATCAAGCATCTCTTTTGTTGTTTGCAGCTCGCCTGCATGTTGCGGCCATCTCGAGAAAGGGACAAACTCTCCGTCACGTTTGGTTCGAGGAAGCGGCGGCAGCGGGCATCTGGATTGGAGCGTGAAGAGATCATGCATCACAGATGAACGTATCGATATTGTCTAAGTTGAGCTACAAGGTGGTGGATGGTAGGGAGGCGCGTTTCCAGATGCATGCCTTTTTCTGATGTTCTGGGGTTTGGCATGTGTGCTGCGAACAGAGATATCGAACAATATATTACCGAGCTTCGCCAACGAGGAGCTTCATTTTGACGTGATGATAGATGATGTATTGGCCGCGGATCGTAACTATTACGATGAAGTGGGCTCCTGAGCGTCTAAGGGGGACAAATGATGCAGAAGCGCGTCGCGGAGACATCGGTCGTGAAGAGGACCCGCCAGGTGTGACGTCGACTCCCCGCTACGAGCTCGAAGAATAATAATTGATACATTGATGCTTACCACTGTTGGAGATCTTTCCTACCGCTGTTCTTTCTATAATTAGTAGCAATGACAACGCCCAGAGTCTTTATAATACGCCATGGTACATACAGCCCTCGATTCAGCGATATTACTTCACCCAGAAGACGGACTGAACATTTCCACAGGCGAGACCGAATGGTCACTCAATGGTCGACATACTGGCACCTCAGACATTCCCCTCACAGCAAATGGGGAAAAGAGAATTCGTGCAACGGGGAACGCTCTTGTGGGGGATGATCGGTTGATCGTAAGCTCCTCCCTCCACAGGCTTTCACTCCTCCATTGCAGGGCAGCATCAATTGACATGACATGATTGAGCGTTAGGTTCCACAAAATCTCGCACACATCTACGTCTCGCCCCGCAAACGAGCCCAACGAACTCTTGAACTTTTGGGGTTTGGCTGTCAAGAGCCTCTTCCTTGGCAAGCACATGGAGAAGTTGAAGAGGGAAGAGATAGTGCTACGAGAGCCAAAGTAGAAGTTACGGAGAGTATCAGGGAGTGGGATTATGGTGACTATGAGGGCATCACTAGTGCCGAGATTCAGGAGCGGAGAAGGGAAAAGGGAGAAGACGAGTGGGATATTTGGAGGGATGGATGTCCAGGTGGGGAGTAAGCTTTCAAGTGAAGGAATGTTGGATGAGGATGACGGATGCTGATTCTACGATGTAGGTCTCCACAACAGATCACGGAACGTCTGGATGCATTGATAGCGGATATCCGGAAACGGTTTCATGCACATGCGATTGGGAAGCCGAAAGGGTCTGTTAATGAGCCTTTTGATGTGTTGGTTGTGGCACATGGACACATTCTGCGAGCTTTTGCGGGGAGATGGATTGGGAAGGATATTGCTGAGAATCCCAGTTTGATACTGGAGGCCGGAGGAGTGGGTACATTGAGTTATGAGCATCATAGGCTAGGAGAACCGGCGATTTTGTTGGGAGGAGCCTTTGTTTGATGTCGTAGAAAGTGCGATGAAGCAGAATAAGGATTGATGGATYTCGCCAGGCAGAGAGTAGGCTGGACAGGGGGTTCTGTTGGAGAATCAGATGAAAGTCGTTGAAGGATTGACTATTCTATGGCGGTTCCCTCTGTAAAACATCTATTCGACAATGCTAGCTCTTCGAGGAGTGTTACCTTCAATAAAGACCTTCCTAAAGCGAAGCGAGAAGAGATCCTTAGTAGTCTGCCATGCATTTGCAGCATTCTGGCGTACCAGCGCAGACGTAGGCTGTTGGAAAACGGCATCAATCTCCTCCAAAGTTTTGTCTATTCGTTCGGTTAGTAAGTGATGTTGAGAACAATCCCGTAATGAGCATACCTTTAGTCTCAGGCATAAAGAAGATCTGGTAGAACCATCCAAGTACAGCGATGCCCCCGTAGAACCCCAATGCGAGTCCTATGAACCGTTAGTCACCGGGGCTAGTAAGCAGACAGGCTTGGCATACCAGTCTTGGTCATAGCATTCTGCATCGCAGTAAAGTTGTACGTCACCACGAAAGAGCTCAAGAACAGTAACGCATCCGATGTCACCATTCCGTAGCTTCGCAGGTAAGTCGGATAGACTTCACTGGGAATGACCCAAGTCAAACAAGCATAAGACCCGAAGAACATGTTGTACAGGATGATTCCTGTCAGGTACACTCCTTGAATGCCCATAAGGCTCTTGACATGATAGGAGATTCCGACGAGAACGAGACCAATGAAGAATCCAAGAAGCATGGCAATGGCCCAGAATCGTCGACCGCAAGTCTCCATTAGGAAGATCGCTGGAATGGTTCCAATAAGAAGGGCACCTCCGCCCACAAGAGACATATAGTTGGCTTCGTACTTATCGAATCCAATCTGAGCCATTAGAGTGGACATATAGTACATCACAGCGTTGATACCGCTCAATTGCCCTAGCAATATCATCACGTTCGCATAGACGATAGCCCTGCGAGCCCGTGGTTGCGTGATAAAGTCCAGCCAGGGGAATCTCCTGGATCCAGTTCCAGCAGCAACTTCAGCGGCCTCTTGCTCGGTGCCGACCTTCATCAAGTAGAACTCCTCTCGCGATTCAATATCTCTCACACCACGGATTCTTTTCCAGACTTTGTAAGCGTCGAGAGGGCGGCCTTTGTGCATTAGGTATCGAGGAGACTCCGGCATAAAGAGCATTCCAAAGAACATTATTGTTGAGAATACCAGACTTGATCCGAGAATGTATCGCCAGTTGCCTTCTACGTGAAGGAACATGGCCGCAACATCGTACCCCAGGACCTCACCCAACGCAATGTTGAACTGATATAGCGATACCTGAATTGCGAAAATCAGCCATGAAAAGAGRTCTTCTTTTTAGTCACCTACCATGTTTCCACGAAGTCGGCGTTCAACAGTCTCGGCAACATACACTGGTACAGTGCCACCTTCAAGGCCCACACCCATGCCTAAAATAAACCGAGCAGAGATGATCATGCCATAGCTGATAGCACCGRCCTCCAGTCCACCACCGAGAGTGTATAGGATGCAAGATATGATGATGGACCTTCTGCGACCAAACCACTCGTTACAAGGTCCAAGGATGAGCGCACCAGCTACAGCACCAAGCGGCATGCCTGCATTAACAAGTGAATTTTGCTGGGCCGACAATCCTAGGCTTTGCAACACATCAGAAATTCCGCTTTCCAGCGCAAATGCCAAGACGGAGAAAGTCTATACTTACTCGACCGGCAGGAACAAGTTGGCACCTGAGATGAGCGACTGATCAAGACCTGAGAGGAGGCCACCCATGGATGCGAAAGCGACCAGAAGCCATGTGAAGTGCTTTGGGTTGTTGAATTCGATATCGAAAATGCCCTTTTTATCGCCGCGAGCCTTCAGCTCTTTCTCAAGTTGGTCAATGACTGCATCAGCTTCGCAGCCATTGCTGTGGGTTATCTGCGTGGCTTCGTTTTCCAGGTTCTTCGAGATGCTTTCAGATCGAATGGCATCCTGCTTCTCGTGCATAGACACGATGCTGTGTTGTTCTGAGCTACTGTCCTCTACGTTCTGGATATGAGTAGTCTCCATGGTCTCTTTCTCCATGATGGCTAGGTGCGGGATGTAGGAAGGATGAATGGGGATATCGAGTACCAGGTGTCGTCTCCACCGCACAATAATGCCGAAAGATCAGTAGAAGGTACCAAGCTTGCTACGCCGGAGAGAAGATCGTAGGACGATGAACAACTGAGTTATAGAATTGCCTTCTTCCATGGCTTCCACTCCACACTTTATACCTGGCGTAGAATCTTTCTCCATGCGGGGACTGCTCACTCCACAGCATCTCAACACACGCTCCACACTTCAGCCGGTATAGTGCGCCGAACCCGTATTGACGGCGCCGCAGCAACGACCACTCACGTCGGCAAATATCCTTTAAGCTTTTGCGGTCGAGAGCTTAGATAGCTTGTCTCCACTTGGCTCTGCGTGAAAGATTTTAGCGGCAGCCTGAGATGTCACCGTTTCTTGTTGCGAGCTTGTCGAAGTACCAGTGATCCAGTGATTGTAGGTATAATGAGGCTCGGTACTCATCAGGAGGATCCATATGGTGAAATGCTGAGCAATGGGTGGCCTTTTAGATGCTGTACTGTAGCAGGTCAGGCAATCAACTTCCCAGGGCTAGGATTCAGGAATTACCTACCTTCATATGGTGCTTGCGTCGCTTGCACGGGTTCCCTCTGCCGGAGCCGTCAAACGCCGCGCAACCGCACGCTTCACAGCATGGTCGCACCCTTCTTTGCCTCTTATTCGTCGTGATGACGCCCAAAAAGGGCCGAAAGATTGCAAAGTCGAAGGCGAAGGCGTGGAATGAGCAAGGATCCGCTACCCGCATGATCAAGATCACGGGCAAAGGGCCTTCAACAGCACGAAGGCATCGCATATATCTTCCCTGAGATATAATTGACATTCAAAAGCTGCGACGAAATCCCATACTGTGCCTATTGTCAACAACGATGTTATGTCAACAAACTCCACGCCATCTTTGCCCTGCTGCCACTACCACGCACGGACACATACAGTCTCAGCGCACATCACCAACCTTCCTTCTCCCGATCTCTTCTTGATGACGAGCGCCTCCACGGTGAGCGCGACCTGGACGTAGAACCTGGCTGACGCACAACTGCGCCTTCGCCGCTACCATTGGGCATGTCGACGTTATTTGGAAGCTCGTCTCCCAACATGGTGAAATTACCTGGCCGAAGACGGAGACTTCGTTCCTCCATACGGTAGAACACTTCCTGTGCGCGGCGACGGGCCCATGGATAGATTGCTGTGAACGCTACGCTCAAAACAAAGATGGGCATCGCAGCATAAAAGAACCACATGGCAGGCCATGTTATTGTAGTCATTCCGAAAAGGGAGGCAAGGAAGTCCACGGGCAGGAACAGCGAGGCGACGGCGGTCAAGAACGCTGAGTTCTCAGCCTGGACTGTATTGGTGATGTTGAATTCCAGCTCAATGAGATTGTTGAAGCGATCTTTGAGGCCGTCGAGCGTGTTGTCGAATTGTTCCAGATCCTCGATTGCATCCACCATGTCGCCCCACAGTGGATCGTTCTGCTCATTCTTGGGGACATCTCCTTGAAGCCGTTGCAACTTTTYGAAAGCCCTCATCTGGAATTGCAGGTACTTCTTTTGCTCATAAATCCGATCGACTTCCATGTGCATGCGCCGCGTTCGAATTTTCACCGGATAACGACGCCGATGCGAGTTGTGCTCTGCCTCATCCAATCGGCCAAGAACTTCTCCTATGATGTTCTGCCAATCGGTCTGAACATGATGTGTCAGTATTGATGACAAATATGCCCTTCTGCCTGGTACTGACAATGAGGTAGTACAACCGAGAGAACGTCCAACAGATGCCCTCTTCATCCTGGCGGGGCTGATCGAACTCGTCATCTCGCCAGAGGTAATCGAACAAGAGCTTCGTCACAATGTGTTCGCAGACTTGTGTCGAGCGAGTAATGATGATTGTCACAGAGACTTGTCGGTCGAACATACAAGCACCTTTCCCGCAGAACCAGACCCCGGTACGAACACGGGAGCTCTCGATGGTTGGTATACCCAGATCCTCTTCCCAGGGGGGATCTAGGCCCACAGACCAGTAGTAAACTTGAGGGACATTCATGTGCCTTTTCCGTGAAGGCATTGTCAGTGAAGAGGACATTCAGTGGAGTAACACTGTTGACTTACTCAACGATGAAGGTCCACGGTACCCATTTCCCTCGCTTGCTCGCCTTCTCAGGAAATTGTAGCGTGTTTCCGTACTGTACCGCTCTGTCCAGATCCGAGATTTCTGACCAACATTCAGWAATGCARGAGTGTATCACGTCGCCGAGCCACGGTTGGAAGCCGTTCACAGAAATCACCAGTGGGTCCTTTGGACAAGCGCGTACTTGATCGCCGACAGTACGGGCAAAGCGACCGGCATCTCGTGAGCTGATGGCCTGGATTTCGTGATACTTCTGTGGACTGCGTCTGCTGCCAACTCGAATCAACACGGGATTAGAGTCTGCCTTCCAGGATGGCCGGCGGCGGTGAGTATGACGCTTGCTCGGCATTTCTACTTTACGTTGTATCGTGGTGTTTGTGCATCGAGTCAAAAGAGTACGCCAACACCTATTGTGAAGGCATGTCGTCCTTGGAAGGAGCGCAAGTCAGGYGAGCACCTACTTCGAAGCGGACCAGTCGTGCCTACTCATCTTTTGAGAGATCCAGTGCTCCCACACAAGAGGTCCTGTCATCTTCGCTGCAGCCTTGTTGAGACAAAAGACCACATGCGCAGATTCACGGTCATTCGCTTCGCCTGTCAGCATTCCTTCACTACACCATCTCACGTCGGCTCTGATAGAAGAGCCAAGAGCGCCGACGTCGTTTCCGACATTCTGTTGCCATCGCTCTACCCACAGAGTATGTACATGTAGCGAAAGATGTGATGTGGGAGACGAAAGCAGCAAGTGGTCTGAATGGAGAGAAGTTGCGGCAGCTTCCGACGGTCGGGTCGAGACCGCCCTCCCGGCTGAGTAATAATGGAAACATGCTCAAACCCACGCTCGAGCCGCGCACCTTCCCTTGGTAGATGGCTGGCATCAAGGAGTGAGAGCAAGATGAACCTCTTCCAGTCCCATCACTTCCCTCATCATCCGCCGACGGTCGCAATAATCAGTCCATCGGAACACCTACCTGGCACTTCAAGCATACTTTCCGCGGCAAAAGCTACTCTGCGAAGTCCCGAGAATCCGCCTTAGGGGAGACAACGTCTGGACAGCGAGGCACTTTCGTCTCACCAAATTCATCATAAAGGACTCGGTGCAACATACTGAGATCCAGGTACCGGTTCAACCATGAACATGATGGATCATGGCATGAGCATGTCCATGGTCTTTACCACGGACCATTCCACGCCGTTATATTCAGCACAGTGGACACCTTCCACGACGGGAGCATATGCCGGTACCTGCATATTTATTCTCGCTCTCGGTGTCATCAGCCGCTTCCTGTTGGCGTACAGACATCTTCTGGAAGCAAAGTGGCACGACAAGGCCGTGGGACGGAGATATATCATGGTTGCCGGCGACAATGCAATGGAGCGTGAAGCTCAGTTGAATCCTTCCTCCGAGAAGAGTGAGGAGGCAACACTCACCACTCGTGGCATGAACGAAAATGTGCGTGTAGTCCGCACTCCCCGTACCAAGATGCAAGGCACGCCGTGGCGTCTGAGTACCGATCTTCCTCGAGCATGCATCTTCACTGTTCAGGCTGGCGTTGGATACTTGCTGTAAGTCTCCAACATCCTATGATTTTGTCGATGTCTAACACATCCAGGATGCTTGCGGTTATGACGCTGAATGTTGGATACTTTCTTTCAGCACTCGCCGGGTTGTTCGTTGGAGAGCTCTGCGTCGGACGATATACACTCATGGATGATGGGCATCACTAGCGACACACACGTTGCATTCGACTGATTGTACATAGATCCCGAAATTCGATGTCACCTCCAACAAGATTGCATTCCTGGTGTTGTTTGCAGAATTCCTCAAAAATCTCTTTCCGATCCACGAAGCGCGCATCGAGATGCTCAAAACCGGCACCTCTACCGCTCACTCAGAAAGCTGAACGTCAGCCACACACTCGTTCTGCGGGCCGATCATTCAAGCATTTGCTCATCTCTTGATAATTTCACGTCACTCGTTTGCCTCTTTCGGCCCTCATTACAGAATGAGATCTTCTATTGCCCTATTTGCCCTGGCCGGGTCTGCTCACGCAATCCCTTTCGCCGATCTTTTGAAAAAGAGACAATCTTTATCGCAGTTCACCGATGTCGATATCTTGAACTACGCCTTGACTCTTGAGCATCTGGAGAACCGCTTCTACCTGGACGCCCTGAAGAACTTTACCCAAGCGKACTTTGCTGCTGCCGGATACGACTCCACCTTCTACACCAACCTACGTGAGACCAGTTCAGATGAGTCGATCCACGTCGCGTTCCTCTCTGGAGCAATCACTGCTGCTGGTGCAACTCCTGTGAAAGAGTGCAGCTATGCATTTGGCATTACCTCTGTCGACGCGTTCGTAGCTACAGCTTCCATTCTGGAGGGCGTCGGCGTTGCCGCATATCTTGGGGCCGCTGCACAGATTGCAACTAAAGCGTATCTTACTGCAGCTGGCAGTGTTCTTACCGTCGAAGCTCGCCACAGCTCCTACCTGCGTGAGTCCCGCAAGATCTTCCTATCTCACTCCGATAGCTAACCCCTTATTAGGTGCCAGCCTCGGCCAGTCACCTTTCCCTCAACCACAAGAAGTGCCGTTGACCCCGAACGAGGTCTTTACGCTTGCCTCCGGCTTCATCACTGCTTGCCCAAGCGACAACCCATCGTTCCCCGTCAAGGCATACCCCGGGCTCGCCGTGACATCGACCGGTTCAATCACTACAGGCTCTCGCATCACAGTGTCTACTTCCGGATACGTTCTTGCAGCCAAAGACCCAAGGGCTCGAATCTATGCAAGCTTTGCGTCTGCCGGAGGACCAGTCTGGGCCCCGTTGACTCCTGCCGGGAATGGCATGGACTTTTACGTTACCGTTCCCGATGGAGTGTTTGGTCAGAGCTAGTAAGTTGGCTGGGTTTTAACTTATTGTTCGCCCTGAACAATTGCTTACCGTCCTACTCGCAGCCTGCGTTTCTCGAACTGCGAGGGCGTTGCGACTCTCGCCGAAAGCCAGATCGTTGCTGGTCCAGCCATCGTAGAAGTGAGTTACACTTCGCAAGCCCAGATGGTCCTCTTCTAATGGCGTGACAGGTTTCGAAATGAGTAGATGTAGCACATGATCGTTCATTACTTGGGGATCTTCCGATGCAGCACCGAAGTTGAATTATTGGAGACGGGATCAGTGGCACAGCGATTTGAGAAGCTTCGTTACATTTCATATGCCCATCTTTGTCTTGATAATAGTGGTATATACAGACATCTTGTGTGGGTATCCCTTCTAGTCCACCTCATAGGTGGCAGTCGGCTTTGGAATTCCGCAACTCGTTCCATCGGTGACCTTTACTCCTTCTTCTCCATGCTGCTTATATCGCCCCTCCACAAGGTCCTTCATATATGTATACGGACAATCCATAGCACCACCCGCCACGGCAGAATAACCTCTATGACCAAATTGATAGAGGTTGTTCTCCACTCCCCAATTCTCTCGCTTCTCCAACGCGTCTCCCTTTCTTATCTCACAAGCAAAAATCTCATCCGGCGTGTTATTCCCCTTGCGAACAACATCTCCCTCTGGATTACAAAACATGGCTTCTCCCATCGAATTGAACGTCCCATCAGAACCCGCCAACGCCACCGAGCAAGTCCACATGAGATTCGTAAATGCATTACAACGATTGGTGATTTCCCAGGAACCTTTAATCGGACTCGTATATCCCGCGGTCCTCAACATGATCTCCGCACCTTTGTAAGCGCATTCATGTGCCATTTCCGGAAATTGGCCATCATGACATATAATATGAGCCATTCGAATTCCATTCGGCCCAATGAAGACTGGAATGCCTCTGTTGCCTGGATACCAAGGCTCCACTGGGACCCACGGATGAAGCTTCCGGTATTCATTCACCAACTCTCCAGCTGGGTTGATCACTATACCTGTATTCCAAGGTTGGCCGAGAGGATTGCGTTCCATGATGCTAAAGCAGCCCCAGATTTTATGGTCTATGCAGGCTTTTCTGAAAGCATTGACCTCGGGTCCTTCGAGAGTACACATTATAGAGTCGTCTGTTGACATGCTGAGGCCGTGGATCGCATATTCTGGGAAAACTATGAGATCCATCAAAGGGTACTGGAATGAATCAGCGAAGAAGTTGACGAATCGTGACAAAGACTTTTACTTACGCTACGACGAGCTTTCCCAACGAGCTTGCAGACATGGTCCGTTGCATGGCGAAGTTGATCTGGAGTTCGCACGTCGAAGAGCTGCGATTGACAGACCCCGATGACGATTGAGTCTGGGGATGATTTGTTGAGACCTCCAAGGCCGGACATGATGCTGTTATTCAACTGGAAAGAGATGAACAATTGAACAATCGCGAAGGTAACAAGTCAGCTTACTCTCTGATAAGTGTTACATTCTGGTGTTGTCACGGACTTTAGTCAAACAGACCCCGCAGCATCACCACCAGCAATCTCTCTTAGATAAGACAGTCATGTTTCTGTATTCACTACGTCTGCTTCTAATTACAACCCGACCGTCGGATTGATGCTGATGCTTTTGACTCAAAGTTGTGTCAGCAAACACTCAAATGCAAAGTGTCTCGACAACTAGTCTAGTGCAGTCCGCTCTCGCCTGTGGCAGCCATGTACGATTGACACGCCGCCATTAGCTTCGCCTGATCTGCCACATGCTGGAGCTTCGATAACACATCCTTGTTACCGTCAACGAACCCGAGTATCAAATACTCGATCTTGGTCTCGGCACAGAACTCCTTCACCATCCCCTGAAGCTTGCGTAAGTTGTGACGCGGCACACGCGGAAACAGATGATGGACTGCYTGGAATTGAAGTCCACCGTGGATGAAGTCCAGCCAGGCGGGACATGCTACGTCCATGGTGGTACGAAGTTGGCGCTGCGCAAAGACCTCGGATGGACCTAGGTCGGAGGTGCTGGTTCCCCAATGCGACAATGTGATCTGTACATGCAAAGGCATCGTGACAAGATGGCTCACAAGCAAGAACACCGCACGATTCCACCAGGTTGGAATGGTGCACCAAAGCAGCCCGTAGAAGAAGATGAAGATGTAGCAGGTGATTGCGATGATCTCGACCGGTCGTGTCCAGGCGGCAGTACCCTTGGTGATGGAGCGGCGCGAGATGAGATGTGTCCACGAGAGGAAGTAGAGGTTGAATCTCGCCACAGCCATGATCGGATAGTAGGTCAAAGTCTGGTACTGGATCACAACATCTGCGACAGCGTCCCAGACGAACTGAAACCCATTGTAGTAGGATGATTTAATGGATGTAAAGAATGCTGGCGAGGTTGCAAATAGCGGCGTGTTTTGAATGTCTGGATCGTGGACCTATACTTGGTGTCAGTTGTACATCTCCCTCTAGCATTGGATGACACATACCGGATCGTTCGTGATGAAGTGGTGCACATTGTGACTGCTCTTCCACCAGCCAATGGACAATCCGGAGCAGAAGTTTCCAATGAAGATGCCGATCAACGAATCGATGACAAAGTTATGTGTGATGCCTCTGTGTCCAGCATCGTGCGCGGTAAACATGATTTGATGCCACCAAAGTCCAAGGAAGCAGGCCGAGGTCGCGTACCACTCGCGTCTGAGGAAGAAGAGGAATAGGCAGAAGAGTGTGGTGTACCGTGCCATTTCTTTGGCATACTCCACGTAGCGGCAGTCATAGTAACCCTCGTCTAGAACCCGCTGATGCAGTTCCCGGAACTTCAACGCGATGTTGCGCTGGGTGGTAGCGTCGAGTGATGGGTACTTGGCGATATCAGCATCGATTTCCTCCTGAATCGCGCCTGCGGTGTAGCTGCCAGGCACCACATCGATCTGTGACGCCYCGCTCAGCAGCGGAGTTGGCTTGGTTTGGCACTGTGTCTTCAAGTCGACGCCGAGTTCCTTCGTCTCCCTCCTGAACGTGCCGCCTTGGATAGGTGGTGTGAAGTTTGTCCACTCTCCCTTGATTCGACCTATGCGGTATCTGGTCATGCTCTGCAGGATCTCGGGCGAGTGGGATCTGAGCGCGCGGTACTTGTGTCAGCAGGATTACCAATAAACTCCCGCCTGTTCCGGAATCCGGAGTTTAGTGACAAGTATAAGACGACGTACATGCTCAGCTCGTCCGTTGCATCTCGGCCCACCATGTGATGAATCACGAGCCGTCCGCCTGGATGAAGGTGCTGCCACGCATTGAGTCGCAGGACGGCATTCTGGTACAGCACAAGCACATCTCCGTCGGCGATCAGACCTTCGATCTCTCGGCGGGTGAAGATGCGGCTGCCAGCCATCTTGGGAGCGCCGTTCATGATAAGCGAAGGTGGTTTGCTGGAGGTTCAGCGACGAGAAGGTAAATGTCAAGTTGTTGAATTACAACTAAGAATGGAAGACGGAGGTGCACAGCCCTGGCCCGCCGTCCCGCGCGTGCACTCACAATCGCCGCTGGCGGGCAAGCAGCTCGCTCTCACGGGATAGAGAAGGGCCACGGCCATTTCGCTCGCATTCAGGCACGTGTGCATCCCCCGAGCGTGGGTCGTATTCGGTTTATCATGCCATCTGGCCACTCATCCAATTCTGCCGCCTGAAAGGGTTCAAGATGTGCATCAGGGAAGGAAGCGGCCTAAGGTCGGCTACCTGCCTTTCCAAGCTCAACGACCTCTCTCGAAGCCTCCCGATCCAGAGCACGTTTGTCTACCTCGAATGAGCACGGGGCATCGACCCTGCAGGCGTTTGGATCGCACGTCGGAGCCAAGTCCGGAAGCTGTGCGAGCGCTCTCATTCGCCCATAGGCGGAGTCCAGACTGTCAACTTCCAAAGAGGGTCCGAGGCCATCGGCTCCATCTGAGCTTCTAAGCTAGGCAAGGGTGTGAATCCATAAGCGCTTGTCCCTGCGACACCAAGGGGCCGACGGAATCAACCAACGGTAATAATCGCCAGTGACCACGTACGTCGTTGACGAAGCTCAGTCTGAGTTTCATTTATCTCATACAGTGGTTATTGCTCGGTCCAGCAGCTATGACGAAGGAGTAAAAATGACCGACTGGAGGACGAATGCCGGTCTGCGYTTGATCATCCAATGTCAAGGCGAGGGGAAGGAGAATGGAACCACCGACGACGTAACTGGTCCCGCGCCAAGCACGATATCAGACATCCCGACCATTCATTTATTCGAGCTGGTTGGCTCCCTAACAGGAAGCGTCTCCTGCTCATTCATGCTGGGAATATCCCTGAAACGTCCATTGTGGAGACCTGAGAGTAGGGTGTGCATTTTCGACCTGGAAGGTGAAGCAATGCCATGTCTTTGAGGTGACCAAAATTCGTCATGGGCACATGGAGGAAAGCTTACCACGACTTCGCGGATGCCGCACTGAAATGCCCAATCTGAAAGCCATGGAGTCGGGATCTGGAATCCATGCAGGTGGTCAGGGGGCCGCGGATTCCGAACTGAGGCCTCCGTCGCTGGCCGATGTCGTGATAGACAGGGCCTGCTAATATTAGAGGCGAAATGACGATGAAATGCTTGCAGTAGACCGCTGCCTTCGCCTTACGCCAGCACACCAGTCTTGGGATTCGGCATATAGATCTTATGGATTACTGATCCGCGGGACCATACCATCCCTGTGGTGCGTGGCATCGGCTGGCAGGCATCCCATACCCTGAGCTCCTGAACGGGCAGTGCTCTTCTTTTCAATTGAAGCCGAGAGTTTTCACTGCAAATTCGTGATCAGCTGGCATTTCACACATGTCACATGAGCTACTTACGCTGAGAAATCACGGAACGACTAGCACTGGGTTACAGAAGATTGATGAGACGAAGAGGCTCGTCGGAGAACCGTGGTCCTGGGCATCGGGTCATGCCGGTCGCTGGCGGGGAATTGTGGCTCTAAGTAAGGCTGTACTCAAGGTTTTACGGCTCGCGACTCGCGACTCTGGGCGACGACGTGAGGTTACTTCTGCCAGGACTACGACTGCAGCGAGACCAAAGCCGTTAATATGCCATTTGCATGTGAACTTGGGAGCTGCGAATCGACAGGAGAACTGGGTTCGTGGGTGGCAAAAAGAGCGACACGTCTCTCTAGTGACAAGCGGCGACTCGCTCCTCGGTCATTGCAGCTGAATTCAGGAGGTATCACTGACGTCTTGGCTCAATGTCAATGCGTAGATGTCCTGTGCTGTGTGCTGTTGTGATGGGTGTAGATAGGATATGGTACATTTTGCTTGCGCGAAGTTGAGACTGACACATGAGGTATTCTTGGCGAGTCTAGCACCGTTGAACTTAGTTTCGACATTGATGTTCACTGGCCGAGGCGTGTGGAAGAAACAGTATCTGAAGGAGTGCAGTTGGTTCTTGGAAGACAACAGTCCAAGCTGAAAGTGGCCTGTGCTTCTACTTGTTCAAAAGGAGTGAGAGCGCTGGCGATATGAAGGACTCGTTCCACGGTTGTATCTCCTGCATCTCATGTACCAAAACCAGTATGGCATGATGCTCCATTCTCAAGCTGGTTAATTAATGCCTTCCCTTGGTCCTCTCACTTTTAGGAGTGGCTGGTCTCTTGCAGAAGGTGAATTGAGCATAAGGAAGAGTGAGGGACTAATGCACGACGATGTGATGAGAATAGTACTTGTCCAGCCACTATGCAGCATGAAGTCAGTGGAGCTTCAAGGTCGCAACAATTGAAGGTGAACGTGGAAGCTATTGCGCTGTCAACTTGCTCAGAACAGCGAGATGAATGCGTCAGTGATACTGGCAAAGCAATGTTACAGCCATCCGCGAGAATTCCGTCGGCCTCTATTCACAACGGCAATGTTGTTGTGGAGGAAAGAAGGAGTTTCCATTGTTATGGCTCGAATTGCGAAGCGCGCTAGGGATCTTCCCAGCCAACAAATCGATACACATCAACAACCACAAACTCGACCACCCTCTCGCTCCCGGCTACACAATACGAGCATTCAGCAGCACGCTCACTCTCTGTGTGCTGACCGCTGCTGATTGTTCTGACTCTGCAATACTCCTGTCCAGTACAAACCTGCAACATGTACGCGTCTTGAGAAAGCGCGTCGCTTCCCCGCCAACCGTCGACATCTCTGCGCGCAGACTACGATCCCGACACCTCTACTAGCACGCCAAACGGCAACATGGCGAGCAGACGAGCCCCACTGGCCGATGTGCCCRATGCCGTTAATTCACCCTTCCGCACCGCCCCAGCCGCTGGCGGAAAGCGAACACGAACCCAAGCTGGCGATCAAAGAGAGGTCGTGCATGGTCAACCGCCGAGCAAGAAGCATATTGTTGAGATCCAGGGCGAAGAAGATGAGAACACAGACCCACGTAGAAGGAGTGGTGTGCCTGCAACAACATGCGACAAATTCGAAGAGCCCTTCGCAAAGCGAAGTCAGTCCACACAGCCCACTGCCTTTGAGAAGAAGCTCGCGTCTGTTAGGGAAAAGAAGCCAGCAACCTCTCAGCAGCGTGTCGAACGTCCGCAGAAACAGGATGGAAGCAATCTGGAGTCCATCCGCCAATGGCAGAGGCATTATAGACGCCAATTTCCGCAATTCGTCTTTTACTTCGAGAGCGTAGCGGACGATGTACGCGCCAAATCGATGCGCTCGATTGCGCATCTTGGAGCGCGAGAAGAGAAGTTCTTCTCCAAAGCCGTGACCCACGTCGTCACCACGCGATCTATCCCTCCGGAGCGTACAAGCACCAGCCCAGACGAGACGAAGTACGAGGCCGCCCCAACCAAGTCTGTGCAGCCGACGTCCACTTCCACCCAAGACCAGCGGCGGACGACAAACCTCTTGGACGCCCATCTGCAGCGTCGTTCTCAGAACACCGTGGCTTCGGTCCAACCAAGTGTCGAGAGTCGTCGCCCAGCACCACACTCAGCCGATATCTTGACAAAGGCACGCGCTTTGGGAATCAAGATCTGGGCGCTCGAAAAGCTGCACCGGGTCCTCGATACCATTCTCGATGCCGATGCGGGTGACAATGTCATTGAGAGTCGTCCTGCTGCCACTGGCACGCGGGCAACCTCTAGAAACACACATGACGCCGATCTGGAGCAACTCCTTCGCCATGAGAAGGTCAATGGCCCAACCGACCGTGATATGACTGTTGCGACTCAAGACATGACGACTCTCCGTGGTTATTACATCTACATCCACGACATGGACGAGAAATCAAAGCCAGTGATGGTCCGTGACTACCCCAAGACCGCCTCTAAGGAAGATGGTAAATGGCCGCAGTTCCGACTCTCCGCTGCTGGCCGCTGCCCCTTTGTTGAAGATCCTGCCCATACCAAGAGGCTCCAACAGCAGGGCAGAGCGTCTACGCAGGCATTCACGGAGTCAGCACAGCGCAAGACAAGAGCAGGTGGTACCTCTCTGGCTGCACCTTCTCAACTTTTAGGTGAGCGCGATTCAAACCTTCGTCGATCGCCTCGAAAGCTTGCCCAGCCCAAGCATGAGTCCGCAAAGCCGCTCGATCCTCCCAGAGCACTGCCATCGATGCGACACTCGTCTACCGATCTCATGCCGCCGCTCTACGGCAGCGCGCAGGCGATTCTACGTGGTCCGCCGCGTATGGTAGGCGGAGAACCCGTTGCATCAGGCATACAGCACTCTAATGTGACATCTGCCATCCGATCTCAAGCCATCTCATCCGCAGCAATCTCATCCACAGCTCCAGGCATTGGAATGCGAGCAGGAGATACAAAAGAGATGCTTTCATTGAAGCGCAAAGTTTTCGCATCGAAAGGCACCCCTATGCCTACGTCATACGCGAACGATGTGCGCGGTGCTATCAACAACGATGACAGCGGTCCACCCCCGCGAGCTGCAAAGCGCAAGGCACAAGAGACTCTTGGCGTTGTTATTGAAGGCGATGAAGCTGGAGATCACCTGTCCAGATCCAAGGCAGCTGCCCCGAAACGAAAGAAGGTCGTTGAGAAGGAAGCCAAGCCTGGATATTGTGAGAACTGTCGTGACAAGTTCGACGACTTTGACGATGTAAGTTTCTCTTCTCTCCGCCACGAAACAGCCAGAACTGACATCCATCACAGCACATCGCCACGCGCAAGCATCGCAAGTTTGCAATGACGAACGACAACTGGAGGGACCTCGACGCTCTGTTGGGGCTGCTCAAGCGTCCACACAAGAAGCATTGATTGATTATWTCCGTTGCGATAGCATTCATCTTGATTGGCGAAGGCAGCTGCATCTTCATTGGCATATCTTTCTTGGTGGAAGCGTAGCATTGCGCACTTTTGTTTGACCTACTGTTTGGCATGATTTTGCATCGTGTCTGGACAGCATGCATAGCGAGGCGCTCGGATGGGGAAGACGCGTAAATGCGCGACGACAGGCTTTGGGCTTTACGAAGGTTGTTCAAGACTATATCTGTATCGAGCATGAAATCGACGGCCTGACCGTCTAATGCGCGATGTATGCATTCATGAATGCATTTCAAAATTCAAACTTTTGGCTCATGAAAGGGTCGCTGTTCGTGACCTTGACTTTTACCTTACTTTGGGCTGAGGTGTGAAGCGGATTTGCACATGCATCGAAGCGATCCTACCTTAAGCTGCCTTTTATATTCTTTACACTTTCTGTACCAACAACAACAGCCTGCCCTGTCAACGAATCAGATTAATCGCACCTAGCAAGCTCAAATGTCTACGTCGCCGACTTCCGCGTCGCCAGATGTAGAGGAAGATGATGGGGGCGCCGATCTACCATTAACGATGGCCGCCTCAGTCGTCCTCGAACATCTACCAAAAGATGCCCATGAAGCCCTGGAGACAGCAGGAGAGCTCGAGYAAGCCAAAGGTATGCTTCACTCTAAATCATGGACTGTTGATCACTACCTTAGACTTACTTCTTTGCAGTCACCATCAGGCTCTCGCCGTTGCCCAATACACCACAGTTAAAACAACCGCGGTTCAAATGTTCGAGCAATCAGCGTTTCGAGTACATTGTTCGGTTTCTGCGGCGGAAGCTGGGTCTCAAAGACCACGAGTCTGTGTTCTGCTACGTGAATTCTGTCTTTGCGCCGGGTCTTGATGAAGGAGTTGGGAATCTGTGGAGAGTATGCACCTCAGTCATATCTGCTTCACGATGATTGAGTGGCTAACACGTAAACAGTGCTTCAAGACGGGAGAAGAGTTGGTGGTGTCGTACAGCGTCACTCAAGCATTTGGTTGAGAGGGCGTCGCGCTCTGGGGTGACTACCTTCTACCTGGACTGTCCCCTCCAACGTTGCCAACAAGCCTCTCGAACTCGGCGAGCTCCTCCTCCTTCATGGCATAAGTATGCTCCAGCGCGGGATAAGTCCTGTTCTTCACCTCATCCCTGTATGCTTCAATCGCACGACTCGCCTCGCCCCAGACATCGCCAAACTTCTTCACGAACTTGGGAACTTTCCTGCCCGGGGGAAAGTTGCCTAACATGTCAACCTGCACCAGCACCTGACCCGAGCAGCCACTTCCAGCACCAATCCCAATTGTCGGAATGCGAAGCCTTTCAGTGATGAGCGTGGCTACCCTCTCTGGCACGGCTTCCACCACCGTCGCGAAAGCTCCCGCTCCCTGCACTGCTTTGGCGTCCTGCAAAACCTTCAACGCACCACCTGCAGACTTTCCCTGAACGCGAAACCCACCAAGAGCATTTTGTCTCTGAGGCGTCAAACCAATGTGAGCAAGAACTGGGATACCCGCCGTGGTGATCTTGGCAATAGTCGGAGCCATTTCACTTCCTCCCTCGAGCTTGATCGCATGCACATGCCCCTCCTTGACCATACGAATCRCGGACTGTAGAGCTTGTTCCGGGCACACTTCATAGCTTCCCATGGGTAGATCCCCTACAATGAATGAAGCAGCAGCTCCTCTTGCAACGCTTCGACAGTGTAGTATCATCTCTTCCATTACGATGCTGCTCGTGTCATCCAGCCCCATGGCCACCATAGCCAAGCTATCTCCAACTAATATCACATCCATGCCTGCATGCTCGGCAACATGCGCGCTGGGAAAGTCGTGGGCGGTGATCATCGTGATTGGTTCCCGGCGATTGTATAATTCTCGTACAGTCTGGAGAGTTGTCTTCTTGCGGGTCGTAGCAGCTCCAATGGGTGAATGTGACGWATGCCTCACTCTCGGAGCAGAGTCTGGATTGTTTCCATAACGAACCGCTCTTACTGCCCTAGCAGAGCCTACGAAACAAGTTGATGACAAGGTCGAGATCTGTGGAATGGAAGCTGGACATCTTCTCGTCAAGGCACGCGACATGTTGAAGGTCGTCGGTCTGGGGCTCTGATCAGGCTTCGGCGTTGAGAGGTGGAGTGTAGTGATTCTTGCAGCAAACAAAATGAAGATATGCGATGCTGAGCCATGGTTTATCACAAAACAGCGGATGGCCAGAGACGTGGAATCTCGGTAWACACAATTCTACAGCGTAACTCTCATCAGATGAGGCATGGAGGACATGCCTTTTCCTCGGTCTTGCTTGTGCCGACATCGGTACTTAGGTATGCCCTGGAAACTACACTTCATCCCGGGAACATTTACAAAGGCAGAAAAGAGTAATTACATATTGCTATTGATGCAAACGATTAAATATTGAGATCAAATTAACAGACTATGTACCTATAACACATTGCACCAGACCTTACATGTGATCATGCAAATGAACAAAATGCCGCTCTCATTGCTGCCACCCAGTGCGCCCAAATGCGCCCTCACTACTTTCCCGTCTCTCGTTGATTATGACTCGCATCAGCTACTGAGCTTTGGCACCGCAAGCTTGAGAGTGGTCCTGAGGCTCGGGATGGATTCTGGGTGGAATTGTGTGAGTCCGGACTTCATTCATCGTGTGTGTGCCCTGAAGGGTCGGGTCGACCGTACGGATTGCCCACTGCTGGACTTGGGTTGTCGTGTCATCGTGTTTTCCAGATCCGTCGTAGGCGTTCTTCAGCCATGACTTATTATTACTCGTGCGCCCTCCTTGCCGATTACACCTCGTTCTTTCTCCTTCCCCTTGGGACTTCTATCTCGACCCTTCTTCCGACTCAGGAAACCCAGCATGCCTGAAGGTCGCTCCGAACGGCGCTGCTCATCACTCGGTGCGACCATGCCTTGACTCTGATTCGCCATATCACTCCAGCTGCCTTCCTCGTTGAGCACGACTTGAACACCTCCGCCCATGGAGGTGCTCCGAGTCGATCCCCGAGGATGTTGTGACCTTGTGGCGTTGGGGGCTTTGTGAGTCGGCACGTTCGGCATCTGATCGTTGCGCACAGCTTGTGTCCTCGGTTGGTTTCTTGATCCTTGAGCCGGATCTTGATGCGGCGACGAAGTCGGGCCTGTCTGAAAGTCAAGTGTCGGAAGTGGTGGAGAGCCGCGGGCGGAGTGCCCGGAAGTGTTTGCGCTGCCCGGGGTCTGTGAGCGAGAATTTGGTATGGAACGTGCATGGGCCGTATGCGGCCGGGAGTAGTTTGGAGCTACTGGCGAACTTCTCTCGCTTTTCGTTGTGCGAGATTTCGAGGCCCCAGATGCGACTGCAGTCGGTACAGGGCTCCGATCGTTGGGCGCAATCGTGTAATTGAAGGGCTCGAACATCGTCTCAATCATGCGGTGCAGCTCGTCTGCTCGGATTTCCTGCTGCGTCGCATCGTCCCTCAGCTCAGCTCGTGGCTTTTGTTTCCGCGCTCGAGCCTCTAGAGGAGCTTCTTCCAGGAGAAGCTCCTCAAGATCGTAGGTGGCATCAAAATTAGTTTTCTCACTTGATGGACAGAACACCGGCTCAATCTCCTTGGCTTCCAGAGCTTCAAAGTCGATCTCCCTGAAGAAGGGGTTATCAGTAAAAGTCTCCCACCCTGCTGCACCTATGCGTAGATTCTTGTTCTTTTCCAGCAGCGAACTGATGGCGTGCAGACACGGCATTGAAACAGGCGGGGAAGTCACGGGGAATGGCGGATCTGCCTTCACGATGGATTGCGCCAGTGCATCATGATGATTCGCTTCGAAAGGCCGCTTGTTGTAGATGCACTCATAGAACAGCACGCCCAATGACCACCAGTCCGGTTCTGAGTAGTATCCTCGGCCGGTATAAACTTCGGGAGCAAGATAGGCGAGGGTGCCAGACTTGCTGGTCAGCGGCTTCCCAGGCGTGAGATCAGAGGCCACATTAAAATCAGCCAAATGCACGTGGCCTTCGGAGTCCAGCAGCACGTTGTCTGGTTTGACATCACGATGCACGATTCCCTGCTTGTGGATATATCGTAGAGCACAACCAAGCTGTGCAATCCAGAATCGAACGGCTTCCTCGGTGAAAGTCTTGCGCGATATGTGAAAGCGCAAGTCACCGCCGTTCATCAAATCAACCACAATGTAGCTGCATGGAGCTGTCAGTGAGAGCTGACTGCACCAAGATCGCATGTACTTACAGGTATTCCATGTCCTGGAAGCTGTAACGCAGATTGCACAAGAACGGGTGATTCAGATGCTCGAGCATCCTCCGCTCCCGTATGATGTTGCGCACGCTTTCCGACCGTACCACCTCATCCTTCCTGATGTATTTGAGTGCAAACGTCAAGCCGGTGTCCTTGCGTTCCACAATCCGAACCTTGCCAAATGCACCCTTGCCCACGACCCGTAGCAGGCGGAAGTGGTTGAGATTGACCTCATCCGTCAAGACGATGTTGGAGTTGGAGTTTCCCATGGCCAATGAGTAGCCGGCAGCTGTTGGATGGGATTGGATGGGACTTCGAGAGGCAGTACGCGCGCGGTGCTATCTCTGCATCGTGGGTGGGGATAAGGCCGTGCAATGGACTACAACTGCGAGTGCGGCAGCCGCGGGCGGGTTGCGTACTGCACACTCTGTTGTATCGTAGCGGTTTAATTCGCGGAAGTCAAAGAAGAAAGATCCTGGTCCGCCACGCACGAGGCTACCGTTTCACAGCGCGGCGGCTGGCCGCAATCGTGCAGGTGGAGGGCGCGAGGACCCGGTGTTCGGAACAGCGTGCGACTTCCACGTGCGGCGTCGGTGTTTGGAGTCTCGACGTTCGTGTTGCAGATGAGGGGCAGCAGGTAGGGCTGTGTGTTTGGTCAGAGGCAGGGCGGGGATGAAGATGAAGAGCTCATAGGCTGGCTGGTCCTAAGTTAGTGGGCGGAATGAGGACTGAGGAGCAGCGGTGTATGCTAGGATTTACATCTCCTGAGAAATCCCACTGGAACAAGAAACACAAACTTGCAGGACGCCACGGTGACTCGCCAGTGTCAGAGTTACTAAGGTACGCTACGACCAACGCGCGGTGTAATGAGATGCGGCCGGGAATGCTGTTCCACTTTGCGCGCTCGTCGAAAGGGAGATGCTACCTAGGTAGCCTTTCCGGACTTTACTGCGGCACGCGAACATCACCTCGCGAACCCTAACTACCTACTTGCACTCACCATCTTTGTGCAGAGAGACTAACCGCTCCAACGGCGGCGTCCCCTCAAGCTCAGGTGTAACACACCTTGGCCTTCGCCCTGGACACTTCGTTCCACGAAGCAAGACACAAACATGATGGCTGATCCTTCAACCACGTGGGCCGGGACGCCGCGAGACAGTCCAGACGAATGAGCGAGCACGTATGGCGACGCCATTCCGAAAATCGCCTTGGTCGGGATTCCAGAAGGCTTCGACAGAACCCAATTTTCAGCTCTGACTAACTGCATCTAATTTGGTGAGTAAAGATCATAATAAGCACTCTCTGCTTGCAGTCATGCCATCCGATAATTAGTGGGTGCACCAGTTTGACGGGCTTTGAGGAGTGGGTACGGGATTCCTGCAGTCGCACAGCCATGCACCATGTCTGACGTTTGTCTCAGTTACACGACGTGCACGGAATCTGCAATTTGGTATTGATGGGAAACGCCGAGACGGCCGACAGTGACGAGAAAGAAGTCATCTCGCGTATTCAACCACCTTCCCAATGCAGATGAGTATACAATGGCAATTGCAATGTTTGCGTGAATCGAAATCATATGCTCGAGGAGTCTGCTGATGTGCACTAGCCCCAAACAAGAGGGCTCGGCATTGCATGTATATTGCAGAACATATGTACATCCATGGATGTTTCGGACTTCGAGAATGAATAAAGCACCGCCTTTCGCCCGCACTCAATCCAAAGCTCATCCCAGACCGCAATTCGTGCGCCAGCTCACCGAAAACAACATCCTTAGCCTTGAACTCCGACGAGCCACGCCCTAACTCCGCATACCGACCACAGACGCCGTCTTGATCGATTGATAGAGACTTTATGAAGTGCATGACAGCACTCAAACCTCTTCCATGGTCCCTGCAGGCTCCTCGTCTTCTTCGTCGTCATCGTAGCTGCCCACGCTGCTCATCTCGTCGCTATCGTTTGAGTCGCCGCCAGCATCGTCTGCATTCTCCTTGGATGCGTACTTCGTGACGTACTCTGCGCAAAGGTCAGCCTTCATCATCGGCACAGACGGGAGCGACCATGGCGAACCTTTGACTTTTGATTCATAGCCCTTGGGCTCTCTCATCATCAATGCCGCTGCTTCTCCATTAAGCGGATCGGTGGGATTGGGATAACGTAATAATTGCGGAAGGAACACCTCGAAGATGTTGACCATGTCGTACATCGGCGACCAAGTTTGGTTGATGACATCGAGACAGACGCTTCCAGATCTGTGAAAACGTCAGTTATCAAACAGACCAGCCGTTGATGAAAGGGAGTGCAGTACAGCTCATCGATATTCGGGTGGAATATACGGTTGACAAACCCAATACTCGGGCTCTTATACGGGTACTGGTCGGGTAGCTCAACGTGGATTTTCCAGAGACCTCCCTCAAAAGGTGCTGCTCAGACGTCAGCCACACATGYGCCGCAAAGCTCTTGATATGCAGACTCACTCTCAGTAGGCCCCTTAAACCTCACGTAGAACTCTTGCCTGTATGGACATTTAGTACGTGATCTTTGCGCGAGGATCATGGCATGGCTGTGGCTAACACTGTCGAGACAGGTTAGTCAGCATGCAACGTGAGCGCAGCAAGCGGAGGGGGGAGATTGCAAGCACAGAGGGTTTTCGTACTATTATCATTGACCAGGGTCACCTCGTAGTCGCTCATCAGCCTGTGTGAAAGATTAGATGCCGCTCTGGTAACACGAAGCTTTGTTTCGGCTCACATCTTCATGACCTGCATAGGCGGTTAGCTCAAGTCTTGAAGGCCATGCTATGAATTCCCTGTCTGCCTTGACTTACATCCGTCTCGATTCTCCGTTTTGGACTGCTCATCTTGCCTCCAAGTCTTGGCTTGCTTCGGTGTGTCGTTCAGCCCCTTCCAATCGTTTCTCTGGGGACGACTGTTGATTTTGTGTCGCTAAAGGTTGATCGAAATGTCAAGAAAGCTGAGGTGTCAAGACAAAGGGTAGRTATTCTCGTAAAGTCGAATTGCAAGAGCTCTCGGCGGTTCAGGCAGGTAGGTCGTCGCTTTGTTCGGTCTCTGCCGCCGGGTTTCGAAGTGCTTTGACGCTCGAATGCGTGGTTCGTTCAATGGCGTCGGGAGGATGGCTAGGTGGATGTTCAAGTCAGATTCGTATCGGTAACCAGAGTCTTGATCGGGGAGAGTGTGTCGCAAGTGAAAGTCGGAAGTGTTTGCTAGAAGGGTGACCATCGACAGCTTGATGGTAGCATGATGAAGTCACGCGGGATGGCCGATGGCCGATGCCGATGCCGGGGTGTTGCAGATAGTGCACGATAACTAGTTAGGTAAAGTATCTCATGCATTCACCTTGTCCAGGTCGGATTCGCAATCAGGAACAAAGTCCTGGACTAATCGTATCTTTATCGCATCTACTACTGAAGCACAGACAACTCTCTCTTTCTTTCAACTGTCTGTTGTACATGAACGTGGCTCATATGAGCACGGCGGTTGAATGGTTTCAACAGGGGAGGGGTAATAATAGACTCTGATCAGATGCACTCTGAGAAGCTGGAGTCTCTGCCTTGTTGCTACTCGTTCAGAAATATCGCACCCAACAAGGAGCAGATGCCCCTATCCGGCTTCGATAGATCGAATTTATCAGAGAAGAGAAGGCGCAAGTTAAAAGAGAAAGCTCGTGATAGCAAACAACCTGATGTAAGGTACCCCCTAAAACCAAGCAAACCTAATGTCCGCCCGACTCCCTTGCCCTCATTCCTCGTCATAGTGTTCACCGAGCTCGAACTGTCCACCACTTCGAATCCACGCTCGAATGCGATCCTCTTCAAGGAACCCCACCTCCCTCCACCCAGCGACAAGGCGTTTGGCCCTGGTCAGCTTCCACTCATAGAATTTCTCCAGCCACTGCGCGTGCGCGTACTCCGTCCGGACCTTCGCATTCTTCAGCAACTTCTTCTCATTGTACAACACATCATCCTTGAACGCGCGGACTGTTACACATTGTCAGCAACATACCTTTTCCATCCTCGTGCATAGGCTTACTCACAGAAGTGCCGCTTGATGAGCAAATACTCCCCACATCGAAGCCCCAACGCTGCAGCAAGAACTCGCTCCGCTTTGTGTAGAGCGAACACATACCGATCGTCGCTCAAATCTGTGGGCTCGTCTTTGGTCGCGTAGAGAACATCACAGGACTGTAGTTTCGCCATCGCAAGATCATCCTCCCCCTCTTTGATGAAGGGCGCGTAATCGGTCATCGACACGGCGTTTGCGTAATCCTTATGATCAGGGATGGCAATGGCCGAGAGGAACGCTTCCTGCAGCCATGTGTAGATGCGACAGTGATGGTCTGGCGTTGCGTCTACGTTGTCATGAAGGTGTGGTGTTGGTTTGATGACGCGTGCCGTCTCACTGATGCACAACTCGGAAGCTAGGCGATTTAGCAATGGAGTGATGGGACCTTGAATGTAGAAGAAGCGGACGCGTGGATCTTTGGGCATGAGGAGCGCGAAAATTGCGATTGGGATGCCATCCGATCTTCCTTTGTGCTCGGCATCCTCGATATGCGCGGCATCTTCGAGAAGAATAAGGGACCCTGTCCTGCGAGGTTCGAGCTGGAACACCTCAAGAGGCTCGATGCGGAGGAGGTGATCGTCCTTTTCCAGGAAGGGATTCAGCTGGTCAAGGAGCCATTGTTTGATCATCTACGAGTCAACGTTAGCTTAAACTTGGTGCGCGGGTCCGATAGGCTCACTATGCATATGGCCACTGGGTTGCGTGCGGTCAGCACTACCACTGGGAAATCGTGCTTCCTCGCCGGCTTGAAAACGATGGATGGCAAGGCGGTCGCTCGAAGTGAATTGAGATCCACGCCTTTTGCGGAGCACGGTGATGGACTCGGCTTTGCTGCGGGTTGCGGTTGTTTCGCCATGGTCGACTGCTAAGCCTGTGTAGCAGATGGAGATGGTGGTGATGGTGATGATGCGAGAAATAAGATGAAGCTTGAGATTACTTGCCGTTGGTCGCGCATTCATTCACTTTAAAGAGGGAGGTTTGTGAGATCAGAACTTCGCATGACGGCGTTGCGAAGCTATCTCGATTCTTCAGTCAAGTGAAATGAGAAGGCCCATGCGCACGCACCTTCTCGTTCCTGTTCATTCTAACTCACGTTCTTTCCTCAGAATCACTCCTATGCACGAGCTTGTCGTGCAACTCCCAATCCTGCGCCTTGCTGTCATGCTGTCATGCATATTGTACAGTTCATTGCTCTATCGTCCACGTCTACGCATCTGGCTCCTCGGGCGCCTTCGCCAAACCGTGCTCCTTGAGCAGGGTGTCGATCTCATCGGCGGCCCACAAGTGGTGGTAGATGGTACCCTTCTCTGTCCTGCCCACCGTAGCAAACTCAATCTTCTCGCTTGACAGTTTGGTGCTGTCCATCGTCTTCGACAACACCTTGACAGCCAACTCGCATGCCTGCTTCAGATTGCAGTCCTCGTTGTAGTCCTGCTTGAGCAGAGACTGCGCGCTCGCATTGTTTGCGCCCACACTCGTTGCCTTCCAGCCAGTGTAGTTGCCGCTTGGGTTCGACTGGTAGAGCTGAAACTGGCGCTGGTTGTCCCAACCAGCGTAGATGAAGGAGACACCGAACGGCCGCAGACCACCATGCTGAGTGTATCCTTGCTTCAGATCGCATAGTCGCCGCACAAGCTGCTCGCAGGGGATATCGGCGTTGTATGTGAGGAGGTAGCGTTGGGCGGCCTGGCGGGCGTAGTTGATGAGGATGTTGGCGTCAGCGGTCATACCTGCAACAGCGCAAATCATGTTGCTGAACGGCGATGGTCAGCGTTTCGTCGTTCATACAAGCCCAATGCCACAATACGCACTCGTTCAAGATGTACAGCTTCTCAGCGCTTGTGTCCTGCTCCAACAGCTTGCTCGTCACTTTCCGCTCGGCTGCGAGAACGATGCCATCGTTTGCGAGGATTCCCAGGGCGGTTCCAGCGTGTGAAATGGCCTCTAGCGCGTACTCGACCTGGTAGAGGCGGCCTTCGGGTGAGAAGATGGTCGTGCGACTGCGGAGTATGTTAGCACGTCCTTCCTGACGTCGATGCTGGGGAGGCGTGCCTATCGTAGCGTCTCGACATGTCGGCGTTTGGGTGTGTGAGTTTGGATCAATTGCACGGATGAGGGTATTAGAAGCTATTCGGGATCTGGTGGGTGGCCGGGGTGGAAGATGGTTTGTATGATCAAAGGTGTTTCGGTGATGGATTGTGAAGTTGAAGTCGAAGGTAGAGAGCTCTCAGGCAACGGCGCGCCGACGCGGCAAGCAAGCTCTCGGTGGATTCTGGAGATTTTTTGGATCTTCACTACATTAACCATCATCTCATCCGCGACATGAGCAGAAGATCAACCTCGCGATGATGGAGTCACCCAACAAGAGACACAAGACAGCTTCGCCGGCATTGGATGCGCAGAACGACTTCGTTCCTTTAGCCGCACAGGACAACAAAGAAGCAGCATATGGCTATGGAGAAGCTTCAAATCAATCCTTTCAGGCACCACGAGAACCGCGCGGATTCTACCAAGGCCACCACGGTCATGCACGAGGTGGACATGGACCTCGTCATGTGGAAGATCGGCCCAAATCAAAGCATCTACTGCCGGGCTACGAGCCATGGATTCTGGTCAAGACGAAACTGCGACGACGCTTCGTGCACAACACCGAGACGAAGGAAAGCTTCTGGTTCATTCCCAAGGATGTCATGCCCGGCGTCATTGATTTCGACAGGTGGGAGGTGGAGCAGAAGGAAAAGGCTGCGAATGCGAAATGGGCAGAGGAGCAGCTCAAGGAAATGCGTGAGCAGAGCAAGGCCGTCGAAATCAACAAGGCGGCAGACGCAGAGGGAAGAAGTCGACGGCGGCGAAGTGAGAGTTTGCAGCGGGAAGATGAGGCGGCCATGCTGGCAGAATTAGCTGCTCAGGCCGAGCATGGAGAGGAGCATGACATTAAACAGGCTGTGCAGGCTGTGCAGCATACCGAAGCTGGCTATAATAGTGACAGCTCGTACGAAGAGGTTGAGGTGACAGATTCCGAGGGCGAAGAAGACGATCCCAATAAAGCCTCAAGTAGTGGAGATCGGGGGCAGCATGCCGAAGCTGGGCAAATGGATGTCCAGGAGGGAGGGGATGAAGCACCTGTGGAATTCGGCGAGGACGACATTGCCTGGCAACTGGAAGCGATGGGAGAAGATTATGGCCTAGATCCCGGTGAATATGGCGAGGGTGCCGATGGAGAATGGGATGAAGGTGCTGAAGGTCTACCTTTCACCGATGAGGATGCCGCAAACTTGTTCCGCGATCTCCTCGATGACTATCGCATTACCCCCTTCACGCCTTGGGATAAGGTTATCGCCGATGATACTGAGGCGAGCATTCTCAACGATGATCGATATACTGTGCTACCTAACATGCGGGCTCGAAAGGAGGTATTTGATGCGTGGGCAAAAGACAAAGCCGCACAGCTGAAGCAGGAACGAGCGGCGATGGAGAAGCAAGACCCCAGGATCCCATATCTCGCCTTCCTGCATGATAAAGCGACGCCCAAGCTATACTGGCCCGAGTTCAAGCGCAAGTTCAAGCGCGAGGCGGAGATGAACGATCGCAAGCTCAGCGACAAGGATCGAGAGAAGCTGTACCGTGACCACATCAACAGATTGAAGCTTCCAGAAAGTACGCGCAAGGCGGATCTCCAGAATTTGCTGAAGAGTGTCCCTCTCAAGGCTCTCAACCGCGACACTAGGATGGAGCTTCTACCGCAGCAGCTTCTCTCCCATCTTCACTACATTAGTTTGCCGGAGACGACGCGAGATGCGAWCGTCAACTCTCATATCAAGAACTTACAGGCTGCACCTGAAGACGGCGATATGACCGATGAACAGCGAATTAAAGATGAAAGACGACGCGAGGAAAGAAGTCGCCGTGAAAAGGCTTTAGCGGATCGTCAACGTCAGGTTGACGAAGAACGGCGTCGCGCAGAGAAGGACGAAGCCAGAGCTAGAAGAGAGTTGCAAGGAGAGGAGCGCGAGTTGCAGAAAGCCATGGCAGTCTCCAACCGGGGTTTGAAAGCGCAACTTCTCGCAAGCAATGACGGCGATCAAATGGATACCGATAACTGAATAACGAGTTTCAACAGACTTGCGAGTCACCGACTTAGCGCCATTTCTCTTCACCCTCTTCCACTTCCAATCTCTGCGTCCCCTCATTAATCTCCACGGTTCTATGGCCACCACTGCTATTAGCAGGAGTGCCAGCAGCGGAGCCGTGGCTTCTTTCCATCTATCTCCTTCAATCACAGCTCTGATGCCTAGAATCGCAATCACCAGCATCCACAGTTCGCCCATAACATACAATCCCACTGCCTTCGCCATTAGATGTCTCCCACGTCTTTACAATACGGCCCGTGAGCCGTGGCGTGGCTTGCAAATAAGTCTCGACAGCCATGGAAGGATTTATTGGATCCATATCATCAAGCTGGCTTTCCGCAAGACAACTGGCCCGAAGTCTCGCGAAAGAAGAAGCATGGTACAGGAGCGGATTCGCAGAATTTCCACTGTCTTGTTTGCCCAGTCCAAGCCTTGGGATTTGGACACTGGTCGGCGGTAAATGAAGAGGAAAGCAGAGACATGTCTTTTGCGAATTCGCTGTTGGTGAGTTTGATCCTGCACGATGATGTTGGCGCGTTTGGAGATTGTTCATTTCTCTTGCCCATTGGGGTATCGACATTGTCTTTGCGTTGTGGGAGAGATGGCGCGTTTGTATGGGGTGAGTTTTCTACTTGGATCGTATATCGGCGTCTTGAGTTCAGACGTCTGGGCATGAAGATCATGGCTATATATATTCATCGAAGAATGATGCTTTGTGCGTTGAGTACTCCCGTGGAGTGGCCACGGCATGGTACGCTGGGAGCAGCTTTTGTCGATGCGTGCATGGTTCAACGACGCTTTGCCTGGAGTATCGTGGTTCCGATTGGGGTAGGGATGAGTAGTGAGCGAAGTGAATGGCATCTGAAGAAGTCTACATAGAGCAAACTATCCCACCCCCTTACAATGTGGTCATGGGTACACTACAACAAAAGGGTTGTGCTGTATCTAGCTCGCTCTCCTAAGCTTTTACATACCAGCGATCCTTGAAAGTCGGGAGCAGGGAACCTTACTACCCCAGAACAGTCATGACGAAGCGCATCATGAGTGTGATATAATACCACACTGGTAGGATGTACCGTCATCTCGTGTCGTCTCATTCCTCGTAGTGAAAGACTACCCCAACCCTAACCCTGATCGGACCACTTTACAGGCAAATTCGATAGAATCACAAAGCACACAGAGCATTCAAACACAATCGTCTTGATTGCAGTGCACTACATACAAATACAAGTAGACTCTCCCATTCAAATTCCATATGTCCTGTCATGACCATAAAAGCCCACCACTTTCCTCATGATGAGCTTATTGGTGGTAGTAATAATTCATCTGTCCTATACAATCTCGCCATACATTGATACAGGTGAGACGGACATGGCCTCGGCGGAACAGCATGTCCGCTTTTTGCCTTCATTCTTCTCRAATGCGACTCTCGCATCTCGCGCCTGCCGCGTGTTCCTGCTGCGGACAAGCAGATCAGATGCATACTCTGCTGCATAAGATGGCGAGACGTTCACCTCATCAAGATCCATGCTCTCGTCATCAAGCGACTCTTCCAACAGATATCGAACTTCTTCTTGAAGTTCTGAGCGTCTGTGACCATGGGAGATGGGTCGTCCGCGCTTCTTACTGCTCTTCTCGGTATGGTGATGAGGAACAGAAGTGGCGGCGGGGGCATGTTTGGCGGATCTGCTATGACGATGAGGTGTGTGAAGCACCTTATCACTGATGGAGAAGTCGTTGATCTCCGGGCTTTCAACCAGATCCATATCGTCGTCAACGATAATTGGCTTGAGAGAAGTTCCAACATTCATCTCCTCTCTCAAAAGCTTGAGGGGTGGTAGTCTTGCATTGCGACACGTCGCCTGGCGAGCCAAACAGGCTCGCTGGGGCGCCATTGACGAAGTTGTTGACACCGACGAGATGCTTGATGATCGGGATGACCTGTCAGAAACCATTGACTCGGGGCTCGAGCCATATGAGGTAACACTCATCATCGACGGTCTTCTGCTCAGCGGGTAGCGAGAGTCAATAGCAGGGTGCATCGGCTGGAAGTCCATGCTGCACCTGCTGGAGTTCATCTGATCCGCGTATACCATCGCCGAGGACATGGCCGGCATTCGACCACCCAAAACGCTCACTGCAGGAGTGTTTGATGCGATCGAAGACGGAGTCATGTTTGGCGTCGGAAGCGGACCCATCCTCACCAATGCTGGTGTAGGAGGTCCCAATTCTGGAGTAGGTTCCAGAAATCGGGGCAAGATGGTCGACGGTGTGGGTGTGTTCTCATTTGACGTCGATTCCATTGGTGCAAGACTGAACATGCTGCTATGTGGTGCTGGTGTTGCCGGCATGGCTGGCATTAGAGACGCGAAGCCACTGCAGGGCGAAAGCTTGATCGCGGAGTTGATCTTGTTTTCGATGGTCGGCATATTGTCGAGCTGTGGTGTTAACAACGGAACGATGCGCTTCCAGGTGGAGCTTCCCGACTCAACGCCCGCACAGAAAACGGTCGGAGGGTTAGGGGTGTACCGAAGCACAATGTCTTGCCATTTCTCGAAGAGAGGTTTAGGAAGATGCAGATTCCAGTCGATCTTGGCGAGGAAGCTCCGTTCGTTTTGGTTGATTTCGCAGACGCTAAGACCTGACATCTTGCTCCATGCCTTGGCAGAGTAGTTGCGGTCCTGCAAATACTTCGACGCCAAGATGAGAGCTGCAAGAAACATGCGGCGTCCACACATGAGAACACGAGCAGCAGGGCAGTCGATGCTCTGCTCCATCGTGAAGTCAGTTCTGGGCACATGTGGCCTGATCAGGATCAAGTAGTAGAGCGCGACTTGGAGCGTCGAGTAACTTGTCCTGGATCTTTTCAGAGTCTCCTCGATGTACTTGCGCATCGGAAGAACTCCGCGTTCACCACCTTCGCTCTGGCAGAAGATGCTCGACAAGGGCCAGATGACCTCTACCATTTGGGTCGCAGAGTCTTTACCAAATTCAACCTTAGCAATCATTCAACACCAGAAAACATCAGTCGCATGTGCTTACCGACAAGGTTGTCGACAAAGTTGATCTTGCGATCACGCTGCCGTACAAGTGGTGGAGGTTTTTGAGCCTTTGAGTTTGAGCATCTTCGAGGATGCTGACGCTGCGGTGCTGGAACCGAAGTGACAGCTGCGTAGGTCGGACATGGGACGTTGGGCTTTAGTATGTTGTCAAGCACCGAACGTTTTTCGCCTTGTACGCCTGCAATCTGGGTTTGGTATTGCAGCTGCGCCTGCGCACAAAGTGTGTCGCGTTCTCTGGCATCTTCCGTCCGCGCACATCGGAAGTCGTCTGAAATCGAACTTGCGATGGAGCTCTGCGCCGAGAGAGTGTCTGAGAAGACGGAGACTTGGGATGACGACGCGGAAGACGCAATAGATGGTTCATATGGCCCACATATCCCCAGGGAGAGGCCATATCCGTCTAGGTGCTCGACCGGGTTGAAGGTCATCATGGGTCTCAAGATGTGATAGATGTATCCAGTAGATTAAAGCCGTTTGAGTTGTTGGTATCCAGTACGCCTTTCGGTGTTGAAAGACGTGAGTAATTAAAGACTTCACAAAGACATGTGTCGATGGAAGAAGAGGTATGTTGGTATGATGGTGTGTTGTTGTTCTGACTCCTTCCTAGTCAACGATCCAGTCAACGCTGATCACAGGCTACTTCAAATTGTGCTTGACGTCTCTTCCGTGCTTGTGTCCCGGTGTTGCTTTCGTTTCGGGTAATCGCGAAGCTCGAAAGGCTAGTTGTCGTTGTTCGTACAGCGGTATTCACCACTGGGAGACCTCGACGACGGTTTCGGTAGACTTGGTGGTGGCTGGACTGCTGACTGGAAGCTCGTTCTTGGGGATGGAAGGGCTCATGGTGACTTTTGGGAACGTGAAATGGGTAGTGAAGCGGTCGCTGGTTGCTTTGTTGTGCTCTCGTCGTTGCGTCGTTCGGAGCTGGAGGTCCGTGGAGGTAAAGTGAGTCGAACGATAGCAAGGAGCAGGGAAGTAGAAGWAGATGAAGAAGTGTCAAGGTGGGATATGAGTCGAGATGTGGCTCAGGATTGTCCGATGCTTTGGGCAGGCGGTGGCGTATCCGTCCTCGCCCAGTAGTCGAGAGGAAGTGTTTGGGCCAGTGTAGACCGTGGGTGTGCAATGTGAGATTAAAAGGTAAGTGTCATAAGGAAGGATGAGTGGTTATTGASTGGCGAGATGGCGAGAGGCGAACGACTAGAGTCAGGCTATGACTGGGTGTCCAGCACAAAGCAGGCTGCCGTCTGGGGTGTTGCTCRGGAGGCGAAGGAAATGCCGCGCTCGTTCACTCGCGCTTGCCGTTGCTGGTTGCAGATGATAATGAGGTAACAAGACAAGGCAGTTACTCCTTCGACATCGTCGCTGCCTCGCGAACAATAGGGGACATGATGATGGTGGGTTGCATACTGCCTGGAAGGAATAATTATAATGTGAGAGGAGGGGGACCTTCCACGCTCGCTCACAGCGCAGGTGGCCGGCATGACTCAACCCTCGAAGCTCGAAGCGGTATCGTAGCGGTTACAGCCGGGCGCCTTCGCCTTGTGAGAAACATCGCCACAATTTCACGAATCCGATTCGCCTCTTTGTGAACTGCGCCAGGCAGATGCGTTCTCAGGCGTTACCCTACCTCCTAGTTCTGCATTCGACACTTGTTCTGTCGTCATTTTTCATGCTTTGCTCTGGCCAAGGACTAGAGCCACCTTGTGTGCTGCGCGTTGTATGGCGGCTTCTGATGTTGAATGTGCCGCACGTTGCCTGCATATACACTACCACGTCCTTTCGACTGCAATCGGCCGCATGCGGACAGTAATAGAGAGCGAGCCACGATTTGCCACACTTTGCGATTTCTGCTACGTTCTTTGACCAGAAGTAGATGAGTTGTTCATTTCATTGCTGCGACGTGTTACGCGACGTCCAGGTCATCTTGCGACGCAGAATCTTTTTGACTTCCTTGAAGCCCCAGCCTCTGCCGCGCCATGCTGAGATAAATAAAGGCTGCGGACGGAGGTGTTGTTGTTCCCTGCAAGCTTGAGAGCCCGCTTACCTACCTTACCTTGCTTGTTAGAACTCACTTACCTACCTTGACTTCGAGAAACAACGYATGCAGCCACCCTGGGAGGTGCATTTGGCCCCGCACAATCGCCATGCAAACTTGCACGCAGCTGGAGATGTTTCCGCATCGCCTCAAAGGCGGTAAGGTACGTATCGGAAAAACAGAGCCCATTGCCAAGTCCGACCGCTCTGCAGTGTCTGCACGAGCGGAGTGCACACGCGGAGTGGCAAGAATCAGCGTTGTCGGCCTTGATGACACTTTTCCCTCCGTTAGCTCTCCCTCGAGAACACGAAGTTTTCTCATGACGGCAATTTTGCAGACCGTCAAAATGACTCCCATCACCCATGGCGAGACAATCCAAAAGAGGAAGTGCTACGCCGGAGCTTGAAGGAGCTGTGTAGCCTTGTATGAGACAAGGTCAGGTGTTGACGCTGAAATTTTCTCGACCGCCAGTTGTGCATTTGCCTTGCACAACCCACGAATGTCAGCCGACTGCCCAGCATTACCATTCGCCTCTAGCAGGAACCCGGCGCTTGAGCGACGTCAAACCCTCCTAGGAGTGACGAGCGAAACGTGACCTTGTCAGCGTCACAGCTGCGCTGGACGTGTCGTGAAAATCGTCTTAATTCTTGTATGTAAGAAGAGAGCATCTATCGTATTAAAGTGAATGTCGATTTTCGCGACCAAGACAGGGGCGCAATAAATAACATGATCGCTCACAAGAAAAGCTAGGTATATGCAATGCGAAGCAGCCAGAAGTTGCAAGCGTCCCGTCTTATTAGCCAGACAATAAACAGGGCGAAAGGGAGCAGTTCCAACGTCCATGACGCCGGACTACTCGCGGTTCTGCAGAAACGGGCACTCAAACGCTGACATATTGCTCATCTCCTCATGCGCAAGCCTCGTCTCTTCACTGTGAGGACCAGACGCTAAAGCATGATCAACAGGCAGAACCTCATGTCTAGCAGAATGAATCACTTCAGCAGGCTTATCAAGGTGCTCATCGACAACATCGTACACGCCACTCGCCTTTGACGCATCGTTGACTTCGCCTCGCCCAGCTGAAAGTGAGACCTCCTCGACATTTCCGATGACCGGTGATGAGAGATTAGATCGTTGCGCATCGGCGATTGACTGTCCTGTCTGTTCAAAGAGGATGTGATCAGACATGCTGGCTGGGACAGGAGCAGCAGCAACTGGCTGTATCACTTCTGGCGCATTCGACTTGGGCTCTTGGATCTGGACCTCCGCTGTGTAGGTTGTGGCCACTTCCACGATGGCGCAGGCTTCCGACTGCGAGGTTTGGTCTGGATGTCCCGAGTGGCCGGATGTCGCAGCACTGCCAGGCGTGGCAGGAACAGTGTCAACACCCTCCGTCTTAGACGAACTGGAATCGATCACCGATACGGTTGTACTACGGTCGAATATGGGACAGGAGAGCGGCTCTGTGCGTGACTCGGTGGAAGCGGGCATCTGTGCCGGTACTTCCCCTGGCRCTTCGGCCTCATTGTTGTGTTCAGGCGCCACTTGCTCATCGTTGTCGTCGAGCGCGGCTTCCAGATCCACCTTGCGATTTATAGCATCTTTTCTGACAACTCCTTGCGGTGCAATTTGGCGGAACATCTCTAGCGGATCCATCCATGTCTGGAGAGCTTGCAGCCGAATCTTCTCGTCGACATCCGCGACTGTGACGCCTTGAATGTCAATCAGGCCGCCATGAGCCTTGGCCGTGACCTTTTCTCCCTTGCTGTAGAACGTCAGCACATCGATCGACGATGCTGTACGACGTTGCGATGGGCGCGGGTGCCACCTACTTATTGAAGCCAATGTAATCGTTCTTCATGACACCCCAGTGGCGCCAGCGGAAAGAGACTCGAGGTGGACCGCTGTAGACTTCCAAAACCTCCCACGCAAAGGTAGGCATCATCCGCTTAAACGTCTTATGGCTGGAGTTGAAGTCTGAGTTCTCTGGGCTGTAGTACTCGTTCGGCGCGATGATTCCGTTATAGGTGCCCACCTGTCGTGAAACTCAGTCAGTATGTCCCGATGTAGAGGATATACTCGATGAAACACCGACTTTGATCATGTGCTCGGCAGTTCTGGAGATGTGTAAGCTAGCGATGCTTCAGATGAATGGGGAGCGATACGCACTGAGCCGGGCCTCCTCCCATTGCGAAGGAGTAGTTTGCATGGTCGATAGTCCGCCAATCTGATAGTCTGGGTTTGAAAGAGGCTTCCACTTCCCAGTTCTTCACAAGGTTCTCGACCAATTGTGGTAAGCTGCCCGCAGTGTGGTTCATCGTCTTGCCTGCACGCCACTGTTAGCTGGACTGAGTAGTCAAGCCAGGCATCATTCAAAGTAGAGGAACATGACTCTGAATATTTCTGGATCGGCATGCAGAGCAGGTAGTCGCAACGTTTGATCTATCAGGAAGAAAATGCTTCGTTGCGGTCTCAGCTCCATTTAGTGCGACGTGCAAATCGAGCATRGTGATTCGTAGTACCGTGAAGGTAGTGTCACGGTCGGCTGTAAGGATGGCACAGAATGGATCGAACGGGCTCTGAAGAATTGAAAAATTGTTGCTCACCCTCGGCCCAGACTTTGCGAGTCTTTGAGTAGTCCGGAGGTCGACCGTAACGCCACTGAACTCCTTCATCGTTGAAGACAGCATTTGGAGATGTGAGATAGTCTGGAATAGCAGGAGTCGGCTCAGCAATCTCAGGTTCGACTGATGTAGCTTCAAGCTCTTCGGTGGTCATGGTCGGGAGGAKTCGGCTGTGCGTGCAGGTATCTTGCAGGTGTTGGAAGTCCTAAAGTCGGGGGAGATTGAGGCAGAGTAGGGAAAAGGGCGCGAAAGAACAATCGAGAGAAGGTGACGGGTGAGGCTTTGTATGCCATTATTGACCACATCTAGCGAGCCTCGCGCATGCTGGGCACTTGGTCCACCCCCACGGAGCTAACGCGATACCATCGAGAAACAGGTTCCGTTGAATGATTCACTTTCACTGTTCTTTGGCTGCTCGCAGCTTTCAGCCCTGTAGATATCGTGTGCTACTCGAACGAGCGCAACCACATTCAGTGGACGTCCAGCACACCATGTCTGCTGGCGATCCTGAGTCCAGGCCCACGTCGACACGATTGCAAGCCACATGGCAAGTTTGACGAAATCCGACTGGGTATGTTTGAGTATCAAATCGATCCAACACTTACACCGTAGCGAGTCGAAGCATCTTCAGCCACCTTCAATAAGTAATCCCCTCCTTTTGGGTCCAATTTTTTGCGAAGCAGCTATACATTCCTGAGATTCGATGAGGGCGTATTCGGGCATGGCATAATCGGCAACGCAGAGGATTATTGTTCAGGCTCAAATCTTGTCATGCGGCAAAGTCGATTCAGCCGTGGAGATGTGGGCGTGTTCTTTGGTGTCACAAGCCAGAGCATTTCTGGAGGCGTGCTTCCAAGCGTACCGCACGCAGCTGGCGCATGGGCGAGCGATTGTGGCTTTTGACGTTGTTTCATTGAAACCGGGTTTGTGCTCCCAGAAACCATGTCAGATCGTGGAATCCACATGTTGCCCTGCCRCATGCGCCTCACGTCTGATGGATCTCATGTCGGAACATTATTCCAAATCAAGGTTGATCAACATTACGGCGCTGATATTGCGACGCTGTGGAGGGGCCGTTCGAGAAGCCATCTCCATTGCGTCGACCCAATCACTGGCTCTCAAGAGAATCGGGTGTTGTAGTCTCGTTCTCGGAACAGTGTCTGTTGAACTCGAGCGTTTCCAAAGCTGGGAATTGCCACGCTGTCAGCGTTGCGCGAGGATGCAAGATATTCTACGGGTGTCCTATGGTCCATTCGTCGCGAATCGACACAGATGTGCTACGCAGCAACCACGGTACTTCTGGAGGGACAAGGCCCAAAGGGAGGGTAAGCGCGTGCGTGAGCGACTGCAATCGGAGCCCTATATCGGGACGAAAACTGGCCCAGAACACAGTTAGCCGGTCGATGCCAACTCAGCCGGAGAGGAATCGCGTAAGACGTTGCACACCTTGAGACATCGACCCAGAAGACGGTGGTCTGGCCTCGTGAGTGACATTGCACAGCAGGTTGACAGCTGTCAGAAGACGTCAAATTCTTTCCAGAGAGAAGCTTCCACGAGCGCGTAAAAGAGGAATAACACGTCTGTTGTTACAAGACTAACAGTACACCAGGACAGCCTTTGATTCTCGAAGTATCTTGTGATCGCGGCTTGATCGGACCACGAGGGGATGACGTTCGTAGAATGCGACGACACAAGAAGAGCCTGAACAGTGCCGTCAGGTCYGATCAGTCCAGACTCGTAGTGTGGTTACTGCGAATGGTCTAGTGAGCGCTTGACAAGGTGCAGCCTTTCGCTGACAAAAGATGAAGCCGTGTGGCAACAGCGAGATTCGCGACTGAGAATGTGTTCTGTCTTCCCAATATGCAGCGTGACCTAGCTTCACTTCGCAATTTGGTACCCGAAAAACGTCATGCGACGCAGATGTGTTCAGTCCTTCACAGATAACCTTGGTCCAATCAGCGCAATGTTCTCCGGCTGGTCATTTGGGGCCTCGTCTTGCATTCTGTGCACCAGAGGCTTAGGGAATCGTTCGATCAACGACGTCGCAAGTCTTATTCAGGCGTCATACGCCGGTCGAACGCGCGGTCTCGCCCGTCTTTGGAACAGCCCGCGTTCGTCCTAGCCATCTCCATCGCTCCCTGCCGTGCCAACTTGAGGTAGAGAGATGCTCATAAATCTTGTAGAGCATTCTCGAGGTCGGTACAGCGTGCTTCTGCACTTTGCATGCATTCGATCATAGCGTCTTTACTGACGAAGCGCCCGCCATTCTTCTCTATTCTGACCACGTTTTTTTCGCCGTTTGTGTTGGGTACAAGAACAATAGTCACAGTTTCGTCACATACGTCTTCCTCTGAGGAATCTGGGTCAGCGATGATCCAACTTCTGGCATCTTCCCTCCTCTTCAACGGCGAAGCTGTTGTGAAGACTCCAAATGTAGCGGCAAGAGGCAGCCGGGGCAGGCTCAGCCGGTGGCTTTCAGAAGTGAGAGGAGAGCACAGGATGGCCTCTCGATCGGCATCCCACCATGCATGTGGAAGCACAGTGTCCCGCAGTGCTGCTACAACCGCCAGCCACGCAGCATCAAATGCATTTCCATCGAGAGAGAGGCAGAGGATATCGACGTATAGCGTCCAGTAAGCCTTGGTGACGACCTTCKGCTCCTCATCCGCAATATCGTCGTCGGTCTTTGGCTCCGTGTACTTGATGCGTAAGTCCGTGGAGTCGATTGCGCTGGTACTGTGAAGTAGAGACAGTACGCGGTAGGAGAGTGCTTGCGCAAGTGAGCTTGGTGGATTTCCAGGCAGATGAGCCGGGGAACACCCCGTGCTTAGCTCCACATTCGGCACGACCAGGCCGAGCTCTTCTACCAGGGCACTTTCGTTGGTATTCTCGGAAGGTGGATGGGGTATTTCGGACGCAAGCAAGATTTCGCCACGAACACCGCAAACGACTGCGGTATCTCCAACACGCACCACTGCACTACCATTGCTGTGCGTCAGAGAGCCTGTGTTTATGGTAGGTTTGCGATGTTCTCCAGGATGGCGTCCACTGGGCCGGCTTGGAGGCTGCTGCTTCAGGTGGGCGAGCAGAAATGGGCGAGGAGTCAATTTTGCAAACGTGTCCCACGGAAACGACAGGCTTGGTACGGCATCCATGACGGAGCGCTTTTCTGAAATGAAGCGCTTGGCTGGAAGGTCCACCACAGCAAGGTATTTGTTGATCAAAGGTTCAGGAAGTGAAGTTTGGGGTTCATCGCCAAACGATTTCAAACTTCTAGCGCGCGGCGCTACCCGCCGTAACAATTTGCAGCGCGTCCGACACAGAAACAGGGACAGCAAACTTTGCCACTAGGATGAGGAGCATTTCAAGTTGGAAAGACGAAGCAGAGGCGACCACGATTGAGTAGTGCTAGGTTCCTAAGAAATACGAGCAGGCCATCTTCCCCCAACAAGCATAAATAAAAGGGTATGCACTCGAACACAAACTCCACGCTAAAGAGCAGGACATCGCCCTAGCACTATGCATATCAAAACTGTCCCCAAGGTTGCTGCTGCGGCTGATTCACCTGGCCCGGTCTTGGAAAGACAGGCACTGTCTGCACTTGCTCCGTCTGCAGACCTCCCAAAGTTCCTTGCGGGGCATTCTGCCATCCACTTCCCGTTGCCGAATTGACAAACGTTGACTGTCTGAAAGGATTTGTGCTGCCTGTGGGCTGTACTTGGAGTGCGTTTGCGGGCGAAATCGGGGGTGTTGGTTGTTGCAATGGCGTGTTGATCCGTGTAAATGGGTTCGTGCCTGTTGTCTGAGCTTTTAGTGGTTGAACTTGTGATGTCTGATATGGCTGAGGCGGAGGCGATGGACCGTTTTCGGGTATAGCAGGGGGAACAGCGATTCGGGCGAATGGGTTGGTGGCCTGTCGCTCCGGCTGCTGCTGCTGCTGCCCAAAGGCACCAGCCAAAGCTGCGCCTCCCCCTGTAGTCATCATGGACTGCCGGAACGGGTTCGTCGTTTGCGGCTGCATTTGGCCGGTCGGCTGAGCTTGTACAGGACTTGAAAAGGGTAGCTGCTGATTCTGAGCGAATGCATTTCCTGTTACCAGAGACTGTTGTTGCTGGGTGGGCTGTGGCCCATATCCACCAAAGCCAGCTCCGGTGAATTGTGTCTGTAGCGGTTGCGGCTGGGCCTGCTGCTGCAACTGTTGATAAGGATTGCTGCCAGTGACATCTCCCCCAAAACCGTTTGATGTCGCTTGTTGCTGAAGAGGCTGCTGATAGCTCACATTTCCCTGAGGTGGTTGGCCAAAGCCTGCAATTGGCTGCTGCTGCTGCTGCTGCTGCTGTTGTTGCAAGAAAGGGTTTGTCTGCATTGTGGACTGGTTCTGCTCGATGGAAGAGAAGAAGTCAATCAGGTCGGGGGCAGGACCTTTGGCCGGTGGAGCTGAGGGCGCATTTCCAGAAGGGGTTGCTTTAACTACAGCTGCTCCCGAAGATTTCGATGCTGCTGCTTTGGCGAAGGGCTTGCCGCCCTTAGTCGCATCCTGTTCCGCGAGGTATTGCCTTCGATTGATTTCGAAGTCCTTGTCGTCTAGATATTCTTGAAGCGAAGCGGCCAGACTAGTTGGTGCATGCTTGAGCTTGGGAATCTCTAGCCTCGTGGCATATTCGTATTGCCGTGCAACGCTCAGGTATTGTACAACCTGCTCAGTCTGCTTGCAAAACACCTTGTAGATCTTAATCGCTCGCTCGGCGTCCGGTCTGGACATTTCGAAATAGCGACTCAGGACATTCATCACGGCTTCGTTCTCGACATTGTATAGGTCCAGCAGGTCCCGCGTGAGCAGCCGGAAAGCAGTCAGGGAGATCTCGTTCTCCGTCTCGTGGTTGAGCAAATCGCACTTTACAAGTGCCTTTATCTGGTCTTGGACCACCTCCGTCTCCCTCAGGAGGCCCTTGTCCACGGATAGCCGCTTCATGCGCCCTTCCCCAGCCCGTACATGGTCAMACTTTGCCTTCTCATATGCCATTGCTCTTGAAAGCAGATACTCCGAGTAGACTCTTATGTTCTGACCTTGCGTCTGCACGTCGGTGAAGCTGTTGATCGCAAGCCGGTTTCGCGGCGCAACAGCCAGATATCGTAATGTCGCATCTTGCGCACCCTCCTTGATCATTAAATGCACGATGATGAGCGCCTTGAACGCTACCGTCCAGGTGGAGTCGCGAAGCCGGTGGGTGAGAGTGCGGAAGACTTCGGCCACTCCAGCATCTCCAGATTGGGTCGCAATGAGGATGTGCTCGACATATTTGGATTTGGGGGGCGCAAGCTTTACTTTGGTTCCTCCCTTCACGGAGCTTTCGAAGTCGTTCCGGGCTCTAGGCATGTTCAAGGGCGTGCGTTGGTTTGATCGACGGCGCGTGCTATCTACAGCACATGGTGCGAGGCCGCTTCGATGGAAGAATAGGCGGAATGATCCTCTTGTTTGGGCAGTCGAGACGACAGGCGGCGTCTTTCGGGAATCGTAGCTGTGGCTGGCAGAGTGACGTTGGTCCTCAAGTGCCGTTGTCCGCTGTCTAGCGCAGAATGTCACAACATCCCTGGCGGTATGAAACATGTTGAATTCTGGACTGGCCCTTCAATGTGCTGCTACATTACACGCAAGGCCGCCTACTACATGACCTCGGAATGCTCTCACACACCTTGCAGCTACTGAGTCGGGGAGTTTCGATTACTCCTTGTGTCTCCAAACGAAGCATACAGCAATCTCTCAATTCTTCGGACCGACAATAAGCAGTAGGCCATCTTGATCCTAGAACCTGGACCACTCCGTCAGCCCATTTACAAACAAGACATCATCAGCCTGGCCGTTGGTCTGCTCGATGTAAACTTGCGTTTCACATGTACGCTGGCCTGGTAGTGTGAACACGAGGTTGCTCTACGTTCCTCCTGCAATGCGAATGCCGAAGCTATGTCGTCACTATGAGATAAGTGAACGAAGCTCGGCAATGATGGAGCTGCGTGCGGGCCTCGTCTGTCTGCTTGCTTGGTTGCTGTTTAGCCCGTCTGCTTGACCACAAACAGCTTCTGATACTGCTGACCATTACGACAACTTTCGGACTTGAACGGACACGACCGGTAGTTGCCACTCGCAAAGGTAATGATTTTCTCAGTTGACCAAGAATGGACATGCTGACCCAATGGCCGACCAGAAAGCAGCTTCTATACCTCAAATACCCACGAGCTTGTCACTACCAGTCACCTGAACTCCAGCAGAATGGTTCTACCATTATACAGAGCCATTGCTCGGCAATCTCCACGACAATTTCTTCGCTCCCATGCGCCTTCAAGACCTCTCAGCTACTCAAAGCCGCTTGCTTTGAGGGAGGAGAAGTTGCAAAGCCCGCAGGAAATCGAAAAGGCCAAGCAGGAGCAGCTCAAGGATGGGAAGAAGAAGCAAGATCTTGAGTCGTCCAGCGAGACTGTCGTAAAGGCAGAGCGCGAGGAGGTGTCGGACCACGACTCTCACATGGAGAAGTTACAAAAGGAGACTGCCCAACAGAAGGAGAAGGAGCACCCTCAGGGCAAGGCTTGATCAAGCTGTCCGAGCAGTTGGCGTGGAAGCAATTCGGCATTGATGAGGCATCGATGATCGACTGTATATGCCGGTTCGTCGGCCATTGAGCTATAATGCGAGATCAAGGAGTGAGGTGTAGGACTAATATAAGTCGGAAACTTCTTTCATTGCTTGTTTCATTGTCGACGACTACCTACCTCACCTGGTGGTATCGCGCAGATGCTCTCCGGGCTCGAGCTGTTTCAAATTGTTTTGTAAGCCAAATTTGGATGGGACGACGCGAACGCGATCCCCACGCGACTTGCCAGCTCCATCCATCCATCCATCCATCAACGTCAACATGGAATTGATWCCACTCGAGGTCTGCGATGTTTCGATTGGTGAGGCTTGGAAACGCGGCAGGCGTACATTCACGTCAGCCATTCATGCCAGTGCGAATGTTCTCATCTGTCGAGACGTTGAAAATCCCTTGTAGAAGCAAAGGGTTTGTAACGATCGAGTATGTACCTCATAGTAACAGCAAGCCAGGAGTAAGTGCTGATTGGAATAGCATTCATCATCCCGTCGCAGCGCCGTCAGCGAGTCCTTCGGTGGCTATATTCTTGCCAAGAGGACCAATCATTCACAGCGAAGCAGACGACGCCTCGAACATTGCGATACTGAAATCAACACTCTCTTGTCACATTGTCAAGATCAACTATCGATGGGGRGCGGATCATCTCTTCCCATCGCCAATTCATGACGTCCTTACTGCCTTCGACTGGGTCAGTGAGAATCTTCTCCCCAAGCGAGCCATCATACGAGCAGGCCGAGCGGAACGTGCAGGCCGAATCGGTGTTTGTGGCGAGCTAATTGGCGGCCAATTGGCCACCGCGCTGGCCCTGAGTGAGTGTCAGATTGGCAAGGCTGGGGTTGTAGCTGCTATGGTCAGTTCTCCTATAACCGACTGGACGGAATTTGAAGACTTGGAAGACTCTGGCAATCCGAATACAACCTTGACCAAGCAAGTATTGCTGAAACAAAGAAAGGCACTGTTCCGCAAAAATGAGCACTGGTTTGACGTCTTCGCATCACCAGCGCTACTCTTCCGATCTGCAGGCGTAGAAGTCCCGACGACCTTCTTGGACCGGCCTTTTGATGAAATGAGCGAGCTTGCACAACTGGACCGCGAGGATTTCTTCCAGGAGCAGCTTTCTCTCAGCAGTGCGTCCTCTTTTGCAGACTACACTCTTCCTCCAGCGGAGCAAGAAGAGCGTGTCAGGAAGCGCAAAGCATCACGAAGGTTCCCAAGCAGAGCTTTGGGCCTTCGCTTACCGTCCTTCCGCATCACCACCGGAGAGGAGTCGCCCTTGACTGGTCAAGCCATGGAGCTTGCACATTTTTTGAGGCAAAGCCTCGACAGAGTGAGCAACGCTGGTAGCCATGGCCACGATGCGGTTGTAAATCAACCAGTACAATATGTGGAGAAGCCTGGCACGGGTCTCTGGGATCGCTCAAACGCTGGTAGAGCAAGCATGCTCGATTCTGCCAACTGGCTCGCACATTCGCTTTCTCGCTGAAGTCCCAAGCGAGACCAAACCTCTGTTTTCAAACGCCGTGCATTCGCGAGTCCAAGACGTTGCACATGCATCACCTATAGCGTGCCTGATATGTGCTTCTCTCCGCCTAAGCATCCACCTGGTCCCTGATTCTGCGGAGCAGCGGCTGGCTTTCACCATCCTCGCCATCAGGCTTCTGGTACGGCAAGAAGCGATATTCACCTTTTGCGACTTTCGACACTCGCCACGTCCCTTTCTCTTTCGCCTCCTCAAAGAACTTTTGATTCTCCTCAAAGGTGCGACCTCCGGTTTCGGGACAGTATCTAACGATTCAATTAGCCTATCTGCAATGGCAAGAATGGGAGGAGAGCTAGAGCGATGCAAGCGTCACTCTTCTGGAAATCTCACAAGAAAGTCCAAACAGCCGCGATGGCATTAGTGCCGGCCAATACCAGGAACACCCAGTACTTGATATTGTTGAAAAGAAGAGGCGTCACCAGAGTAACGGTAAAGTTGGCAAGACCCCAAGTGATGACAGACACGGCAGTTCCTTGAGCACGAGCAGTTTGCGGGTAAATTTCCGTCGGGATAAGCCACGGAGGAACCAGCCAACCAATTCCGAAAGCTGCCGTGGAGATGAAGAGCATGACGATGCCGGGAATAGCTACGGAATTGACAGAAATCCCGAGCTCTTCGTTGTTGAATGCAAGGCCTCCGAAGACGGTGAGCAGCACAAAACTGAGAGTCAAGACTCCACTACCGCTGAGGAGGATTGCTCGCCGTCCCACGGCATCGATCAGGAGCCAGGCGAATGTCATCAGAATGAAGTATGAGACGTAATTTGCCTGCGTCAGGTATTCTGATAGACGGGTCTGTGTTGCGATGCGTTAGTAAACCAACGTTTCAACTGCAGCGCCTTAGAATGCTCACCCCATATCCCAACAATTCAAAGATCTGTGGCCCATAAACACTGATGGCTCCGTATCCGGTCAGTGCCTGGTTGACTTGTCCCATCACAGTAAGCATGGTAGGATGGAACTGAGCGTGCGATGGCGTGAACATGTCCCTGAATTCAGTCGTTAGCTTTGGTCACCGCTGCGACATTAGAGCCAAGCTCGCTCGTGGAACTCACTTGTAGCCAACATTCTCGTCGGTCTCTTCTTCGAAGACCTTTTTTAGCTCGTCGTGCTTCTGTTTTCCTTCCTCGTCTCCCAGGATTGAGGCTAGAGAGGCTTTTGCTTTGTCTTCTTTGCCGTGCGAGAGATACCAGTGGGGGCTCTCTGGGAGTTCTGAGATAAATGCGAGAAGACCGAGAGGGTATCTAGAGTAATTGTTAGCATACACTGATACCAGTGCAAAGTAGAAGCCGGCATCTAGAGACACAATCTTATGCTCTTCCGTCTGAACAAACATACACCTGCATAGTGATGATTGGAATCCTCCACGCCCACTCATTCCAGACGCCCAATTGAACCGTGACTGCCAGATTGATGGCGAATGCCCTGCAGATATGGTCAATTCTGTCTTTCCCTTTGCAGTTTCGTGGCCTGTCCTCACATGTTAAGACCAAAGATGTTAGCTTGGAACTCCTGCGCCAATGCCTTGCCTGTGAGGAGGAGTTAGTATCCGAAACAACCTTCACCACCATTGGCGAGTTCTGACCTCTGGAATCGTCACTGCTGAGCTCAGAAGAGTAAACAGGCACAACAGAGTCAACACCACCGACTCCTAGACCCATTATGACTCGTCCGAGATACATGACAGCCAAAGCACCTCGACTGAAACCCAAGCCAGCGACGAACATGACCAGGTTTCCTAGAGATGCGGTTGCCAGACAAGCGAATACTTTAGTCGAGAACACCAGATCAGCAAAGCCCTTATAATTGTAAAACAATGATATGAGCTTACAAGCAGGCTTGCGGCCATATTTATCTGCGAACCTGATCGTTCAAAGTGACATCAGCATCGAGTTCCGAAATGGTCGTTAGGACAGTGCCTACCAGGAGAAGAATACAGCTCCTACGGAGCATCCGAGATAGTACACAGCAACGATAAACCCAACTTGTGGACTTTCTTCGGAAATGCCCATGGTTTGCAAGTAGTCCTTGTTGGTATTGATGAGGGACATCATTCCTTTTGCAATGATGAGCATCGAATGTTCAGGAATTTCCGAATCTTTGGAGTCCAGCAGTACTGACCTTGATCGTATCCTAGCAGATCCAGGTTAGTATAATGCGAGTATAAAGAGTATCATTCGAGGTACTCACCATAGAGGGCGATTGCAGTCGAGGAAAATGCTACAACCTATGCCAGCCATAAGTACAAAACTTCCACTGACCCTGCCGTTCTAGAAGCCATCAAACTCCTCACTCCATACCTGACTCTTTTTATTGCTGAAAAATCGTTTGACGGACTCCATCTTGGTGGCGTTTCTCGGCCGTCTGCCGATCCCAAGTAGCCGAAGTGGCGAGAACGAACGTAGGGACTGAACGTCGGAGAGTATCTATTACCAACGGAAGTGATACATTGATCGTAGCATGAGAGCAAACTGAGAGAAGAAAGGTTGAGACAAAAGGTGCAGTATATTTTGATGGAGAGCTTTGGAAAGCATAAAATGCACTTACCATAAATGACGCACGCCCGCATGCGGTACCGACATTTGGGTGGGTGTGTGTGGGAGGAGCTCCGCCGATGGATGAGCAGAGTCCGTGTTTGCCTGCCAGGTACGATATCAAGTTTAATAGAGAGGTGTCGGCAAGATGGAGCTACTTGGCAGCAAGCATTTGCCTGCTTGCTTGTCCCCAGGTTTTTATACCGATTGCCTGGGACACCTGCTCGAGGTTTGGACTTGGCAGCCTTCGCTTAAGAGTTCTGAGAGAGTGGACTGCTCTGGTCCCTGAATACAAATAAAACTCAGGAGTGGAGTCCGACAGGAGAGGGGAATAATATGCTTTTGCATCCGAAAGATGTCGGCAGCATGCTGTACAACGCTAAATCCCGCAAACGCCATCGCTTTGCTCAACCCTTCAACCTCCAAATCATTCAAAATAGTCCCATGTCGCTTCTGATGAGTGGGGGAAGCAGGCTATCAGATCCGACGATCATCTCATCGACCCTCCCTAGGTCGTTGAACTATGTACTCTTGTCCATAGTTTTGAGTCGCTCGACCTGATTTTGCCGCCACTGCTTCATTCTGTCCGATTGTACAATCCCAGCGACCGTAGGTCCCAGCGGCTTCTCCATTGGCTCGTCTATGGGAGCTGGAGTCTCGATTGTGTTCCAGCTTCCTCGAGAACGATTCCTGCCATTGGTGTGCCCCCCTTCTCCCCACATGGATAGTCTTTGCACTTTACGCAGTTTCCTTAGACCATAGACGCATGCAATGACCGCCAAGATGGTAGAGGCAACCGAAATACCGAAGAAGCCGTAGTGTGTCTCCTCGATGAAGTTCTCCAAGTTCATTCCGTAGAGCGCAGCGATGAACATACCAGCGCTTATGCCCAGCGTGCCAATGCTGAATTTGAGATCAAGCAACATGAGACTGTTCCTATTGGCGTCCAGAATGGCTCGCACAATCTCTTCCGTGTTACGAATCGCACTGACGACGTTGGAGGAGCTCTGCACAATTTCATCGGCGACCTTGTGGTAGGATTCCAACAGAAGCTCAACTTCCTCGTGATTGTCGTCCTCACGTTCCGTGCCCTCAGCTTTCTCGGTGAGATACATGGCGGCCAAATCGTCGTCGGCCTCGAGCAGATCATCAATGGCATCTCGCACAAGCCGGGCTTTCTGTTCAAACGTGCCCAGCTTCTTGGAGTAAATCAAGAGGTGCCGCAGCCTGTCACGATCAATGTCCTCTTCCAGCTCCCGCAGTACGCGAACAACGGGCTCACGCACGCCTTCGAACTCGCTTTCTAGACCACCGGTAACGCTGATCAGAACCGCTTCCAGCGCGCGGAACTCATATGGCAGATGTCCAGCGGTCGCGGAACCTTGCCGTTGGCGCAGCTTCCCTTCCAAATCGTACATGAACAAGCTTTGCGCATAAGAGTCTGTGGAGCCGTACGCATCGAAGACCAAGACGCGGTTGTGCTTGATCAGACATCGCAAATGGAGGAGGTTGATCAATATCGCGGATGGCCGGACCAGGATGTGAGGAAGTACACTACTATCGATCTTCCGCAGGTCCCGTGGCAGGAGCGAATATTTGGCGATCAGCTCGCTCTTGCGGAATTCCCCATTGACTAGAGTGACGTTCCCGTTCTCGTCGAACTCGGTGCAACGCAGCTTGAGGGAATTGTTCGGCTTGACAATCTTGCCCAGACCCACGCTATCGTCAAGGAAGCCCGGGAGGGGAGGTAGGTCGTCGGGTCGCAAGTTTTTGGGTGGACTGCGCGTGGGCCGCAGTTTACGCCAGAAACCCTCGCGCAGTCGCGAGGAGGAAGCGAAGGTGCGGGCGTGAATGTGTGTGGATGTGGGATTTCTATCGTGGTTCGTGCATCGTAGAGATGGTATTCGCGGGACGGTCGAGGTTGTGATGGCGCGAGACTGCCATGCTGGCTGAAGCCGCTGTCTTAGAGCGCAGGGTGATGAGCTCACCTGCGTTGAAGCATCGAGTTGAGTGCGTAGGAAACGGAGGAGCGATTTCGAGGGCACAGGCGGGCCATGGTATGTTTTCATGGCTCGGAGAGAGAGTAGAACATGATGCTGGCCAAAGAATGGCTAAAACAAGTGAAGGAGAAGAAGCTCAACTTCGATGACATCAAACTTTCCTTTCCACAACGCAATGTTCCGATGTGGAGCTTCCATCTCACCTCGCACCTCACCTCTTCACCCACCTTTCTCGCTGCCCTCATTTATCATTGGGCACGCACAGTGTCCATGTCAGGCGAAACTGGCTCGTAGCGGTTGCGAATACCGATCATGGGTCACTGATAATACGTGGTAAGAGGGCCACCATATTGTTAATAAGAGTCAGTCAATTGGGAGCGTATTTACAAACCGATTTCATTCATTCTTCAAACAAACTACAAGCAAAATCATCACAGGGCAAGAGGATCAAGCTCATAGAGCTCTACCTGCCTGTCACACAATCCCAATAAGATCGTAAATCCACCTACGCCGAGTCAAAAAGGGACCCTAGCCCAGTAGAAGTCACCTCCCAGGCTGTCTAGGCATAACCCACCAAGAAGGGCTGGAGACCAGTATCCTCAAGTAATCTCTGCATCTCTGGCTCTGCCAGCTGGATGAGAACCTCACATCCGTTCCTACCACCAAGAGGCAGCAAGACACAATCGAAGCTGGCGTGTTCTCTGCTCAACTTCCTAGTCCACTCTGCCGGTCCCAATCCCAAACCGAGGGTTGTCTCTTCGTCGACGGGAATGTCCGCCCAATTGGTGATGACAACATCGCTCTCATAGTCGACACATGGATGGCCGAGACTTCGCAAATCCTCGCACTCGTTGATCATGGCGATGGTCGACCGTACTTTCGGTTCAGTAAGACTTGATAAGGATTTCCGGATGTTCGAAGCCGTATTGCCGATCGTACTGACATCGAATGGCATGCCCAGCTGAACGAGCATCGATGTGGTGTGTGTCAAGAGGTCGCTGTTACCATAAAAAGATCCGTTCAGCGGGGGTTCCACGCTCACACGGACGTTGATGGGAACGGCGAGTGCAATTGTCTGTCCTGGTCTTGCGACACCAGGGGGCCAGCGAGCGCGAGTGAGCGCCTTCCAGAGAACCGCCATCAGGCAGTCGAAGAGCGAAAGCCGCACCGTTGGATCTGCGTTGATCTGCAGGAAGTGCTCGTTGGCGAAATCACGGGTTGCATTCAGCATGGGTAGAGAGAATGTGAGGACCTGGCAGGATGGACTGCTCGGCACGGTCAAGGCTCCGCGATCTGGATCCGCCCGAGGGCTGTACACTGGGTGCTCATAGAGGCTTGATTGGTAGCCACGAGATCCGCTGAGTCGATCGCGCATTCTGCTCTGCTCCAGAGCCTCATCGCGGAGTTCCTCGGTCGTCATTCGGGGGCGGCTTGGGAGTACATCTTCAGATATTGACATGCAACGCATGAGTGATCCGAGTCCAGCAGCTCCGACAACAGAGTGATGGAGGTACAGTGCCACGATGACGCCGCCGGAGATGAAGTTGCCTTGCACGGCGAGCACCGGGCTACCTTCCTCCAGGGACTCTGGGGCGTCTGGGAGCGGGGTGAAGGCCTCACCGATGAATGCCATTGGTGGCATACCTTCCTTCGTGAGGTCGGCATAGCTGTGTGGGAATTCATCTTTGCCCAGAGTTTTGAATGTGGCCTTGATGCTTTCCACCTCCTCCGCCGTCACTCGCACTTCCAGCTGTCCGCTTTGCTCGTTGTGGGTGTCCTCAGCCAAAGTTGCACGGCGCTGGTGGATCGATGGATACTGGCGAGCCGGGTAATCCGCGACGCTGTGACGGCGGTTGCTCTCGCTGCTTGCTTGAGTCGGCACTGGATGCACTTTCCCTGCCAGAATTGGCATGTAACTCACACCGCGCTTCAGAGCTGCACTCAATTTGATGGCGAGGCTATCGAGACTCGCAGCATCGCTTTCGCACGGGTAGCAGAGAGCATATCGGATGTACTCTCTGGTGCTGCTCTGGTCGATTGATGAAAGTCTGAACACAACTGACTCGGTCATGGTTGTGTAGACGTCTGTCGTGTTGGTGGTCAGGTCCGTCGATGTCGTTGTAAAAAGACGGAGGAAGTGAAGAGTAGTGGGAAGGACTGTTTGCAAACCATCGCCGTGCGACCACTGCAAAACATCGCTACAAACCATCGGAGGTGAAGTTGGCATTGCAGCAAATGGTACTATCTAATCGCCCTCATAATTTCTGTATCAATCGTTTATCATGCATGCGTTTAATTGCGCTGCTACCAGCACTTATCACCGGCAGTACAGCTGCTCAATGATCAAAGACCAATTACTCCGCGAAGACGTTATCTTCAGGCCATCTGAGGCCACTTTCTGTAATGTCACGATCGCTTCACGTCAACACCACCAAACGCGCTGTGCACCTTGACGACAACGCCGTCTTCACGCCTAATTAGTTGAGAGCCTTCCACTTCCTCGCGCAAGTGGCAGGTGCGAAAGGATAGCTACTTCCGTGAGACTTCATCCAGCCGCTAATCTTCTTCCAAGGGATCCTTGAGGGCAACTCTCGACGACGAGGCTTGGTCTCACCATCATCGTCGAAGCCAGCGTAGCGCTCAAAGGCACGGTTGAGCAAGCTGATCTGGAGTCGCAATGGACTGTCAGTAACCACCACGGTGAATATTTGCGTAGATAATGCACAGCTGAGGCTTACATCGTTGCTGTTCCACTCCGGCTTTCGAACCCGCTCGCTCTTGTCCTTGGTCAGAACCCTCACTCGCCCTCGCAGGGTCGACTCTGCTTCCCGGAAATTTCCAAGCTCCTTGATGTCCTTGTAGGAATAGTTCTGGCGACGCATGTTCAGCAGGAAGCTATCACGCTTCTGGCGGTGTGTAGCATCGTTGATGGCCTGATCGTTGACGTTGGGCTCTTCGGACTCCGACTCACTGTCCTCTGATTCCCCGTCAGTTGTATCCGAGAACTGACGCTCCAGATTCATCAAGGAACTCGTTGCTGGAGGAGAAGTCTGGCGGGGAACGAATGGTGCGCCAGCGACGTGGCTTTGGCTAGAATAACCGACCGGTAGATCAGTGGCGGCTGGAGCGCTTGATCCGTACCCTGGAAGAGGGCCCAAGTACGATGTTTGAGACTGGCCGATGGACCAAGAACCGGGCAGCTGCTGTGGGGCTGATGGCACATTGCAGTCGGTACATGGGCAGTTTATCAAAGATCGCGGCATTGTCGAAGGAAACATGTCTGACCCGACGTCCTCAACTTTTGAAACGCCYGCCATGTTTGGAAAGCCTTGATAGTGGGCGTTGAAGTACGAGGATTGCATAGAGTCAGCAGTATGCGGGCTGAGAGGAGTGCGAGGGCCAGTGCTATCAGTGCGAACCGACGAGCGAGCTGAGCTGGCATAGTCGGTAGATGACCATATCCATTCGGCATCGTGAACAATCTCGTATTGCGTGGCGTCAACTGGGGTTGAGAGGATGCTCACTGGAGGCGTCGGAGCGGCCACGCTGGTGTCGATCTTTAAAGGCTGCATGGTGTTGGTGTCCGCGAATGAAGTATTGAGATCATCGTGAGGGCCACCAATGCTCCCTGCGAATGAAGCATTGATGCTGTCGAATGAACCGCCGAGGGACATATTGTCGCTGCGGAAGTTTGTGCCGCTGGAGCTGCCGATCGAGGTATCCATGGAGACGGGGAGCAGAGGCCTGAATGGAAGGCGGCCTTGGCTAGCCTGCTGCATCTCCTGCCACTGCGAGACGTTCGTCAAAGCACTAATGACGCTCGTATCATTGCGAGACAGCTCCTCGAAGGTCTGCATCGCGTTGAATGACATTGAAGCACCGGGACCGTAGGAATGGCTGTCATGGGCGCTGGTGAAGCTGTCGTTGCCATAGACGACATCTTGCGTTTCAAATCCGAAGACATCAGCGTCTTGTTGAGTCGCCATTGTTCGTATCCTCGGCTGCTGAAACTGTCTGAGCTGGTGTTGATGATTTTGTGGAAGGCGGGGTGAGTTGGCGTAGCTGCTCAGGTTCGACATTCTGGCTTGGAGGAAGGCCGGGAAATTGGAGCTCGGGCCAGACATAACGAGCTCTGAAGCACCGACAGTGAGCAGTGGTGAGTGAATGGCGTGTGGGGGCGCCGCTTCGATGAATCAGCGCACTTAACCGCGAGTTCGGTGTGCAAGCAACCTTTCGATGGCGTGGCTACACGTGCTGGCTACGGGATGGAATCGTTCAGTGTAGGCACTAGCAGCAATTGACGCTAGTATCCGCAGGAACTATGGTGTTCTGTGTCGGAGAGATCAGCCAGATAGAGGCGGTGAGCCAATGTTGCTCGCCCTAGCGTTATCTGGATGCGGCTTCCTGCACGGTCGGTGAATGAAAGCTCAGGGTTCTGCTGGAATCCGGAGAACTGCAAGCACGACGACGTATACCAAAGGCAACTTGACGGTGTGCAATGCACTCTGCTATTCGGGCAATGATGCAGAATGCTTTCTTCTTCTGGAACAAGAAAGCCTCCGAGACTGGACAGGGCGTTGCGTGAATCGTCGTGTTTTTAATCTGCCGGAGCCGACCTTGGAATGAATTGTCTGTTCGAGAAGGACCAGGCCAAAATCGCAAATGCTGTCAACAAATCAAAGAAGCGGCCACCAGGAGCAAAATAATCAAAAGAGGACCACCGTCAAATGAGAGTTAGGAGCGCAATGAGCAAAAGACCGACCGCCAAGGAGAGTATACAAAATTTACTTGGACAGGCGAAGCCTCTCCACGGCAGTCGACGTTCTTTGTAGGCCTTGTTTCATGACGAGAGTTCCTGAGAGCGAGCGAACGAAGCGTTTGATCTTGCCGCAGAGCCAATGTCGGGAAGCCGATGGCGAGCACTCTGATGCCCCGACTAGACGTCTTAGCTCATCTACAGAGATGCAGAGCGGAGCACTTCAGGTCGCCGCAAGTGCCGTACGGGAAGGAGGGTAGTCGATTTCCGACAGCGGGAGGAATCTGGCCCCAGGGCGTGCAAAACGCTACACGTCCAAAGGCAACTATGGCCGAGAGGTGTCAACGGCAGCGCGCTGGAGGGACGTTGTGCTTGTTCGCTCGGTGCCCGCCGAGAGTCAACTGCTCGGATGGGACCTGTCATGGCAGGTCTGCTGCGAGACGCCGTGACACAGTTGAGGACCCCAGGACATTCGTCATTCGAGGCTGCGTGCTTGCGTGGACAACGTTTGGAGCCATTGTAGGGCCAATGACTTTCCATCATCGAAAGCCAAAGATCTTCTCCTTGCTTGACGATCAATGCAGAGCCGATATTACGTTGTATGATCTTCGTCAGGATGGTGGACTTGTGCAGGCACTTCTGTTTACCGGGTTGATCTTTGCCTGAGCTGCAGGTCTTCCTGGTACTGACGGCAACATGCGTATCGACCAGCACGGTCTCTCCAGTGCACAGCATGAAGTGACAGCTCAGCTCCGTGGATCAAATCAGATGACCGACCGAAAAGCTGCGTGAACAAGTCAAGACGGAGGCTTGTTGACGACTCGCCTTCATCAAATGCTGCTGGACGCGGCAACAGATCCTTCGGGAGGCGAGCGCGTGAGAGACACTCGTGGCACAGGAACGGCTGTCAAGCAAAACGCGCACCCCCTGCCAATCGACTGCGAGGCCGGGCCGATGCAGCATACTGCAGCCCATGTCGATGTCTTGCGCAGGGCAGCAACACAAACGCCAGAGGTGGCTTTCATTCGCGAGGCAGCCAGCCGCAACATTGCGTCTGGAGCACGAAACTCCCTTGGAGCGAACAGCAACGATCCGATCGCGGCGGTGGCTGTGCTGAACCGAGACCTGACGTTGCGAGCAGAAGAATTTTATGCAGCAATGTGAAAGTGGAGGMGTGGGGGAAGAAGGTTCACGCACGTGTCTTCATCTAGAACTAGAACTATCCTGGACCTTTGGACTTGGACTTTTCTGACAAGTGAGCGAATCAATCCTTTTTACTTCACTTGCCTTTTTTAATTCGATCACAGGCTCGAAAATTTCAATGCTCCACGAATGGAAGCCTATTGCTCTGGAAACTCAAGTTCCGCTATTGTCAATGCACGCACTGTACGCGCCCAAATGTCTGCCAATCGTCCGCTGGCTGCAGGATCCACGTTGACTTCACCCTCGACGCCATGACGCTGGCATTACCATGTCCTCAAAGCGAAGTCGCTCGCTCCAGCAGGCTGGCGGTCAGGCTGTGGTGATCGAAGTCGGCGCGTCGCTCGTCGCTCACGCCAGGCGACAGGGTTGCGGCGAACCATTCTTAGCGGGCGCTAACAAGCATACTGTACATATCGGCCCTTGAGCATGCTCCGCGGGAAGAATTGGTTTTTGAGACAGTACAGGTCCGCCTCGATGCCAGACACTGCAGTCTCGCTCCACATTCCTCAGCATCAATGTACCGGACGCTCGTGATTTTGCCCTTCCCTGGCTCCGGGACGATTTCTCCACTGTTCTTCCAACAGCGGCTTCGTAACCGCCGAAGCTCGATTTTCGCGCCGGCCATCTGCTGCAGACCAGATCAACTCCCGTTGGCGCATAACGATCAAGAATAGTATGAAACAAGCGCGCCGCTCGCACCAGCAGCTTGACGTGCAGGTCCTCACGTTTCGCCTTCATGTGCCGTACGACATCGGGCCATTGAGTAGGCCGGAGTCCTCCATTTTCTTCAGCTTTGGAGAAGCGCCGGCTGGCCCACAGTTTCAGGCGTTGTACGCTCAATGGCTAGAACTATTTCTGCAMGATCATAGATGCGGCGTTTCGTTTCATCGTCCAACGCCAGGTCTCTCATAGGACGCGATACCGGCTTGGTATGGCGGGCCTGGAGTCCAGAAGCGATATAATGGTAGCAGTGAGAAGCTTGAGAGGTCGCAGCAGAAAACATCACCAGTCTCCTTCTTGTCGATTCTTTCCCGTCTGATTAATTTCCTAATTTCCTTGGTCTCTTGTTCGGTCTGGTACTGGCGTTACCTATTGTGTATAATTCTAATCACACTCAGCACCGGAACGCTTTTGTACCTCAAACCATTACAACGCCTGGTTTGCGTTCCACGTCTGTCCTCTTCGCCCACTCTTCCGRCCGCCTTACATGCCACACTACCCGTTGCCGATCATGCCAAAGGAGAGCAAACAATCGACGGTGAATCGTACGGCGCCTGCTTCTGGTCCATATCCTGCTACTGCTGGGCCTGCGAGCTCAAGGAATGCAGCAATCTGGAGCACATCGGACGACGAGATTCTACTCCAGGCAAGAGCTTCCGGGTTGAACTGGCAGCCGATCGCAAGTCGACACTTTCCCAACAAGACCGCAAATGCTTGCCGGAAGCGCCATGAACGTCTCGTGGAGCGGCGACATATCGAAGATTGGGACACGCACAAGCTTGAGCTGCTGGCTCAGGAGTACATGGCTTGCAGGAAGGAAATGTGGGAGATACTTGCTTCGCGACTAGGCGAGCGGTGGGGTGTTATTGAAGCCAAGGTAAATCGACTGTGGAAGCTGTTGTTGTAGAAGGTGCTGACACGAAACACCTAGTGCATGGAGAAGGGTCTTAAGACTCTGCTCACCGTCTCTCGCACGGCGGATAGGAAAGCCCACGCCGACAGCCAACCAATGGAGGATCGAGGTAATTCAGACCACAACAGCGATTCTGGCATCGGCTTTGGGTCCGACACTGAGATGGAGGCCATAGGGGAGGCCGGACCATCGACCAAATCATCCTCGTGGCATGCTCCAGAAGACCCAATAATACGTTCTCAACCACAGCATTCCGAGCACTGCCGATCACGAAGCCTGCCGATGCCCTTGCCACTCTATCAACCTCCCCCACCGATCGTACCACGACGGAATTTCGAAGGCACAGTGCTCRCCACTAGCCCCGAAGACATGTCCTTTGAGAGAACAACTCCCCCTCGACGCTGTTCACCTGACTCGCAAAATGGGCGAGGTGGCATCAGCATACAATCCGTTCTGTCGAACTGAAACGACAGTATTCAACGACGAGTAAATGTAACTCGATGCGGGCAGAAAATTATTCTCCACGATATCCAGACACGAATCACGGCCTCTATATTTTGTCTTGTCTTGCTTTTGAGCGAAGAATAGAGTAGACCTTGTACTCTTCACGATGTAACAACATGTACAACGCCACGCGGCTCTCGAAGTTTGCTTTAGATATGGATCGTATACCAGAATGATGTCTGTAAAGAGTCCGGTCAAATGCCAATTGACTTGTGAATTTCCATTGAGCATGTGCCTGGTAACAACATGATGTGACGGGGATGGTCTCGACTTCCTCGATCACATGCGCGTCGTCATAAATTCGGCCCACTCGGCCCATTTTACCGCCAAACGCGCGCTTTCAAAGCCACCACAGCATCAATGCCAGTCGATCACAGCTTACGTCCAAGTCATACGTGTCTTTCACCATCCTTCGTGCAGGCGTACATGGTTTGCATAGCTGGTGTAAGGATCCGCCGCTGCCCGTAAGGAACACGTCGCCTCGAGTGCGAGTGCTCAGGTGCGCGGATGCGATTCCCGGCAGGTTTCACTGTATGCAGTCGGAGTCTGCGATGTGATGCCCGCGTCTCCTCGACACGACGCCCTTCGTCCAAGGCCAGCAGAGCATATAACCAGGTCCAGCGAACGCTATTGACAACCGCTGCTTCCAATTTGCCGTCGAGTCATCCGTATAATTCTAACCCCAGCAACCCGGCCCTGTCTGCAGCTGGTGCTGCTGCACGTCCTCGTCTTCGCTCACCACACAACTGGGCTCATATCGCGCACCGCATTCGCCTACCTCCATCCGCTATGGCAACCCAGACTCGAGGCCATGCCGGCCACTCGCACGGCGGCGGCCATCACCACCACCACGACAGCACCTACCTCACCAGTGCCAACAAGAGCGATCCAGGGGTGAGGATCACACGCATTGGGCTGTACGTCAACTTGGGCATGGCCATTGCAAAAGGCACGGGTGGAATTGTCTTCAACTCGCAGGCCCTGACTGCCGACGCGTTGCACGCATTGACGGATCTGATTTCCGACGTCACGACCTTGATGACCATTTCCTACTCGATCCGACCAGCAACAGCTCGTTTCCCCACAGGGTATGGCAAGGTCGAGTCGCTTGGTGCGCTCGCCGTGTCAGGAATCCTGCTCTCTGGTGGCCTCATGATTGGCCTCCAAGCCGTCATGGCGCTCAGCCAGCAGTTCTTCCCTCAGATCTTTGAAGCTCTGTCAAATTTTGGTATCTTCGAGCACGCACATCATCATGGACACGATCATGGAGCAATGGACTTGGGCCCCAATATCAATGCAGCGTGGTTGGCAGCAGGGTCCATCGTCATCAAAGAGTGGCTGTACCGAGCAACGATGAAGGTGGCCAAGGAGAAGCGGAGTAGTGTTCTCTCAAGTAACGTAAGTAAAGTATGCTCATCGTACTGCAATGCCTTGTTATTGACTCGTATATTCTGCAGGCCTACCATCATCGCGTAGACAGCCTGACGGCATTCGTGGCACTCTTCACCATCGTTGCAAGCCATTTCTTGGAAAGCGCTCGCTGGCTGGATCCAGTCGGCGGTTTGATCATCAGCGGCATGATTGTGCAAGCGGGATGGGGAAACACCAAGACTGCTCTGTACGAATTGGCCGATGTTGGGATGGAAGAAGAAGCCAGGGAAGGAGCGGAGAAGGCTGCCGTGGCAGCGTTGACAAATACAGAGGCCGAGATCCGTGGGGTGCAAGGAATCAAAAGTGGACAGAATTTGATGTTTGAAGTTGAGGTCGGCGTCCCGAGCGATTGGTCAGTCGCGCGAWCAAATGAGCTGGAGGTGGAAATCCGGGAGGCAATCGCAGGGAAGGTGCGCGGTACCAAACGGGTAAATGTTCGATTCACAACCAAGAACGAGCCGGCGTTCATGGATCAGTTCGTCGCGAGCAAGGAAGAGCTTGACGGGCACAGCGATCATGATCATGAGCACCACGACCACGACCACGGCAATGGTGCACCCAAGGCGAACAGCGAATCACACAAGCAGAAGTGACGGATGAGCTCAACAGCACAACACCTCAGCAAGGGGCCCGAAGTTTGGAGACGAACCAGAAAGGCTCTGTCTGGACTGCTTGCTCGTGCCACAGACAAAAGCGTAGCAATCGAGTTGCCGGTTCCTGGCGGCTGAGCTTCGAAAGCCAGGCGAAGTACAAACAGTTCGGATGCATTGACATCTGTGATCTGAATAACATGCTTGGGAAAACCGATCCTCGAAGCAGGCTCATTTCCAATTTGAGATGGCTTCTAGACATCACGCTGCCTTGAATGGGCGTTGGATAGAAGAGCTAGATTCATCAACCGGTACATAAGCGCAAAGCTCGCTAAAGCCCGAGACACGTTGCTATAAAAAGGCGACGTCATGCAGTTACGACGGGCCATGTAGTCTTGCAGCTAAACAGAATACATAAAGACGTCAAAACATCACACCCTGTTCTTCGCCTTATCTTGTAGACACATTTGCCATCAGGGCATCCTTCGAACGTGAACACAGGGGTTCCTGCAAGTGTACATTGCACGAGGGTGTAGACAAAGTTCTTTTACGTTCATTCCATCATTAATGCCATTATATAAACTGGGAATATTCCCATGATAGGCCTGCTTCAACATGGCTCGTTCAGAGCACTGTGTATCATGCATACGACAACCCCGTCAACTTATAGTAGAGGTTAAAGGGGTTTCGTTCTGTAAAGGTGTACCCTAGACAGACTTGGCGAAGTTGACATATGCGGTTTTGCTGTCCACATATTCGTATGTCGAGTACCTGGAAGCATACAATGTTAGCAGGAACAGTAGCAGGGCGTCCCAAGAGGAATACAAACCAGTTCTTCAAAAACGTGTCACCTATTATTCCGTTAGTATGCGTCCGCTGTAAATCTTTCGGGMGTTGTTTCACTTACCAACAACGTAAAAACTCTCGCCAGGTCTTAAATCGGCGCCGGCGATGCCAGCAATACAGTACAGACCTCCAACGAGGTTGTCCAAGACGTCACTGCCGAGATCAATGCCGAGGTCATCAGTCAAGCGGCCAAAGTTGAGGTCCTTGGGGTCGATGACAAAGTCCTTGCCAGCGAAAGTGAGTGAGACTTTAGGGTTTGAGGCACATGGATRAGCGAAGAGGGTGATTTGTCCCATAGCAAGTGGGAGGGAGCCGGGAATCTGAAGGAAGATCGACTCGGCAGCGAGAGTTGGTGCAATGATCAAAGTGGTGCCGGTGTCGATTGCTCCCTGACCCTTGGTCGTTGGGGCGGCAGAGTGGCTGCCTACCTTCTATTTGTTTGTCAGTCGTGCTTCCTAAGAAAAAATGACCCAAGCGATTCTGTGATTGATGATAACTTACCGCTCCGTCGACTGCAACTTGCCAGTATGTCTGCGACGAGACTGGAACAGGAGTGAATTTGCCCTTGTACTTCTTCTCATCGCGACCACCAAGGGTAAGTTCGCTGTTCTGCGCTGTGCCAGATTGTTGACGTCCCAGGTAAAAGCTGAATTCCTTGGGGTGGACTTTCTTTTGCGCGATCAGGTTGAAGAAATAAGGCAGCTAAGATGGATCACAAGTTGTCAGCAATAGCTCAAGATCATAATATTGAACATCGCTTTTGCTTACCGACTTGCTGTTAGCAATGGCTGGGAAAGCCATGCCGACCAGACCATCCGAAGCAGAGTTGGCAAATCCTTCAGCTTCAGTCAAAGAAATGATGTTTTGGTTCTTCGCGGTAAGTCCAGCAACGGTAAAGTCGTCCAGGTAGTTCTCTCCCATGACTTGGCCGGATCCATATGTAATGGAAGTGGTGTTGCCTCGATCTCTGCCAGTGTTTCTGTACTTGTTAGTCCCAACGCAGCCCTGAGTCTGTCCACACGTTGGTCCTGGCACGAAGGTATCGCTGCTACCGGTGTCGAAGTCGAAGGTGAAATCTTGCGAGCCCACGGTGCCGGTACCGTAGTAGAGCACATCCTCGTCGCCGTTGACTTGGTCGGTCAGGGGGAGGTTGGCGTCTGTGTCTCTCTTTCCATTCTTAATGGCCTCTGGAAATTGAAAGTCCTTGTTGTATTTTCGGACAGTGTCTTTGAGACTGCCCATAAACCACTTGGTGTCAAGCGAGCCATCCGTGCGCGTGCGGTGTTGTTGCCTCTCACGTGTGAGCGGGATCTTCGTTGTTTGGGTTTCAACGGTTGGCGCTGCCAGGCATGGAGCCAGGAGTCCGAGAGAGAATAGCGCGACGGTCTTCATGATGTTGTTTTCTAAACGAAACGATTTGAATAGAGATGGGTAAAAACATTAGATGGAAACCCATTTACTTATCAGCACGCCTGACGCGACCTCCTCTCGAGCTCCTCCACCAGCCCGCTCGCAATCGTCATCGTCCAATCTAGTGAGGAGTGGGTGGCTTTGTCGATGCTATGCTGTTTCTGACGAACAACCTGCACATCTTTTGCCCTGCACCACACATTCCGCACGAGAAGCATTGCTGGGTATGCCTAATGCCCGTCCAACCAATGAGCCACGAAAGAAATGCTGCCACAGAGGCTGCCGCGGGAACGGCGCCTTGCTAGCAGTGGTATCGCGCTGTCGATGATGACGGGAATTCGCGTACGAGTGAGGAGATCGTGTGGGGAGAAGCACGGTGAAGCCTTACAAGCCTTACAGCAAGAGGAGTCCAGAGTTTGCCAAACTGCCGCGGCTCGAACGTTTTCGCCGTTGAGGTGCTGATCAACACGAGAACCGCACGAGGTTGGTCGTTTGTAGTGATGATCTCGACATAAGGTTAAGTCGGTGACTTCCCGAAGGCGTAAGTAAGAGTCGATCTCGGCTCTAGCCCAATGGAGAAACGGCAATAGGAAAGCATGTGATGTAACATTCGCCTTGCGCAATRCCAGGGCTCATGCCCCAGGGCCAAGTAATAGGTAAGCCACCTCTTCACGTAGCGCAATACAAATGTTGCTCGCCTGGAACGACAATGCGCCTTTGTTGCCAATCGGGTCCACTATGTCGTGATGTTCACTGAGCATCCAAGATGACGCCTTGTCCGACCAAAAACTGCGGTCTTCGAACAAGAATCACAACGAACTCAAATCATCGCTGCTACTCGGCCGAAGATTGCGTGGGACCATCGACGCCAATGTCACCAGACTGCACCTTCCCTAGATTCTTGAGCAGAAAGCTGCGCTTGAAATATGTGTTAGGGTGCAGAATGGTATCTAACTCGCTCGCTGGCCAGAGAGAATCGTCCTTCACCTGCGATATCGTTAGCTGTTTTCTATGAGACTGCACTGACCAGACTCGCCTTTTTCAGCTCATTCTTATGTGCATGCTCGAAGACCAGATTGCATGCAACGTGATATTTTTGTTTGCCCACAAGATCGCGGACACCTTTTGTAAGCTCTTTGTCGGACACTCCCACGTTTTGCAGCAGTGATATCAAGTTATCAGGGCTGTATGTGCGATAGGGACAGCCTTGTGCCTGTCCGCTTGAGGGTAGCGCCTCTGTCAAGAGCTTCTGACAACTGTAGGGAGTGTAGCCACGTCCACGTCGATTCGAATCCCCGCCAACGTCTCCATATGCGTGTCGGACGTTGTAGAGATACTCCGACTTGAACTTGTCTGTAGATGGTCAGCCCTTGTGGTTGCAGCACGAATGCATGTCAAAGCTTACCTTCTGAGAGCTTAGTAAAGCTCTTTCGCCAGAACACGATACACTCATTTAGACTCAGGCCAATACCCTTCAAGAATAGTGTGTACTGCAGACGTCCATAATGCTTCAAATGGCTGTTCTTCCTCAACTCGCGATGCAGATTTTGCATGCACAATGGAAAGTGCTTGCTTTGAGCGTCGATCGATGCCGCCGTGATGCTGGTCATGTCGCTGATGCTGGAGGCTTCGGTGTATGCAGCATCTGGCGCCACGAATGACTGCGACAGATGGTGTAGTATCGGTGCCAGTCGATTATCCTCGTCCATACGCGGCAAAAAGCGAGCTGCCAATTCCAATCCTGATTCTAGCTGCCTTGAGAACTCATTGGCAACCATGTTCATCTGTTCTCGTACGTGAACGTACGCCTTGCCTTTCTTCAGCAAGACCTGTCGCCTTTCTACCAGCTCTGGCACATTCTCCCAGTCCACCTTGAACCAGTTCATCTCAATATCATCCTTGAACACCCCGGTCGCAGCTTTCAAGTCGTCCATCAGTGCCATCTTTTCTTCTTCACCAACAGTCTCCCAAGACATGGGCAGCGAGTCTATGAAAGCTTTCCTCTCGCGTAAGTCGTCCTGCTTGATCCGGAGCTTGAAAAGCTGCGCCTCTAGTCGGGCGAATCGTTGTCGCAGGTCCTGTGTGCTTGAAAAGGCCAATCGAAGTGTCCAATGGCTGTAGTGATCCCGTTTACGTTCAAGAGCAATTTCTCCGCTCTTTGAGCTATTGGTCGAAAGTGGCAGATGCTTGGCTAGAATGGGCTTCATGTACTCTTCCGTCTCGACCGGCGATCTGTTGCGGAACTGGCAAGCCTCCAGCTCGGCGAGCACCTTCAGACGTGCGATTCCCCATTCTTCGAATTGTTCGAGAGTGATGTCTGAAGTCGGTGGGATGATGTAGAAGTTGCAGCGATGCGCGTAGTCCTGGTCCGCGAATGTCGCTTGTTGGAATTGCTGTCGCTTTGAATTGACCACCGCCCGCTTCTTCGCGTCTATCCGTGGAGCAGAAGATATCGCCAGCATCGTGGCGGTGCGTGTGCGGTGGGACTGAGTGATGTTGACGTGTTGAAGGCTGGATTGATTGTGCGAAGTTGTGGTGAACGCGAAACAGGACGCGACTGCCAAAGTTGACGCGACTGCCGATTGTGAATACGAGAGATACGAGACTCACAACTTCGGGCCTGGAAGCTCCCAACAGATTTACTTCACCTTGGATGGAACGAGGTGAGGGTGATGAAGTTGGATCACTTCCATTCATTTACGCTATGAAATTCGTCGTTCTTCACTGCTTCTGCGCGGCGGAGGTGGTGTGGTCCGCCATCACCTCGACAAATACAGCGCACCTTCGCCTCCTCACTTATCATCTCCTCGCTACTGAGCCCGACTCATTCATCATCTTCCGAAGAGCTCTCTAATGGGCTAGACGGTTCGGACACCAGACTTCCTGATTCGCTGCTCGTGCTCCGGCCCACAGATCGACTTCTCCCCTTACGCTCAGCTACGTGATTAAGCATTCCAATCTGACCGTCGAAGTAAGCGACATTAGTACTAATCGACTTAGTCGCCACAAGCTTATCGGCCTATGCTTTAGCTAGCCTAACAGCTTCGTAAGGATCTTCTCTGTTTATAAGAAGGAAACCCTAAACTTCCGCTAGAGTTAACTATAAGGGGACCCTAAAGGAGCGGGACACCGCCCTTTAAACCCTTACCTAGGGAATCCCTCTTAGAAAGAATAAGGGAACTATACCCTTAGCAGGATTTCCCTATACGGATGCGACGGCTAAAGGATAACTCTACGGTACCTCTACGGCACCGCCGAGCCTAACTAGTACCGGGCGTAATCCTATAAAAGGGTAATGTCCTTATTACCTGTTCCCTTTCGCTCCCTAGGTAATATCGTATATATCTAAGAATTACTACTTAGTATTAAGACCCCCTATTTATAACACCCTTATAGAATATTACCTCTTATCCCTACTAGGGAGTAGCCGTCTTAAATACGAAACAAGCTCTCGATTCGAGTCTAGCGCTACTATAAAGCTACCGTAACGGCTCTATAAATCCCTACTAACCTATCGAAAATGTCTTTAGCAGGAAAAAGAGCCGTACGACCTAAATATACTAAGGCTAATAATCCCCTAGGGTTTATTATCGATAAGAAAGATATAACGCCTAGTAGTAGCGCTAGACTAGAGGATTAGCTCGATCTAGACGGAGGTACCGTAAAGGCACCGTAAGGTAGCCGCGAACCTCCT